CCAGGAGGAATGTTCTTTAAACATGCTTTAAATGGATGGTGTGTATACAGCCAAGAAAAGCATGGAAAAGGAGAATGTACAATTGAGGGTGTGTGTGTAATGGAATTCAGATTTTAAAAGATAACTAAAAATTCAGATAAAAAAGTTAACTAAGAAAAATAGCTCGAAGGCTAAATTCATTTAACTGACCGTATTGTTATTACATATCCATTTGCCCTAACTTTATGTTAACCAAATGTCCTTCAATTTGTCTTCTTGAGCAGAATAATTTCTTAGATTACTTCAATGTCTCTCCCCCAGTATTTTGAAATTTTGTGCTCTGTTCAGTCAGAGTCTAAGGTGAAGACTTTGTGAGGTAAAGTTTTCAAACCAGGGTGCTGTGGAGGCTGCTAGACAAATGCTTACCAAAAAGGAAAACACAAATACAGTCCACATTCAACTGCCTCACAAAGTTAAGGGCAGCTCAAAGCCTGCACCTGCTGAAATTCTAAAGACATTCTCAACTGCCCATAAGGCAGAAAATGGGAAGAAAACTTTTGAGATATTGGAGGATAGGGTTGGGCACAGCACTAATCTTGGGCATGGAGTTGTGAGGGTGGGTGCAAAAGGCCTACACCGATGAGCCAGTCAGTATACAAGAGACAGAACTCAAAGAAAGCAAAACATTTTTTAATCAGAAAAGAATCTTGGGCACCTCGAAGTCAAGCAGGTTTACAGTGAGATAGACGTTCATGGATTAGAGCTCCCTTCATCAGATGAAGTGCAGATCTTCATAAACGAGAACTCGCCATTGCCCAGCAACTCGATATAATCCCTTTGAGCTCTCCAGAGACAGGCAAAAAAATATTGTGCCTTTGCTTGCGTCAATAGCTGACTTTGCTTTTTCTATGAATACCTCCAGACTCAAAACAATGCCAGCAAGGCAGATTATATATATATTTTTGCTTCTCTAAATATACTCCCTCCAGAGTAGCACCTGTGATAAGTAACATTATCTCCTTGTGAAATGAAAAAACATTTGTGATGGAAAAGAAATATAACATCTGCGAAAAAGAGTGCATTGTAGCTTCATCTATTCTGCGCCTTCATCTATTCAGTGCCCAATCTTTGACCACACTGTTCTTTTATTCGGTTCTGTTGTTGTTGTTGTTGTTAGATTCAAATTTGAATACTTCCCTTCATCCATAGATCTCAGTGCAGTTCACAACAGAGCTGCCAACTTGAATAAAATATTACAGGGGCCCAGATAAGTCCCGCACCACATAATCGATCACATGATGCAGTGCACACACACCATTTGAATGGGAATGCCCATCAACTTTGGGGGGACCCAAATATTTTATTATGGGGGCTGAAGCCCCCATAGCCCTTAGGAGTTAGCTGCTATGGTTCACAGCATAAAACTCAAGATACTGTGCTCTCTCTTCCTATTTGGCACACTTAGACTTTGTGCTTAGATGCAAGGGTTGTATTGAATATCCATTTTGATTTTCATGCCAACAGTTGCTCTTTCAACAAAGAAGGAGTTTCGCTAAAATAAAATAAAAATGCTGGATCTCCTCAATACTGGAGTTAATGCTGCGGCAAGTGACAAGAGAAGCAGCTCCCTAGCCTTGGAGCATTGATGTTCTTAGAGAAGGCCTAAAACAATCATCTCCATTCAGTTGCCCTCTGACCATTTGCCATAGTGGCTGAGACTAATGGGAAATGCAGTCCAAACCATCTGAAGGCACCAGCCTGGGGCAGCCAGGAACTTCTTTGCATCCTCCGCAAAGGTCCACTTCATTCCAGCAATCTGCTTCCCACAGTGGCCACCTTGATGCCTTTGGAAGCCCACAAGAAGATTGTGAAGGCAACAGCCTGTCGCACAGCATTCAATGGCATATTGACTCCAGAACATAAGAAACTTTCTTCTAGTGCGTGAGACAATTGAACCATCTGCTTGAATGTGGTTGTTAAACCACTCTGGGAATTTTAGCTCTGTGAGGTGAATAGCACCCTTAACAAACTACAGCTCCCATCACTCTTTGGGGGCAGCCATGACTGTTTATAAAGTGGTATCATAGTCATTTAAATGTAGGACGTGAATATGGTCTAATCCCCCAACTTGTACTTAAAAAGAAAGAAAGAAAGAAAGAAAATGGATGCAAGTCCAGAAAAAGCAGGGATAGATTCTGAGTTGGTGATGTTCTCAACCCCCCCTCTATTTTTGCGCACGCGCACACACACACACACCCCCTGAACAAAGGATTTGTGTTACTAGTAGTAATACAATAATCTGGCAGGTAATAGAAAACTCTTGAATAGAAGGAAAACGAATGGTTATGGAACAGGAAGACAATCACCGATTCAAGCAAAGTACAAAGGAAGCACTGTGCAGGCATGTTCTGTAACCTTGACAGACGAGTTTTATATATCTTATGCCTTCAACACAGAGGTTTATGATTTATCTGTGCTCTGAAATGAAGACAATGTTAGCACTTATTCCTAGAAAAAGAAAGAAAGAAAGAAATGTGTATGGGAAAGGAAAGGGACTGTTTGGCTTTGTACAAAGAGGGAAATTTAAGGACTAAGGATGGCTAACCTGTCTTTTCTGAGTTCTCTCATTTTCTCATTCACCCCCCACCCCAATCTTAAGTTCATTTCATAGTTCCATATCAGTTTTATTTTTAAGTCTTAATGAAAATTCATCAGCATTTCCATGAAAATTTCTAATATACATGTGTTTGTATGCAATTTTGTCTAATGTGCATACTTTTTGCCTAAAAGAATATGGTTTTGAATATGATTTTATTGACTATTTGCATTTTATGGACACTTGGCCTTAGTTATGTGTACTTTTGTACAGATTACTGGGCTGGAGAGATGTATTGCAAAAATCAGAGAACTGAACATTTCAAGATAAGTTTGTCTTTCGGTTCTCATATTGTTTTGTAAAGTGCGGATTGGGTAGGTTACCCTCTAAATATAAATGGAATTGAATTTTTCCCTCATCCTGACCTGGAAGTGAGGAACACAGAAGGACGTGCATCTAAGCAAGGATGCGCTGTTATTCTGTTAAGCTGTGCATACTGCTGCAAAGATCTTAACTAATTACCATAAACACATTTAACAACCTAAAACACAAACAAAGACATATATAGAAATCAAAGACAGGTCAAGCAGCTCCTGCCTTACCAAAAGATTACAAATACTTAAAAACTCTTCAAATTAAGCTCAGAGGGCCCAGAGAAAACCGTACCCTTTTCTGGAACTATAGAGAGTACAGGCTACTTTGAATTGCTCCACTGCAGTAGTTAAACAAACAAGCAGCCTCAAAAGAGGGCTTCAAACAGGAGTTACGTCAAGAACATTCCTTCACAGAAGCTCAGACACACATTCATCCTGTATTTCACCCATTCTTTTGCAAAATAATATCACAATGAATGAACAAGGCCAAGGCTAGATGCTCTCTCTTTTTGATACACTAACAACTTCGGTATTTTTTCCTAGTACCGCTGACTATAGGGTCGTCAGCACCCTTAAAATCACACAAGGCAATAAAAACATATTGGGAGATGATATATAACGAGCTTAAAAAATGTTCAAAATAACATTTGTAAAGAAACCAGAAGCCTTTTTATTAGGAATTACAGGTGCTGAGATACCAAGGTAGTACAAAAGACTATTCATGTACACAGCGGCCAGGATGCTCTTAGCCCAAAGACAGAAGGACGACACAATACCTAGAGAGAGTGGACAGTAAAATTGATGGACTATGCTGAGATGGCCAAAATGACTGGAAAAATCAGGAATCAGGACAATAACATTTTCAACAAAGACTGGGAAAGCATTGTAATATATTTGACAGAACACTGTAAACAGTTAAAAACATTAGCAGGATTGATAACGCTCACAATGTGAAAAGAATTATAGGAGAAAACAGAGACTTATGGACATATGGAAGATAATATGATATGCAGTGAAAATGATTACTAGAGAATGAATCTAGGACCTTTGACATGAAAAGCAGACGCTCTACTACAGTGCTGTCCCTTTCCTAAGGCGAACTTAACCCTTTCCCACAATACACACACCTTTGACCCAGCCCTTTTCTTGTGCAGCTCTGATACTGGAAGCACTGGCGGAGGAAGAAGGGGGCGGGGGAACGCAGCGCTTTTCTGGTGGGGTGCCATTGCAGCTATGCCCCCACAGGCGGCACACCATGCCCCCAGGATGCGCACCAGCCATGCCCCCACCGGCTCTCCGCCCCCCGATGCCAGAGCATGAAGCTCCGCCACTGACTGGAAGTGAGCTGGGTTGGGAGCATGTGTCTGAAGTGACAGACTAAGATGGGGGGAGGATTCAGCTCCTCTTACCCACACATTCTTCTGATCTAAGAAATCAGATCCCACCACACATCCCTCCGTCACATATGTGAACAGGGAAGAGACGAATAAACAAACATGGCTTCCTCCATTGCTTCGCATCTGGCCCCATGCGACTGTCACGGATGTCAAAATAATCAGACTAAACACTTCTGCCACCACAGAGAATACAGCTCATTTCAAGTCAGTCCCTTCTTGGTATTCATGTTTCCCATTTAATGTCTCATTAATGTTCAGACTAAGTGGCAAGGCAACCCCATCAGAATTCAGATCCTGCAGCCGACTCTTGTTCATAAAATTTTAAAAACACTTTTAAGAGAGTATTGTCCAGCCAGATGCTGTTGCAAATTAATTTGTGCTCTGGGAATTTCACTTGCTATATGAGCACATCCACCACTGCACAAAATACAGCTATTGTTCTAACGTATATGAAGCTGAGTTTCTTTCTTCTTGAACGAGGTTAAGAAATTTTTATCTTAGGACATGAATTTCTTTCAAGGGCAGTCCAATGCATGGCCCTTGACACCTTTTCGGCGGCCTTTGGCAACATTTGATTCCCTCCCCCTGCCCTCATGCTGCCTTCCCAAAGAAGTGTAGGCGAAGTGCCAGGCATTAGGAAGGAGGCATAAGAACTCTGAAAGGGTCCTAGAGTCCTCCCTCCTCCTTCCCAAAGCGTAGTTATTGCTTTCCCAGCTTTGTGAAGGAGGTGGGAGGGCTCTAGGACCCTGCCAGAGCCTCACACCTCCTTCCCAAAGCCCTTAGCCAGCACTGGGAAGGCAGCACGAGAACCGGGCTGTGGGTACACCTTCCTCTTTTCCTCCCATCCCATGACCAGGCAGTGTGTGTCCCACAGATTCTGTGTCAAAGTACTCTTGTGGCCCACTTGGCATGAAAGGTTGGGCTGCCCTGTTTTAGCTCAGTGAATAAGTAAAAGATGCAACATTTTGGCCTGATGAGATCCTCCAGTGCCCAGTTCAATTCCCCCTTCATGTAAGCATTGGCTGTGTTCTTTGATGACGTTTTCCCTTTTACAAATAAGGGAAGATAAGGTCTACATTTATTAGAATTATTGATGCTGTTGAGTGTCGTATCATTGGCTGATTCTTCCTAACCTATTCAGACTCATCTTTATTTTCACAGGTGTGAATGTTATCATCCAGCCTTGCATGCAGGCATAGACCTAGGCACAATACCATCCATTCCAGGAGCCACATAATGGCTACTAAGGGAGTTCAGCCTGACTTTCCCCTTACAAGAGGAGGACGATTTTTTGCCCTCCAGATAGCACTCTGCCTGCATTCATCTGTGGTATGAATTATGCATATGCAGGACTGCTTGAAGAGATAATAAGGTGCTTTGGGCTGTAGAAACCTCTGCCTGATATTTTTGTACAGCTCACACAGTCACCTACTTAGAATTGTTTGTCAGGTGAAGGATCAATGTATGTCAAAAAGTTTCACTAACATAAGGCACTCCAATATAATGTTACAAAGTTACCCCTCATTCTCAAAGACCTACAGATCCATAATATTGAACACAACTGAAGCAAAAGTTATGCACCTCTAAGTTTCATTTATTTCAGTGGGAGTTACTAAAGCTGGTTTTCAATTAAGTGTCATCGCCTGCAATATGCCAAGGAAGACAGCATGATAACAGCTGTTTGATAATATCCGTCATGTCCCTATGGCGAAAAATTGCTTGCTGTTGACTTTTTGTTTTTGTTTGCAGAGAGGGAGCAATGTTAGTCGCTGTTTCATCATACATAGCAAAGCAAAAAGTCATGCTGCACCTTACCTGTCCTCTGGGTACTGGTATTCCTGGGTGCCAGTATGGTCCTGATAAACTGGTTCTTCATTTCACTGGGAATTGTAATATTGTTTGCAGAGAGCTAGCTGGGCCCATGGCGTCCTAGTGCTGCCACTGCTTCCTTTATCGTGCTGTTGTTTTATAGCCCCCCAAACAAGGTGAGTGAAGGGGACAGAACATGGGGAATGCATGCCCATGCGTTTTGCAATTGCTGCCACATTCCCATAAACACGTGGACAGGCGGGTGGGCAAAGTGTGTGCCAGCTGTCATGGTCAAGCCAAAGGGAGAAGGGCACAGGATGAGGAAGTGAGAGCATTTGCAGAGGGCAATGGTTTCCCAGCTCCTACCCCTCAAAGCCCTACCCAGCATCACTTGCTTCCCAGCTAAGCTATCAACAGTGCTGGATTTATGTATAGGCTAAGTAGGCTGAAGCCTAGGGCCTCTAAATCTAGGAGGCTTTGCCAGCCTGCCCGCTCCCCAGCAGACAACCTCCCCTCTCCCAAAATTGCAAACCCAAGACTTCATGCAAGGGCAGGGCAACTCAGATTTCTATTTTTTTTTTTTTTTTGTAGGGCCCCACTTCACAGCCAAAGTCTGCAAAATCTTGTAGAAATAAATAAAATCCATCTAGATTGCCCTGGTGTGTGGGCCCCCTTAGGAGCGGCACACAGGGCCCAATTTGGCCAAATTGCTCCAATTGCCTTAAAGTCAGCCCTGATGAGACTGTGCAGGGGTTGGAAGCCCGGCACCTTCTAGGTCCCAGGTGTCACTATTTAGAGTACAGACTCAAGGACTTGTTATAAAAATAAAGGGGGGCACTTACTGGAAATCAGTTTTGTCACCTCTCCCCCCCAAACCCCGAGACCATGAGCCCAGCCATTTTATTCACAGTCGCAAAAGCACTACACTACAGCATGGCCATAAACCTGTACGTTCAACCACTGAAATATACACCCAATATTTAGCAATGGAGATTTATTTTGCTGCTTTATGAATGGACATTGTATTTTATGAATGGACTCTGTATTTTGTTAATTTTGTTAAAGCCTATACCTAAGAGCCACCAATAGGGAGCTCTGGAATCTAACCAATTGGGTACTACCAAACAGCGCCCCCTATTGCTGAAAGCATGTAACCAGCAGGGAATGCTTCAGCTCAGCCTTTGCACTGTTGACTGAATACCCCTTGCTGTGCACATGATGGAGAAAGCTCATAAATTGTATCCCTTCTGGCATCCTGGCCAACTCTGTTATGCTGGTGTAAACCCTGGTACACCAGAAGCCCAGAATAGTAGCAGATAAAATCTGCTCATACGTCAGTGACTGATAAGACTTGTCTCATTCCAATTTTTTAGTATATGTGCTGCCGAAGCAAGCACGTGACTATAAGACTTGTCAACCAGTTCTTCCAAAGCCTTCCTAAATTATAATGCTCCAAAATACAGGCCTTCACCCTGGCCAGGCCTTTCACAGTTTGTTTGTTTTTTAAGAATAACATTACAACTTCATTGTCCTAAACAATTATGTTTACTCCACAAAAGGTTTACAAAGTTCAGTTATTGCTGAAAGGGGTAAGGACTGTGAGGCGGTGTAAGCAGGAAGCAAGACCACAGTTCCTCTGGTTAAGTCTCTTGCTGTGAAACAAGTGAGTAGCACTGTGGTCTAAACCACTGAGCCTCTTGGGCTTGCCGATCAGAAGGTCAGTTCAAATCCCCGTGACAGGGTGAGTTCCCATTGCTCTGTCCTGGCTCCTGCCAACCTAGCAGTTTGAAAGCACACCAGTGCAAGTAGATAAATAGGGTGGGAAGGCCCCACATTTGGCAATGTATCCCTGAATTGCAGGTTGTTGAACTAGATGATCCTCATGGTCCCTTCCAACTCTACAATTCCATGATTCTATTATTCTAAGACCCAGGCCCCTTGCCTATATAAAAAGGCATCACCATTCATTACAATGGACGGGATGGATGTGTGAGCATGGCTAGATGGACATCACAGACCATGCAAAGTTCTGGATCGGAGCATAAGCTATCTGAACTGTCTGCCATATGAAGGATTTCTATCGAGGAAGAAGGAGGAAGAAGAATACAAAACATGTGTAAACTGCACAGCTTTGGATTTGACAGGGGCTTGTGCAGATCCTTTAGATCTGACAGACACTTGCGCCATGCACTTTGCCAAGCTCTCTGGGAGCATTTCTACAAACAAGAACAATGTACAATTCAACAGGCGCTGCTTAGAGCATTGATTTGTCTCTCTCTCTCATCTCTCTCTCCAGCTAAAAATGTTTCTGAATATTGAAGAGTCCCACTTCAATAAGGGGGGGGGGGGCGGGCGGAGAGATGTAATAGACTTGTACTATTCTTGAAAGCAATTTCAAGGTCACAGAGGTCTTAATCAATATATTCTTCCCGTTCATAAACACATTAATTGATTGAATAGCACATGCTGGGCAAAGAGGCAAAATGTGTGCCATTGAAAGGTCTGATAGAAAATAAGTTGTTGTTCCCATTTTTTGCTGTTGCTCACATTATAAATAGCATATAATAGCAGCTCCCCACTTTCCCCAGTTAACAGATGGGGGGGTTGTTGTAAAAGGTAACTTTTTCTTTGCCTGCAGTAACTCCAATTATCTCCTATAGCTAAATATTTTTTAAAGATGCCAGATTATCAACAAGTGCTGCATTTAACTGGTGTGTGGTAATGAATATGTATGAGCATATTTCTATTTTTTTATTTTTTAAAAAATACAAACTGAAATGAAGTCAGATAAATGTTACCTGCCAACAGCTTGTAGAAGTGGTCAGAAATATTTAAAGGGTTGCTTTTTAAAATTATTTTTTGGTAAATTAATAACTTGCTCGATATAAGAATATATGGCAGCCCACAAGGGCAAGAACAATACTTTGGGTTCTGCTGTCTTTGTAAATCTGTAAAACCAGGGGATTGTCTAGCTCTTGGCATTTCATGCTACACATTGGTGGGCTGAGTTAGGGTAGATTGGGTTCCACTGACCTGGTAGGCAATCTGGAAGTCATCCAAATATGTTTGTATATACAGTATTTATTAGATTTCTACCTTACCCTTCACCAGTTTTGTTATCCAGAGGAGGCAGGTGACATGAAAACAAACATGCATTTGGGACAATGTCTATGCTCAAAGAGCAGAGTGGGTGGGAGCATTTATGCAAGATCCACTTCAATGCTCCACCATTGGCTGGCTACACTGCAGACCTTGGGTGGTGTGCAGTGTGGTCTTAACCACCAAGCCTCTTGAGCTTGTTGATCGTAAGGTCAGCAGCTCGAATCCACATGACAAGGTAAGCTCCTGTTGCTTTGTCCCAGCTTCTGCCAACCTAGCAGTTCAAAAGCATACAGTGAAACCTGGGGTTATGGTGGGGATCCGTTCCAGAGGCCCCGCCACAACCTGAAAACGATGCAACCCAAAGTGTCATGTCTGCTCACGTGTGTGGCACAATTTAGCGCTTCTGCGTGTGCGCGAATGGTGTGAACCTGGAAGTAACCCATTCTGGTACTTCCAGGTTTGCGCCGGTCGCAAGCCGAGGGTGACGTAAGCTGGAGGCAACGTAACCAGAGGCTCCACTGTACCAGATCAAGTACAGTGCTCTGGCACTCGTCACAGTGTTCTGTGTGCCAGAAGTGGTTTAGTCATGCTGGCCACATGACCCAGAAAGCTGTTTGTGGACAAACGCCAGCTCCCTTGGCCTGAAAGCAGAGATGAGTGCCATACCCCAACTGAACTTAACCGTCCAGGGGTCCTTTACCTTTTTACCCTACTCAGAGTAGGTCCATTGGTGCTGATAGGTCTGATGAGATTAGGTTCATTGATTTCAGCACGTCTACTCTGAATAGGATTTAGTTGAATACAACAACCCCTTCTGAGAATCTTCAGGTAAACACAGTTCTACAACCTTGGCACTCAATGCATGAAGGTTGGAAATGGAGCCAGTGCATCTTGGATTGTTTGGGTTGGAGCTTCAGCACGAGTCCTCTCCCCAAGTTAAGTCCAGTCATCCACCCAAATGCATGAATATTTTGACTGCTGTCTGTCTGTTTCACAAGCCCAGCCAATAATGTCATTCCCACCAGAGAATTTATCTGAGTAGCAGTCTCAGATCAAGTGCAAGCTGCAAATGCTTTGATTAAAAAAGCATAATAGAAACCTTTGCAGGATGGCTGTTTGCGAACATGTTCATCATCCTCAGTTTGAATCAGAAAGATGTTTTCAGGCTAAACCTTGCACTTGCTAGGACTTGAAGCAAAGCCGTAAATCTAATCCACGGGATCATCCAGTTCATATTACCACAGCATCTGAGTGCTTTATAATCTTTGCTGAATTTATCCTTCCATGTCTGTCAGAAGCACACAGACACAAACAAAGTCATATTCATCTTGATACCCAAATTGCTCAGTTGGCTCTGGTCCAATAAAATGGATAGGGTTTATATTGGTGATGACATTCCAGGGCAGCAAAGTTTGTTCATTATGCTTGTTTCTAGGCTCTAGACTTGCACTGTCTCTCAAGACTTATGGACTCTTTAGTTTATGATTACTGAAATATGCATGAACTAGCAGCCTCACTCCCAGCATTGCACAGGAATCATGTAAAATAAAAATCTGTGCAGCTTTAAAATCAGTGGTTAAAATCAGTGCAGTTTTGAAAAGTTCCGTCCACCATCTTGATGCAAAATGGTGTCCAGTTGTATCCAAACAATGACAAAAACTTGCCCTGTGAGGTCAGGGACTATGGTGCACAATTTGATTACAATAGCATGAAAGAAATCCAAATGCAACTTTTTAAAGTGTACTGTAGCTGAAGAGTGGCTGAAGAATGTGGAATTTTGCAGTGGTTGGGTCAACCATGCAGAAGAGATTCCAGAAGATCAAACTCTAAGACACACAGTCCCTTTTCAGATGCTCTTTCTCCACCTCCCTCCTCCTCCTCCTCCTCCTCCTCCTCCTCCTCCTCCCTCTTCCTCTTCCTCTTCCTCTTCCTCTTCCTCCTCAACAAGCCTTTTGGCCACACATGCAAGACCCTTTGCTCATTCATGTGAGCAAGTAAACAAACCAGAAGGTCTTCCATTAATTATAATTTTGTGTTTTCTCCAAATCAGCAAAGTCAGTTTAACAGCTTTGGAACAACCCAGGATTTTAAGCCATGGCTCACAGTTCACTTCCTGTCCTGGCTTGATTTGATGTTCTTAACCACAGTTTGGGTGAAATGGGAAACAATAGTTAAAGAGAAATTTCCTGATTTGCTTGCCCCCACCACAAAGGGAGCTGTGAAAGGACTGTAAACATGGCTGTAAACATCATTAAGCCGAGATGCGATCATCTGAGCTTTCCCACTAACCATCACTTAGTTCTCTGTTGCAGCACACTTTCAAGAGAGTTACTTTTAAAGGCCATAACAAAATCCTACCCCTTTTACAAATCTGCACAAAGTCTAGGTAACTTCTCGTAGACTAATTTAGCTGGCAGGTCCCATCAAAGGTCAAGACCCACAGATCCTCAAGTGTATAGGGCTCTTTCTCCTTCCACAAGTAATAGTGGCAAAAACTCAACTGGCTCATGGCAGCTTTCCTACTGTGTCACACCCAGTGATTATTATATATGTTGAAATATCTCTGCAATTGGTTTGACAGCAGGGGTGTGGAACCTTTTCAGCCAGAGGTCCATCATGGGAGACCATCCAGGGGTTGCTTGCCAGTTTGGGTGGAGCCAGAGATATAAAAAGCAGGTAGGGCCAGAGATAAAGTGGGTGGAGAGACAGATTTGACTCCATCTTTCTTATATAATTTTTATTAAATTTTCTGTTTTACAGTTTAAAATACTCATTTACACATCCTTAAGATATCAGTGACTTCCCTTCTCTTTCCATGGTTCATTTTACATGTCATAAATCCCTGCATATTTTACAGAAACTATACCTTTCAGTATTCCATTATTACACCCATCATAACTTATTTACACTGTTGAATTTATCTTAATGCTGCCAGTGTTTTCAGCTGTACACAGTTATTTCCCATACATTCAATAAACATTTTCCAATCTTCTCTAAACGTTTGTTGTTCTTGTTCTCTTATTCTATATGTTAAGTATGCAAGCTGCGCATATTCTGTCAACTTAAGTTGCCACTCTTCTTTAGTTGGGGCCTCGCTCATTTTCCATTTTGGGGCTAACAAAACATGGGCCACAGTTGTTGAGTACATAAATAACCTTTCTTGACACCTGGGAATTTCAGTCTGAATTATCCCCAACAGAAAGGACTCTGGTGTGTGTGTTTTTTTGGGGGGTGGACACTTTTAAACATTTTTTTCCAATTCATTATGGATCATTTCCCAATACTCTTTTACCCTTTGCAACCGATTTGACTCTCATCTTTGTACTGTAGCCTCATGACAGCCATTCACAAGTCACAGGTTTCATACCCAGAAACATATCTGTCAGGGCTGCCTCAAGTCTCAGCTCACAAAAGACCAACGCCAACTTCTTCTTATATACAAAAGTGTTTATTGGAGTTCATTGTTTGCTTCACATCCGAGGCGCGCAGCCCCACGTCTGTTACACTTAGACCGTTGAAGTCCCCTCTGAGTCAGTCCCTCCCCTGCACCAGTTTAAGAGGCTTGCGCTGCTCCACCTCTTCCTCTCTTTCCTTTTCCGCAGGGTCTTCCTGCCCGCTGGGGTTTCGCCCCTCCTGGATTCCCCTGACGCGGAATCCCCAGATTGCTCTTCCCCCCTCCTGCGGGCTTTGGGACCTGGCCCCTCCTCCGGGCTCCCTGTACTTCCGCGCGCCTCCACATTTGAACTTGGCGCGCGCGCCCAACCTCTAACCTTCCTTTTGACAGCTACACTACTCCCTTCACTACTCCCCTCCCCTTCCGGGAGGGTGGCTTGCTCCGACCTCCCTCCCTTCTCTGCTGCCGGAGCTGCTTCCCCTGATACACTGGAACCTCCACCCCCTTCGCTGCACTCTGGCGGGGAGGCTGGTCCTGATGCCCAGCTGCCACTCTGGGATCCCCCGCTGGCCCCCTGCTCCTGACACGTTCCCCCTGGGGCTCCCCTGGCCTTGACCACCGGCGCCCCCTTCTGGGAATCCTCTGATTCGCTGGAAAGACTCATGGAATCTCTTGAGTCATTGTCATCTTCTTCCTCGCTGTCCTGGGATTCATCCCCATCGCTCTCCATCTCCTGCCTACCCTGTGCCTCTGTCCCTGAACCCCTGACAATATCTCTCCCTCCTGATGCAACAGGCACTGCCTCACTTCAAGGATGTACCCAGTCAGGCAAAAGCACCTGAGGGAGACATGGAGCAGGAACAGTGAGAGGCATGATCTGGGGAGAGTCTCAAGGGCCAGATGGAAAATCTGGAGGACCACATTCAGGTTCCAGGCCAAAGGTTCCTCACCTCTCTTCTACAGGATAATAAGAATAAACTATAAGCCTTTTGAACCTTCGGTGTATCTTTTCAGGGGTCATTTCAATGAAGATTGTAACCTGCTGGCAAGAATCCACCCAGCATGTCCGCTAAGATCCATTTCAATTTGGCTTGCCTGGGATCCTTCTACCTGGAAGTTTCCTTTGTTGTCACAGCAAACTGATGGCAAGTCAACAAACTTGAACATGTAAGAACACAGACCCATTCTGCCTTATTTTTTGCTCTGAAGACCTATATGCCAGACAAAAAGCCTTCAGAAATCCAAAAGCCTCAGCCTGCAGAACATTTCTGAAAAAAAGAAGAGTTGATGAGATATCATCTGTACTTATTCCATGTCCCTCAGCAGATACAGGCACACATGTATCTCTCCATAATTATAAGCTTTGCAAAGCTGAGAGAAGAATTATAATTAAAAACAGTCACGACACACTGAAAGAATAAGTTCTAGAAGATCTATTGCACACATCATGTAATTAATTATACCGTACTGTTCTTGGCTTAAATGCTCTGATGGGGTTTTTTTTAAGGGAGAAGGAACTGAAGAGAAGAATAATTGGGCCATTTGGTACACACACACACACACACACACACACGTGGCAAATCAGCATCAGCATTTATGCTCTCAATAGACCAGTTCTTGAAGTGATGCCTTGGCAGAAACCTCGGTGAAATAAATGAAGACAGTGTCGCTGGCACAGTTCTTTAAGACCCGTGCCACAGTCATGCATTAATTCTTATTGCTTCTTAGCTCAAGCCTAACTGAAAGCCGCTAAGACAAAATACTTACAGTGGTAGTAATCATAACTCTCCTGCAAAGGAGAAGCAAGACTATGGAAGTGTGCCTAGTGCTCATTGAAAGATCTAGGGTTGGTTTTCTGCAACTCCCTTTGGCCATGACCCTGATAGAGATACAACCTTAACAACTAGACTGTGTATCTGCTGGTAGGGCAACAGTAGGGATCATTCAGTCTGTAACTTAAGGGTTAATTCTGCTATCAGTAAGTCAGTTAAGGGGGGGGGTGTTGCTTAGCAATCAAGCAGAGTTGAATGGTTTCTAGTGAGGAAGCACATGCTGTGATGGCTGTGTGGCTCTGAAAGAGTTTTCTACTGTATGTATAAAGCCTAAAGAAGGAAGGACAAAACTTCTCTGTTTATTTCTTCACAAACTGCTGTGAGCGGTGGTTCTTTCTTGACATCGACCATGGGTAGGCAAACTAAGACCCGGGGGCTGGATCCGGCCCAATCACCTTCTAAATCTGGCTCGCAGATGGTCTGGGAATCAGCTTGTTTTTACATGAGTAGAATGTGTCCTTTTATTTAAAATGCATCTATGGGTTATTTGTGGGGCCTGCCTGGTGTTCTTACATGAGTAGAATGTGTGTTTTTTATTTAAAATGCATCTCTGGGTTATTTGGGGGGCATAGAAATTCATTCTCCCCCCCCCAAAAAAAACACATAGTCTGGCCCCCCACAAAGTCTGAGGGACAGTGGACCGCCCCCCTGCTGAAAAAGTTTGCTGACCCCTGACATAGACCCTCCGATTCCTCTTTCACTTCCACGGAACATGTAAATATGCGGTTGTTGTTGTTGTTTACATCTGTCAGTTGGTTTATACTACAAAGGTATGTCTCAAAGTGATTTAGCAACAAAATAAAACAAATAAAGTAAATGAAAAGCCAAATTTAAAGGGGTGTGCAATACAAGGTTCTTAAAAGTGCTTGTCCAAAAATGCAATGCCTCACCCCCTCTAAAAGAAGATTACCACAGGATGTCTAACATCTCAGTATGTCAACAAAGCACAAAGTACATTATCACTGTAGAGGTTAGCTGATTTTGCATGTTGTGTGACGAGAACCGGAAACAGTCTCCCCTAAATTGTTATTAGACTACAGCTCTCACCGTTCCTCACTATTTGCCATGTTGGGTGGAGTTGATGGTGCTTGTTCCTAGACATCTGGAGGGTACCAGGGTTGGGGAAGGAGGCCGATCCAAACAACTTCGACAGAGGAATTTTAATGTTGGGCTGCTCCCAGGAATGAGAAGGTTTTTTGGTATTTAAGTTCTCTTGAGTGGGTAGAAATTAGCTGTGGCACTGAGCTATCCGATGCATGCAGGATGTGCAGCCACACAATCAAGTCCATGCAAACAGACTCCCAAGATTTCGTGTGAGAGAGAAAGAGAGCTATGCAGGCAGCTGTTGCAAAAGCATGTGGCGTCGCTGTGGAATCTGCAACAAGTGATGTATGAGGAGGGAGTTTTTCCAGAAGGAAATAGAAATACCAGAGGTGCATATATAGACTATTCAGTTGCCACTTTGGGATTTTTTCATGACTTATTTTGTTAATTTGCGTTTTCCGTTAGACTACTTCTGATAACTCGGAAAACAACAGAAGTATGTCGAATTGTGGATAACTTCTGTTGTTAACTGAAAATGTGTTGTTTCAAAAATTTATAGAGACAAATATAATTGCCTACACACACAGACACACACAATCTGCACTATGCATTTGAAGCTGTATCATACCACATTAAACAGTCATTGCTTCCCCCAAAGGTTACTGGGAAATGCAGTTTCTCAAAAGTGCTGAGAGCTGTTACGAGATCCCTATTCCCCTCACAGAGCTACAACTCCCAGAGTGGTTTAGCAATCAGGCCTTCTTCCCAGGGAACTCTGGGAATTATAGTTTTGAGATGGAAATAGGTGTTTCCTAGCAATTCTTAGCAACCTTAACAAACTACAGCTGAAGAAGGTGTGTGTGTGAATAAAGTAGCCTACTGCACAAAGGTACCATATTTTTCCATGTATAAGACTAGGTTTTTTCCTTAAAAAATAATGTCAAAAATTAGGGGGCGTCTTATACACTGATACATCTCACCCCATTTTCTTAAATCTGAGTACCCCCAAAATATGGGGGCATCTTATAGACGGAAAAATACGGTAACTTAAATTTGTTGCTCAGCCCATTTCTGCCTCTTAACCCCCCACCCCCCACTTGGCCCTCAAGCTTAAGATTCCTGCATTGCAAGGGGTTGGACTAGATGATCATCATGGTTTCTTCCCACTCTACAATTCTATGATTCTAAGCTGAAAGGGGTTCTCTAATCCTGGTCTATAATAAGAAGTCACATAGGAAGTGCATATTAGTTGTGAGATGGACAGTGAGTGAGCTTCCTTTTCTTGCTTTCTCAAACTCCACACATTCTGATCCTTACCTGACAGGGGTGCCAACTTGAATAAGATATTGGGGAACCCAGGTAAGCCCCACTTTGCATAATCAATCACATAATGAGGCACGCATACCCCATTTGAATGGCAATGCCCATCAACTTTGGGGGGACCCAGCCCACTCAAATATTTTATTGGGGGGGCAAAGGGACCTCAGCTCCTAGGAGTTGGCTCCTATGCTACCTGCTAAGTAAAGATTGATCTGTATGGAGTGTTTCAGGGGTATCCTCTGTGTGTGAAGTTACCTTTGCTTTCCCTGAGTAAAGCAAAGTGCCTGTTCTGCCCCCTGCCAACAATGAAGCATCAGTTGACATGGAATTCAAAGTGCCAAAATCTGCTGGATGTGCACAGACATGGCAGGCTTAAAAGCCCTCTTAAGTGCCAGCGAAAGCAGCCTGTCAAATTTACATCCAGCGAATGATTAACACTGCGCTGTCTGGCTTCTGCCTAGTGTGCAGAATTAATTGTTGTTGCATTCTGCCTGTTCATGCAAGTACGCATCATTATCAGGCAGATCTTCTGGCATCGGTCAGGGGGAAAGTACAGTATGTTAGCAATGCTAAATGTGCCAGCATGATAGCTTCTCATATTAGCATGGCAAAGAAAATACAGCTGCTCTCTCAACAAATGGTTTCCCCAAGCTCAAGATACAGAAAAACAGGCACCAATGTTATTTTACCTTTGGTTGTTCCATAGGCCCATCTAAATATCACATCTCCATTATTACTGACTCAGCTAAACCAAGACAGTTGGCAGGTAAGCTGCAGTGAGCTTTATTCAAAGGGTTGAGAGTCACTCATTAATGCTGGTAGGGACTTCTGACATGAGCTTCACAATGTCATTTTTGATAGCGAAGCCAACCCCATGTATTCAATGTTCTTGTTCAGATAGACCTTTCCAGAAGAATGTGTAGCCTCCTTTTTCTTCCTTCAGTTGTCCCTCACCTGTTCTTCGAGTCTCTTGAAGCACTTCAATATCAATGCTAAAACGTTGCAGCTCTCTTGCAATGATGGCAGTTCTGCATTCAGGACGCTCGCTGTCTGTGTTATCTGACAAAGTCCGTATATTCCATGTTACAAAGTTCATTTGTCTTTTACGACCGCTAGGTGGTGACCCCACTGGGCGCGGTAATCCAGTCAGGGAAAAAGGGAGGCAGACTATGTTTAGGGCACCTTTTCTAGCCCCTCCCCCTTTTCAGGGTGAGCAGAGTGGAGCCTAAAAAGGGCTGCTCAGTCATGGATACAGCTGCTAAGCTGCTCAACTGCCTCGTTCCTTGAGTCAGAACGACTGAATCTGTATCCACCACCCATGTGCCGGTTCATGATTAGGGGCTTCCAGATTTCACAATCCTGCCCCCGTTACCATTTGCTGATCTCCATGGGACTTTTGGGGTTTGGGTTGGGTTTTTTGAAGACACCTGTGGATGAATTTGTTTTATGTGTGTAGATCAGTGCATGCTGACCAACACACAGTCTTCGCAGTAGGGCTCTGTTCCGATGGCATGCAGTAGTCACGACAAACCACTGGATTCCTATCTGCTGCAGCCTTCATCCTCCTTCACAACCATTGTAACATACTGCTTGTTATCATCCGCCTGTTCTGCCATTGAGGACTTCTTGGATCATTCTTTGTCTAGCTCCTTCCCTTTGACCTTACCGCCTTGGGTGACCCTGCTGGGAGTACGAGATTCCCAACGGCTTCGCTCACAAGGGTCATAGGAACATGCAAGCCCACTCACCATGACAAGGTGCTGATCCAGCGAGTGGGAGTATATTGAGAAATAAGATACTGTCCCAAGACTCTAGATATTGCGCCCATGGTAATGAGTATAGTTGTAGGGCATGATACCTATTGCACTCCAACAGAAACTGCTTGCTTGTTTGCTGTCCAAAGTGCCCTAACATTATATAATTATGTAAAGGGGGAATCATAGGGATGCCACAAGATTGCACTTCTCCCCATTTGCATATAGGATGAAAAGGCTTAACAGCCCGTGACTCAGCTGGATCAAAACAAATCTGATGATCTGCTTGGTGGATAAGAGAGTATCATGGGCAAAATCCACCCAACAAGCAGGAAGCAGATTTCTGACTCTTATTGAATGATTCAGAGCTCTTCGGCTCCAGAACGCATCTTGCCTTCAGAAGGAAGTGTTGCAACCAGGCAAACGTTGATGAGATGCTATCCTTTTTCAGTAGGGATGTACCCACTCAGGAGTCCCATGCTCTTCCCACTGTGCCCTCCTGCACCCTGATGATATAACAATACTTGAGGATGGATTATTATGTTTACAATAATGCAGAACTTCTCATGAAGGGAAGGAGGAATTCTGCATATTTGTTATGCAAAACTAAATCACCATGCAGAAAGATGCTGATTCATATGTTCATATGCAAAAAGAGCCCTTGAAGCCACTGATGGGTGAGATTCCAGGAGCAGGTGGCAACTATAGGGAGCCTTTAAAAAACGATAGCACAAATCTTAATCCAGTCAAACATTCATGCACCCATGTATTCTGGAAAGAAGAAGCAAGTTGTTTATTTTGGTGAGTTTGGCTTTGAAAAATTCATTAGATCATTCCTAGAGGACAGCTTCTGAAACTGATTCAACGTAGGAAAAACACTACTAATTGTGTCTAATCCTGAGAACCATCTGCCCAGATGGCGTAAAATTATGTGGTTCCCTTGAAATCAGTGGATTTACATCCATTTTAACAACGCTTGTTCTGGCCTATTTTGAATTCTACTTTTTTGAGAACGGGAAGTTAGATTGACAGGTGAAATGGCTTGGATATAATGAGAGCCACAGTCTTCCCACTGGCAATCCTTCTGCCTTTGCCAAAAAACCCCACCTCCTAAAATCAACTCAGGCTAATCTATTTTTCTTAGGTTCCAAAGCAGGACAGATGGGTCCCGAAGCAGAACTGCCAACATTTAGTGTGAAAGTCTGTTCTTGTGATATTCTCAGCCCTAAGTAGTAAGGGAAGAAACTGCAAAAGCAATAGAAGCCTGTTTCTTTGGAAAGGAAAAAACAGGGAGGGACCCTTCAGTGTCCATCATTTCTATTTAGTTCTCTGTGGGTTCTTATCAGCATGTTAAATTTATTGTTCCAGCGCATTGAGGATCCAACTGAGCATCCATTATGTTGAGTTACTTGTTGGCAATTGGAAAACTTACTCTGCTTATGCAATGTCTTGGTAAGGTTGATTCTGAGCCTTTCTGAAGAAATAAATTCTTTATTTTCACCCAAAAGCAAAGGGAAACCACAATCTTGTCTGAAAAGTAGTAGGAACATAGATCAACATTCTAGGTAGTACCTGCACTGGTCAACTGAATTTAAGATTTATGCTGCTGGTTTTTTTGACTGCCTATAGCTTGAGACCCGCTCCTGCAATCTCATCCTGCTGGAGATCAGGGCTCAACAGGGGTTTTTTGCAACCATGCCATTATGTCTTAAATCAATCAGTCCTCAGGACTTTGATGGCACAGACTTTGCCCCTCTGTTTTACTCTGGATTATACTGCTCTGGGGAGAAGAGCTCCAGGATCAGCTTTCTCCAGCCATATTATCAAAGACTATGATTTTGTTTAACATATGTATGCCTTTCCCCTTTTCGGTAGCCAAGCCAGCATTTAAATCACAAAATCAAACTGACAATAAAGGACTCAATAGACATGCATGCAAAACCCTACAATTTGCCCCTCCCATCAGTGGTGGAGCAAGCCAATCGGGCACCTGGGGTGGTGCGCATGCCCTGCGCCCAGGGGTAGGGCCAGCTGCCGTGGGGTGGGGCGAGCCGGGGCAGGACGCTCCATGGGGCCTCTGAGGAGTCTGCCTGCCTGCTCCCACTCAGCTGCCCTATAGCTGAGGGGGAGCAGATTGTTTGGGCCAGCATGGAGCCTGCGAGATGAGTGGCTCAGGCGCACTGCAGGCCACACGGTGAGTGCCTCCTGGCATTTTGTCACCCCTCTCAGTGGTGACATCCGGGGCAGACCACCCCCACCACACACCCTTCCTCCTGTTGCGATACTGCCAGGGAGACAAAGGCCATCATGCCTCCACGTCATCTCCCGGCCTCCCATGGAAACAGTATCAGTCAATTAGCGACACGAGTCTCGGACACATTCCAGGTCTCGTGCACACCCTGCCTCCCGTTTGCTTTCTCCATCTGGACCAGGGATGGGGAACCAAATGTTGCTGAACCGCAACTCACATCAGCCCTAGACAGCATGGCCAATGGTGAGGAATGATGGGAGTTGCAGCTCAGCAAAATCTGGAGGGCCACAAGTTCCCCACCCCTAACCTTTCCACACTGCGGTGCATGAGGGGTTTTTTTGTACCTCACAGTAAGATGTTCCACTAGTCGCACTCTATCCATTGGATAAAAATGATATGCAGGATATGTTAATAACAGTGCATTAATCCATGCAGATGAGCAGAGCCCTTTGGCACATGGTGTATTCCCCATTTGGTCCATAATGCCCTGTTCAGAAGGAGGCTTAAGTTATTCCTATTTAAATCACCAAAGCCTTTCTGCAATTAGCAGTGTTTTCACAGTTGTTCAAATTAGGCTTGGCCGTTGGAGACATTTAATACATATTCCCATTACAAGTGCTGTGATTAGAGGGAAGGTCAAAGAGTTTATGCCTTTGACACTGCCTAACAGAATACAAATTCTCGGCTGCACGTTGCCTTGGAAACCTTGCACATGGACATTCGCACGACGCTTTCTTTTTAATGGCCATTCTCTACCTAGGCCCTTGAAGATTTTGTACAGTCCACGAAGTGCCAAGTGTTTGTGTTTTGCCCTAGCATGCTTCCTTCAGCTAATAAAACAAAGCGCAGAGCAACCAGGCATAGCCGAGCTAAGGTGTCTGCCACTTATGTGCCTTATTTAGTGCTTCAGCCTGATGCTCGGGGCCAGCTTTGAAAAAACATTAACAGTTTAAGCAGCACGAGATATTTTGATTGGCCCAGTGACCACACATTAAGCACTGCATTCATTATTAACCCCACACCGCTTGGCCATTCCTGCACATTGCAAAAACTGTTTTCGTAGCACAAGAGGAAACATCACTCGCATGGTGAAAATAAATCATCCTGGTGCTTGTCTTCTTTAAACAGGAATGAGATGGATGTAGTAAATCCCCTCTTGAAGGGACCTCTTTGGAAAGGTGTCAACACAGTGGCTTTGTCAGTGATCGGTGCCTCTTTTCTTCAGCTCAGTTACATCTAACTTGCGTCCCTCAATCCAGCATGTGGAGACTACACTTTTTAAAGAAACTAGTTCCAGTTCAGGTCCATTATTGTGCAAAGAGAGGAGCCCAGGGCAACATCAGGACAAAAAGTTCACAACTGCACAGAAGCAATGGAGTTGTCCCAATGGGTGGGCACACCCACCAGCCAAGCTGTTAAAGACAGGGCAAGGCATGCTTACTTGTGAGACTCCTGTGCCCTGTGGGATTGTGAAGCATGGAGTTTAGACTTGTAATACGTCAGAAAAATTCCTGACATGTCCTCATTTTCGTGAGTAAAAATGGCGTCAGGGGGAATTTTGTCGAATCGGCACAATATCAGGGAACTTTGCAGGGGTTAGGAATTTTACTTTTTGAAATATGGCAAGCCTAATGCAGGTGCTCATTGTGTCATGGAGGATGTATTGGCTCCCAGCTATGGGGCTGCTGCTGGGCTCTGGGTTACCTAGCTGTGCTCTTTCCTTCTGATTTTGATTCCTCCACTCCTAGTGGTGGGCTAACACCATCCCTAGAATCCGTTGTAGCACACAGGAGAGAAGAGGGGAGATGTGAATCCTGCTTCCCTAGCCAGTCAACTGCCTCCTAGGAGGGGGAAACCCCCCCTCCTCCAGCCTCTGCCCCACCCCTCACTTCCATCACAGTCTGCCACTCCACTCCTGAGCCCAGGAGTGGCTCAGGACTCATGACAAATGTTTATTTTTCTCTATTTCATTTTATTACTTTGAAAATATTCGATGAAGAGCAGGCTCCAAATACTGTTAATAAAATAATTTCACACTAAAATGCTGGTAAATCTTCATGCAGATATTTATTTTTTTTTAAATGCTAACTCCTATAGAAATCAGGAGAAAGGAATTTAAGATTAGAGAAATGAAATAAATGAGAAAATGAAATTGGCCAGATTCCACCATGCCTGCTTCTGGATGACCACTTTATTCATCCTGATTCGTTTGCACAATTTTTTTCACGGAGGTCAGATGACATTGTTGGAAGCCACCTAGAGTGGCTGGGAAAACACAGCCAGATGGGTGGGGTATAAATAAATTACTACTACTACTACTACTTCATTGACTGCCTGTGCTGGTCCCGGGGGGGGGGTGTTACCATGAGGCGTGGTCAGAGTCCGGTCCTGGGCCGAGGGTCTGGAGACTGTCCACCAAGGGGGAAGCGGGGTCCAAAGCAAGAAGCAGGGCGTGGTTGGGAACTCCGGAAAAACAGGTCTGGGTGCTGGCAGAAACAGGTTTCCAATGTCATTGCTCCCGCAACCTGGGACTGAGCTGACTGGCTTTTATCTCCCCTGAGGCCAGGGGCGGTCCCGGCCCACAGGTGACCCGCCTCTCCTGGCCTTAGGGCGAGCACTCCTCCTGAGAGCACTTAGTTCCCTCCGCCTCTCTGCCCTGAGCCTCTGCAGCTCAGGAGAGGCTGGAGGGTTACTGGACCCAGGGGCAGCTTCACCTTCCCCTGACAGGGCTGGGAGAGGCGCACCTGCAGGCAATGGGTCCTCAATCACCTCCGGAGCCAGAGTGGATACATCTGGTGTCTGCTCCTGAGGACCCGGCACAGGTGCAGGCCCTTCAGATTCAAGCCCCTGCCCCGGCTCAGCCGGCCCTGGAGGCGGGGACTCCTGTGCAGGCTGGGACTCCTCAGATTCAGCTTCTGAATCAGATTCCCAGGCCATCACACTGCCTATTGGTTTATTTGCAGGAAAATTCTACAGTGTTTCTCCAAGCCATTGTCATCTGACTCTTTGGAGCATATTTTCCCATCCCTCTCCCATCGCAAGTCCAATTTGGGGAGCAGGGGAAATCTAATCAAGTTGAATTGTGCAACCTGAGTTTGCCAGTACGTGATTGAATCCCACCTAAAAATAGCAACAGTCTGGAGGTGCCCATATTCTCATTTAAAAGTTATTCCTGATTTATTTCCTGGAGAAATGAGCCTGAGTTCACTGTTGACATAGTCAGGTCTGAGACCAGTTGAGACTTCTTGGCTGGGCTTGACACTTAAAACCTGGAGGATTAATGGGGTTCCTGCTGTCTTCCACTACACTAGAGTGGAAATTCATTTAGACAAAACATTTAATATCACAGGGCTGCCTACTAGCATTTCCTAAATTTCAGGGAGGAAATGACTGACTTAAGAAATGTGGGAGGGGGAGAGATGACTATGGAACTGCTTGACTTTCCCCTCATTGAATAATCCTCTTTTCACAATATAGTGTCGTGGCCACTATCACCACACCGTAAAATGTTCCCTTTGAAGAATATCCGCACTTTTTCCTAATGGCTAAAAGAAAATCCTCCTTGCTTAAGACTTCTGGGAATGATTTGCTTTGCAAGCATCTTTCTGCTTGCAAAATCTCCTGGTTTCTGCCTGGGCCATCTTCAGGTCTAGTTTGGGGAGGCAAGGAGATTGAGGCCCCAATTACAGGAAAGAGGATATACAGAACTCGATATAAGGCAGCTAGTGCCCTATGTTCCTGTATTATTTGGGGTTATTATTAGAACTGCACACAGCATTCCAAATGCGGTTGCACCATAGATGACTAATTCACAATACTAATAGTGCTAGCAGCGTGCTAGATGCCAGAAAGATTTGCATGGTCGTGGCACTACTTACCGTATTTTTTGCACCATAACACTCACTTTTTTCCTCCTAGAAAGTAAGGGGAAATGTCTATGCGTGTTATGGAGGGAATGCCTATGGGTGGCGGGGGGGGGGATCTGCTGCAGTCGTGAGCAGAGGATCCATGGTTCCCCTTCCTTCCCTCCTCCGTGGCTCGCTTTGAAACAGCAAAGCGGGAGAAGAGCCGCTGAGTGGGGAGGAGAGAGGGACAGAGAGCCTGCTTGCTTTAAAGGAGCAAAGCGGGAGAGGAGAGGAGCCTTCTCCCCTTATATCCCTCTTCTTCATTATTAGCAGCATCCTTCTCCTTGTCCCTTGAGTGCTTTTCCTTCCCTCCCCACTTAAAATGTGGTTACAAAGCACGGATCCACATGGATCCTCAGCATTTTTGCACTGGGTCACCCCAAATTCACCATCACATAACATGTCCATGGCTACATCTTGCACCAAAAAAATCACGCACCCACCGTTGCCTGGGGCCACAGTGGTGCAAAAACGTGTTTACAAAGCATGGATCCACATGGATCCTCAGGATTTTTGCATTGGGCTACTCCAAACTCACTGTCAGATCACATGTCTGTGGCCACAGCATGAACCACAAAAATAATACATCCACTGTTTCGTTTAGAATACTTTTTTTCTTGTTTTCCTCCTCTAAAAACTACGTGCGTGTTATGGTCGGGTGCGTGTTATAGAGCGAAAAATACGGTACATTGGCATGAAAAAGAAAAGAATGCAAGTTAAAGAAAAGACAGCAGGTAATGGGGATGAGTTGTTAAGTGGGGTAGAGAGCTTTGGGGTTTTTTTAAGGCTTGGGTGTGTTACCTTTAGGAAGCCTTTGCTCAGGGCAGAAACTAGCCTTGCCACACACACCCCATGTGGGTTTGCATACACACACACCTCAACACATTTGTTCATAAAGGGCATAGAAAGTAGTTTGAAAGAGGCTGGAGAAGAGATAGCCTCTCCAAATAGTAAACTTGTCTGTGTATGTATCTGGCTTTCATTCAGTCTTAAAGTAGATCTCCTCAGAGTAATAGATCATTTGAGGAATTCTAAGAAGTATTATGACTGGATGACCAAAGGGAAAAAGTAAATTGTTTGTTAAAAGTAGAGCTTCCATGTGCAGCAATTGTCTATCTGAGGTCAGGTTTTGAATTGGATTTCTTTGGTTACAAGGCTTCATTTCCATAAGAGCAGCCAAGTTCTTCTGGTTTCTCTCTCTCTCTCTGTGTGTGGTATTTTTGAGGCTTTTACCACCCCTCTTTTTGTTTCCTGACAAATACAGTTCCCTGGCAAGCACTGGTCAGCCAGGCTGAATTGAAAGGGTTTGCACAGAAAAACATGAGGTTAAAACACCTGGGTGTGTTTGTCTAACTTATCTTGTTTTCCTAAGATCCTGTTGCATATCTAGGATGACTGGGAAATTAGTAACAATTAATTAAATAAATAAATTTATATACTGCCCAATAACCGCAGGTCTCAGGCTAGTTCACAAAATAAAATCACAATATAAAAACACAAAATACATAATCAAAATAAAAGCAAAAGCAATTCAATAACCCACTCCAACACATTTTAAAATGGCATTGGATTATTTTTTAGAGATTAGTTAAAGTCTTTAAAAGTTGTTACACACTGTAAGTCTCAAGTCCTTCCCCATTAATATAAAGAATTGTAAATAACATGGTTAAAGCAGAAGGGGGAGTGAGATCTGAATCTGAAAAAGCCAACGCACATATTTACAACAAGCTTATCACTGGTTCTCATGACTCTAAAGAGAGAAGGAAGAGTGCAAATATATAAATACAATAATCATAATAACAACAGATGTAAGATTAAAGTGGGGGGAATTTTGGCCAATGCAAATTCTCCCCACACTCAAAGAACTCACCACTCAATTAGATCTCTCCTTGAGTCATCCGTTGACCAGGAATGATGAAGGTGGCTGTAAAGCCTAGTGGACTTGCCTTTTCCATGCCCTCCCACAGTGCCAGACCCACATAATGACCCACATCAGAAACGTGAGGCATAGTGTGGCGTTTGCCCGTTCTTTGGGGATACATTTGTATTGGGGGGAGAAAGGGTTAATAGGTTGACCAATAAGAAAGCCTGGGGGCGGAGCCTACCTGATTTTGAGGCTCAGCCCAGAGGTTTTGACAGTTAGTTTGGTTGGTTCCTTTGGGGGGGAGATAGAGGAGTCAGAATGAGTTAGAGACAGGAACAAGACTAAGAGGGAATAGAGTGACAGCGTTTTGAATATATTTTAAAACTTGTTTGTATTTTAAATTAACTTTAATGTTCATTATTAACTCTACCTGAGACTCTACTTCACCGGGTTCCCTGGCTGGGTTTCCCCAGCCACTCTGGCCGGCTTTCAACAGAACATTAAAAACAGAAGAAAACTTCAAACATTAAAAACTTCCCTAAACAGGGCTGCCTTCAGATGTCTTCTAAAAGTCAGATAGTTGTTTATTTCCTTGACATCTGATGGGAGGGCGTTCCACAGGGCGGGAGCCACTACCGAGAAGGCCCTCTGCCTAGTTCCCTGTAACCACACTTCTCAAGACACACTTCTAGATACACAATATCCAGTCTTTTGCCCAGATACATTTTTTACATTTAGAAATCAAAGAATGTTACAGTGGAGAAATAAAGCTGAGTTTAGAATCAAAACAAGGACTATGTTTCTCTTTATCAGGCTGGCAACGGCCACCCTGCAGGGTTTATGGGGCTCCCTGCTGCCTTGATTGTCAAGCCATTGTTCCCTTGTTACCTGTCTTTTGACTCACTGAATGCTCTGTAAATGAAGGATTAAGATGGGAGGGAGAGGAGAGAAATGGTTATCTGTTCTCTCAAGGAGCACGGGTGCAAGCAAAGGTCCACTCCCCTCCCCCTCTAGCTGACAGGCTGAAAGCTTGGCACCCTCTGGAAAGTGTCATGGGGCAGAGATATTCACTGCCCCCCCCCTGTCTTTGCTAAATACCGCATTTTTCGCTCTATAACACGCACCAGACCACAAGACGCACCTAGTTTTTGGAAGAGGGAAACAAGAAAAAAAATATTCTGAATCTCAGAAGTCAGAACAGCAAGAGAGATCGCTGTGCAGTGAAAGCAGCAATCCCTCTTGCTGTTCTGGCTTCTGTGATAGCTGCACAGCCTGCATTCGCTCCATAAGATGCACACACATTTCCCCTTACTTTTTAGGAGGGAAAAAGTGAGTCTTATAGAGCAAAAAATACGGTACTCTGTCTTAAGGAACAGCATAAAAGACAGCGGGGAAATGGCTTGACAAATAGAGGGACATTTCCTCTAAAGCTCTATTGCTGCATGCACAGAACATTTTGAACACATGAAAGAGTGAGAACTCTTTTTCTCTGCAGGCTCTGCAACACTGTTATGAAGACGGAGGCAGTTCCACATCTGGATGCTTCCTTTAAAAACAGTCCTCTGTGATAGACTTATTTTTTTTGAAATATGTATTGAAATCATCTTTATTTGGATCTTCCATACCCTATACCAGAATGAGAGAGGACCGACATAGACAGACAATGCCAAGCAGAATCACATCTAGACACGCCACACGGCTTTGATTTATTTTATTTTCACAGATAAAGTCTCTGGCACTGAAACGGGAGGAAGGATAGTAAAGTGTTTGGATTCACTTCACACAGTTCTGTTGTCGTGCCTCAGCTTCAAAGGCTTTTTGTTTTTAAGAAGATCAGGATGACTCAGCAGCTCTGGTAGGAAGATATTAAAATCTGATGGTCAAAGTGGAATAAACAGAGATACTGGGAGATACCAAAATTCAGAGACAGTTTATCAAGCAGCCTGCCTGAGCCTGCCATCTTGAGCTATTACCTTAAAATAGTTTGTGTGTTCTTAATCAGATGTGCCCACAAAGTGAGCCATTAGCGGATGGGGACACGGGTGGCGCTATGGTCTAAACCACCAAGCCTCTTGGGTTTGCTGATCAAAAGGTCAGCAGTTCGAATTCACACGACAGAGTAAGCTCCCGTTGCTCTGTCCCAGCTCCTGCCAACCTAGCAGTTCAAAAGCACACCAGTGAAAGTAGATAAATAGGTACCACTGCGGTGGGAAGGGAAAAAGCATTTCCGTGCGCTCTGGTTTCCATCACGGTGTCCCGTTGAGCCAGAAGAGGTTTAGTCATGCTGGCCAAATGACCTGGAAAGCTGCCTGTGGACAAACACCGTCTCCCTTGGTCTGAAAGCGAGATGAGCACCGCAACTCCATAGTCGCCTTTGAGTGGACTGAACTGTCCAGGGGTCCTTTTCCTTTACCCTTACCTAGTGTGACAGAGCTACACCGCTGACCTCCAGTTGGTTGTGCTGATGCTTCCTGGGAGGTAGAGGGAGCAGGGAGAGAGGGCAAGGTCACTGTGGTGATGTCAGGAACTGGACTGAACAGGAGGACTGAGAAGTTTTCCCTCAGCCTGATCAGCTTCTCTCTGAAGGGGAAGAGGAGTGAACAGCCCCCCCCCATCATTTCAGAAGGAGAAAGGGCTGCTTCACAGCTGCAGGAAGAAATGCCTAGTTATGACATAGTGGAGGAGGAGGGGGAGCAGCCAGCAGAGACCTCCCTGGAGAGTCTGGAAGATCCTGACTCCCCAAGGGCTCCTAGGTCCCTACGCATTCAAGAACAAAGAATGTGAAGGAGTATGACTCCGGGGACTTCCTGTAAACTTTCAGGATGTTGTTGGGGACGGAAGAGGAGGGGCTCAGAGTAGCCAACTTCTCTTCATGTGTGGAGATATGGATTCTTTGTCTCTCAGCCAGATGACTGAATAAAAGCTCTATAAATTACGAACTGCATGTTATTCTTGCCTCTGATGCTACTGGTGGAGGAGAGGATTCTCCACACCTGACAGGTGCAAACACATTGCGGTGCAATCTGCCAGTGCATTTACACACCATCAGCCTCACTGCCACTGCACCCCTCTCTCTACCTCCCCGTAAGCAGCAGCAACGTGACCAATTGGAGGTACTGACACCCCACCAAGCTGCCAGCTACTGAAGCCAGTGTACAGTGGTACCTCGGGTTAAGAACTTAATTCGTTCCGGAGGTCAGTTCTTAACCTGAAACTGTTCTTAACCTGAAGCACCACTTTAGTTAATGGGGCCTCCTGCCGCCGCCGCGCCGCCAGAGCACGATTTCTGTTCTCATCCTGAAGCAAAGTTCTTTACCCGAGGTACTATTTCTGGGTTAGCAGAGTCTGTAACCTGAAGCATATGTAACCTGAAGCGTATGTAACCCGAGGTACCCCTGTACTATACATTGTGCTTATGCTGTGGTGACTGATTGCTCTCCTATGCACTTGTGTGCTAGTCTGCGTTTGAGGATTCCATCCCAGATTTATTTACGTGTAAATGTTTCTAAACCACCAACATCAAGGGTGGAGGGGGGGCATGGTGGTGAGCAACAATGGCATTTGTGAAACAAATACGAAATACAGCCAACATAATTTATTCATTTTCTTATATTTATATCCTGCCTTTTATCCATCATGGAACCTGCGGCTGCATGCTTCTGATTACTCCATCCAGGCACTGAGGCTTCTTAAGGTTTAAGGTTTTATTATGTTTTTATATATGTTGAAAGCCACCCAGAGTGACTGGGGCAACCCAGTCAGATGGGCGGGGTACAAATATATTATTATTATTATTATTATTATCATTATTATTATTATAGCTTCAGCAAAGAGGTGGCCTCATGTGGTGGCCTTAGAACCATTGGAACCAGAATCCAATATGGAAATTATTCTGCTATGGTGACATATATCAGTTACACATCGGAACAGGTGCTGTCTCTTTTCGACACGTTTTTGGTGCCTTATTTTTCAACAAGCCTTTTAACCTGAGATCTTTCTCCCAATCAGTATGTATATTGAGTTCATATACATATGGGCTCATACATTTACACATAGGAGATTGCTTTTAATTCTTTTTTATACATAGAATTTTTTTAAAATTCTTTTTTACATACAGAATTTCCCCCCCAAATTGTTTTCATTGTTGATGTGTGGTTTGTTTTTGTTTTTACTGTAAAACCACTTTGAGATCTTTAATGTGAAGTGACTCACGAATGGAATCAAATCAAGGAACAACAGAAAATATATGAAATTTGCCGGAGGGAGGAATACAAAAACAGAATCTCTGCCTGAACACCTACTCCTGTCAAAAACTTGCAAGAGATGCTTTTCCCCTGGGGATTCTTTGCTTCTTTTTGTGTGTGTCTCCAAGCAGCACTTCAGTCCCATAATAGCTTACTGAGATTTTACTTCTTCCCCAAGCAGAATGCCCTGCCTAGACAGCTTTCAGGGCTATAAGTGGGTCTCAAAGTCTGAATACACTCCGCCTTCCTTCTCTGGGACTGCCTTCCCTGTGGTTTTATGTAAAAGTGCTGTCAGTTTGGGAGCATTTTGGAACTGAGGGGTATGGAAAAGTAGGGCAATGATTTCTAATGAGATGCCTGAATTAGCAAAATGCTCTTCTGTATGCACAGGGCGCAGCAGAGACCAAGGCTGCCTTCACTACCCTCCTCCTTCCGGCAGCTGAGCTGGGTGTATTTGCGACACAATCCCCTTCTCAGAGGTAAATGTGTCCTCTTTGTGCAATCAGACACCTTGTGGCGCGATTGTCTCATCAGGTCATCACTTTCTATTCATTTCTATTAGAGCTTTTCTTATTCTCCCACACTTGAACGGGGAGGGAAGAACCACTTCATCGCATTTCGCCGCCGACTGATTTAGGTATTCAGCCAATATCAATTCATATGTCGTTCTTGAGGGATTTGGGTTAAGCAAATCTCCAGTTTCCGTGTGAGCAGCCCTTCGGATTATTTGCCTGTTCCTCCCCTATTGAAAGAATCAACAGAAAGAGACAAGCTCCATGTAAAGGGATAAGTACACATTGCAGGCACTACTGACCCACATCTCTCCCTAGTAACGTCATGCAATTGGGAGGAAAGTCTGATGCGACATCGCGGCACACGCATTCTCCCACCTTCCACAAGCGGTACTGAAGGAAACAGAGCAGGGAACTGGAAAATGCTAACATGAGGACATCAGATCAAGGAGTGCGGGTTTCCTTTTTTCCTTTCCAGGAAGACAAGAGGTGAGACACAAGTTGGTAGCACAAATGCATCTCACTGTAATGTACAGAGGAGAACTCTGGGTGTGTTTGTTAGACGGCATTCTGAACAAAACCCATTGCAACTACAATATAATAATAATAATAATAATTTTATTATTTATCTGCCGCCCATCTGACTAGGTTGCCCCCAGACACTCTGGGCGGCTCCTGACTAAAAAATTTAAAAAAAACAAATAAAACAGAACACTAAACATTAAAAACTCCCCTAATATACCAGGAGTGGGGGAACAACCTACCAGCTGAATCCTTTCCCCACCCTCCATGGGTAAATCTTGAAAGGTGGATGGGGCCACCCACCTGTCAATCACCTGATGCAGTTATGGTCTGAGGTGATAACTTGAAAGGGGCTCGCTTTCAGTGCCAATCAGCTGATTTATGCAAGATCTCACTTTCAAAGGGGGATAGTTCTTAGTGCAAGCAAACAGACCTCAGGTTGATGGCTCTCAGCTCCCATCAGCTGATTAGAGCTAAAGTCTGTTGGCAAGTGGTTTGAAAAGAAGAACAGACTTCAAAGGAATGGGTCTCAGTGACCCATCATCTGATACACCAACCCCATTTTAAAGCAAGCTCTTGCAATCATCAAGACTATATTACACATTCATTCTTGGCCAGGCTAGATGAGGTAGTATGGGGGTGAGTGATTCAGACTGGGACAGTGGCACTGGAAAAGGTGCAGTAAATTTGTACCCACCACCACCATGCCATTTTCCTGATGGAAATTATCGCTCAAAGCTTCTATTTGCACTGCTAGGGAAAACGTACATGTTCACCCTTCCCAGCGTTGCAGTTCTGATCCAAACATCTCCCAACACCACCCAGTTGCTTATACATACACCCAACCTCACACACCAGGAGATTCTATCCTGAATCTCCACTGTAACCTCAGCCTTAGCATCATCAACCCCTGAACACTGACTTGTTCACTTCCCATCTGATCTAATCAATATCTGGTTTGCACTTTCAATCTACTTCCACTGTGCCATAGACTTCGTAATGGCTTTTCAGCGTTGGCTTTCAACACATTTCCTCTCTGCTTCAGTCCACAGTCCACATCTTTCAACTTCTCCTAATCCAGGAGCCTTTGGCTCTCCAGATGTTGCTTATCAACCATTGGCTATGCTGGGCTTATTTATTCTGTGATAACTGATGCTAACCACAGGCACAAGTTTGAGTGTCATCCAGCTATGCGCTCATTTACTGCCCCAGCATCATTATAAAATTGCAACCTGATTCCTAAAGCACTTGGCAGATAGAAGGCCCAATGCAATTGTCCAAGACTCCATTCCCTTGCCTTGAAACAAGCTTCAAGAATAGATTAACACAGATGGGCTCTCTGTGTGGCCATGCAAAAAGCATTGGGTGGAGTGGGGGGACTTCTAATTTAGTTTTCATATACTTAACCAATATTGAGCTAGACATGTTAAAAGCACCTGCTATTTATGCTAGCTTTATAAATACTATTTACAGATCTCTCGCCCACACTCTAATCCTCGGGAGAAATGTACTTCCAAAACGGCTTTGGAGTCACATTAAAACCGCCTAATCCTACAGGCTTGAAAATATCTGAAAGCAGTACGAATGCCATTCCTAGAGGCCACCACCTCCCCCAAGATGAAGTGGAAGTTCTGCTGTTTCCATCTTTCCCAGTGGTAATGCTATTGAAAGCTGCCACCTGCCGTGGATTTACCATATTTAGTCAATTCGGGAAGATCCATGAGATTTTGAAGGGATGCTGTGTGCATATTATGGTTTCCTGTATGCAGAAATATCTCTCTTATTTTGATAACACCGTTTAAGATCAAGACAAAGTGTTCCATCAAAGAGTTGATGCACAAAAGGCAAAAATTCAGTGAATGGAGGAATGGATTTATCTAGAGGAGATTCATCCCGCTACCTATTTCTAAAGATCTTTCATAATATATAATATAACAGAAGTTGGAAGGGTTGCCAGCATCACGCCCATGGGCAGAAATGCAGCCACAAAGGCCTCCCCTGGTGCCTTTAGGGGACTTCCCCTTGTCTCCCCACCACCACGCCTGAAATTAGGCCTTAAAAGAAGCCTTCTTGAAAACTGCAGCTAGTAAAAGGGAGAACAGATACACTTTGCAATCTCTTTATTTCATCCTTTAGCAATAATCATCCAGTCCTGCTCTACTCATCCTAATAAGCGCAGAATAAACAAACTCTTGCTTCTGACTGCAGGCAAACAAACATGATTCTTTGTTGCTGGCTGGGTAGAGAACACAACTGAAACTGAAACTGTAAAGCAGTGGGGAGTCCAAAGGCCAAGGTCTCTAACTCTAGCCCATAATGCAAAGTTCTAATGTTTAACTCTTTATGGGTCACATTCCCATATGGACTGGGGTTTTTTCCCAGGATCCCTTAAGAAACAGGTTGACTGCGATCATGGAAAACCCACCCACTCTTCCAGGTACAGTTTTTGCTGTGCACTCACCCTGCCTTATTCACTGAATTTTTATTTTAGGGTTCTAGTCTTAAACTGCTCCAGTGTTTACTTTAAAACAAGCTGTCGTTCTTGAAATAGAGGCTGTCATTGTTTGTCATACCACAAATTTAAATATAATTATGTCCTCCCCCCCCCAAAAAAAAAAATTGAGTGGGAGCAATGCACAGCTCTGTAGAGGGGATGGTGTACCCTTTAAAAGGTAAAAAAGGTAAAGGACCCCTGGATGGTTAGGTCCAGTCAAAGGCGACTATGGGGTTGAGGCACTCATCTTGCTTTCAGGCCAAGGGAGCTGGCATTTGTCAGCAGACAGCTTTCCAGGTCATGTGGCCATCATGACTAAACCGCTTCTGGTGCAACAGGACAGCATGACAGAAACCAGAGTGCACGGAAATGTCATTTACCTTCCCACCGCAGTGGTACCTATTTATCTACTTGCACTGGTGTGCTTTCGAACTGCTAGGTTGGCAGGAGCAGGGGCAGAGCAAAGGGAGCTCACTCCATTGTGGGGATTTGAACCACCGACCTTCTGATTGGCAAACCCAAGCGGCTCGGTAGTTTAGACCACAGTGCTACCCGCGTTCCAGTGTGCCCTTTAGCCTCACCCTGGCTACAGGGCTGAGCCCCCAGAAATTTGGCCATGTTCAGCCTCCCTTTGCCTCTCATTTCACCTGATATAATCTTTTGCACAGAGATCCTTCAAGGTATATCCCCTGAATGCCAATTCTGAGAACCAGGTTTTTTTGTTCCATTAACACTGTTAAGGAAAGTATGGTATAAACTGATATCTTGGGGTGAGGAGGGAACCTCACACATTTCTAGTGAGGCTCTGTTAAAAAAAGAAAGTGATTTGTGAAGTTTCTACTTCTTCTTTTTTTTTACTCCAGGATTTGGCTTATACTGTAGTTTTTTCTGCTGGGAGATTTAAAAACAAAACAAAAAATGTGTCTTTAAGTAGAGTACACCCACGGCTCTCCAACTGTGAGGCAGGCCTCCCCAAGGAAGTGTGGGCAGCAGTTGCTAAGAGAAGTCTGAAGCAGTAGCAGAAAGGGAGGAAAGCATAAGAGAAATTCAGATTAAATATAGAAATGCAGAAAGAGATGATAAGAGAGAGCAAGGGAGCCGTGGAGGAGGTGGGAGGCAAACCTTTCCAATTGCTTTAGCAAATGTTAACCTTGAAATCTAGACACTTGTGTGTTCTCATCGAGATCCTTCTTTTGATGAATATATTATTTTAAGTTTTCCTTATATACAAGTTCATTGTTTTGGTTTGATCGTTTCAATATTATATGAAGACGCTCTCCGGAGCAATAGCCATGCTAATCTCTTGCAGCAAAATCAAGGAAGAGTCTTGCTATAGCTTTTGGGGAGCACAGTGCACCCCCAAAGATTATGCCATAATATACATTTGCTGTTCTTGAAGTTCTCACAAGATGCTTTCTTAATTTAAAAGCTTGTAAATATCATGGGTTCAGCAGCAACTCCTTGATCAGGGATAGGAAATCTGCAGCCCTAATAATAATAATAATAATAATAATAATAATAATAATTTTTTTATACCCCTTCCTGGCCAGAGCCGGGCTCAGGGTGGCTAACACAAGTAAAATTACAATAAAAACATAAGAGGGGAAAAAACAATTATCTTGTTGGACTCCAACTCCCATCAGCTCCAGCTAGCATGGTTTAATAGTCAGGGATAATAGGAGTTGTAGTCCAGCCACTAGGGATGTAAGAAGGCAGCAATTTCCATCCCTTCTGTATTCTTCACAATCAGCGCTGTTTCCTTTCCGCTGCAGTTACATGCTATGTTGTGCATCTCCATTTAATGTAGGCTACGTAAGTTACGTAACTATTTCTGTAACTTACATTCATTTCATTGTAAATGAAACATCCAAACAATATTTAAAAGGTCATTTGTTATGTATCGTTTGTGGACTTTTGGGGGTGGGAACAAGATGTGAATACCGATGGCATTTGCGTGCCTGATTTCCTATTCCTGACCACAGACAGATAGCAACAGCTTCTGCTTCCTTTCTTTGACATCCCTACCAGTGACACCAAGGCCACAGGTTAGTCACCCCTGCCCCACAGATGGTTCTGAGTAGTAGCTACACATTCCCACTGATTTTAACAGAAATAGATATATATACTAGAAGCAACAAGACAGATTGTGGATAATGATCTTCCAGCTCTATTTGTGTTACACAACTTAAATAGGAAACGTGTATGCACAGCATCAGACAAAACAAAACAAAGTTTCCCAAGTGATGAGTTCCAAGCGTGAGAGTAAGGTCAACTTTTAAGAGATGGGCTGGAAGGAACAACCAGAAATAGATTAGGAGTGAAGGGATGAGGCCAACTGCACAGGGTGGGGGGAAACAAGCTGGAATGTTAACCATTAAAACCATTAGAAGAGGCTGAAGAGGTAGGAGAGATGGGAAGCACTATTATTTAACCAGCTCCTCTAAATGGCCAACACCAGTGCCGGATTTACATATAAGCTAAACAAGCTTTAGCTTAGGGCCCCACTCTCTTGGGGGCTCCCCAAAAAAATTAAAGGAAAAAAACTGGATGTACATTTCCAACATATAAGATAAAAAACTTATAAAATAAAACCTACATACAGCAACAGTGTTTTGTGTTGTGTATGGACCTACTAGGTCCATAAATTACCTATAGCATATATTCAACAACAAAAACAGTGACAATTTGTTGTTGACAGAGGACAGCTGGACATATAAAGGGCCCCATTACCTTCAGTAGCTTAGGGCCTCATCAAACCTAAATCCGGCCCTGGCCAACACCTTCAGGCTCCGAAGGTCCTTGAACTATTTTCACTCCAGCTAGTAAATATAAGAGCTTTAAGAATTGGTACCCAAGCTTGCTTCTCCCCTCCTCTTCCCTGCCCATCACTCTTTCCTTTTGTGTCATGGATAAGCCTATGGGCAGGGGCTACCTTGCCTCAATTCATTGTGAGTAAGCCAGCATGGGAGCCTCTTCAGTGGAGCCAGTTGAAATAGCTCTAAATAAATAACCAAGAAGGAAGTGCCTTAGTATGAAAGAACACACAACATTTTTATTAGGGTTAACTTGCAGCAGCTTTCAGCATCACTTCATAATTCATAATTCATAATTCAGAAAGCAGCACACCAAGGTTTGGGTTTCCTATTGTCTCTCCTATCTTTTCTGTGTCCATGGCAGAAGCAGATCACTAGGGGGGAGCAGAGCTGCTACTCTAGCTTTCCGGCAGGTGGGGCACTGCTTCTGAACAGGAGGGAGAAAGGCGGAGAGGCAAGATGGTGGCAGAGTTGGTGCAGTGCAAAGACACCTATGAAGTATTGGGAACTGCTGCCTGGATCTCACACTTTCCTTGCTCTTCATCTGTTGAGGTCCTTGAAGTCTGTATACAGGGAAGAACCTCATCCATAGCTGAAGGCTTTAATTAAAATGGAAAGTTTGATGCTGGTGGTCAACAAAAGAGGTTTAAAGACTCTCTCAAGGCAAATCTGAAAAAATGTAGTATAAACACTGACAACTGAGAAACACTGGCCTGCGAGTGCTCCAGTTGGAGAACAGCCTTTACCAAAGGTGACATGGGCTTTGAAGACACTTGAACTCAAGACGAAAGGGAGAAACGTGCTAAGAGGAAGGCATGCTTGGCAAATCCACACCGTGATCAACTCCCCCCCGGGAACCAATGTCCCCACTGTGGAAGGATGTGTGGATCCAGAATTGGCCTCCACAGTCACTTACGGACTCACTGTTAAAACCGTGTTTATGGAAGACAATCTTACTCGGCTACGAGTGATTGCCAAAGAAAGAAGAAGATGATTATATAATAGTTATGACCATCCCTAAGTTAGGGGGCATGGTCTTTCCTTTATTTGTGTCTATAAATATCCTGCTTAATTCCCAACTAAAGAAGAATGGCAACTTAAGCTGACAGAATATGCACAGTTTGCAGATTTAACATATAGAATTAGAACAAGAAGAACATACGTTTAGAGAAGATTGGAAAATGTTTATTGTATATATGGGGGGGCTGTGTACACCTGAAAATGTTAGCAGCATTAATATAATTTCAACAGTGAAAATAAGGTTTGGTGGGTGTATTAATGGAATATTGAATGGTTTAGTTTTTGTAAAATATGCAGGAATCTATGATATGCAAAACGAACCATGGGAAGAGAAGAAGGGAAGTCATTGATATTTTAAGGATGTTAAAATTAGTATTTTAAATTGTATATTTTAAGGATGTTAAAATTAGTATTTTAAATTGTATAACAGAAAATTTAATTTAAAAATTATTAAATAAATAAATATCTTGATTAATAAAATGTTTTCTGGCATTTTATTTTATCTATTCTTGCATTTATATCCCCTCTTTCCCCCATGGAGCAGAAGATGGCATATGCTTGTTAATCTTACTCTCAAAACTACCATGTGAAGTAGATTAGGCTAAGAGGTTGGGCCCAAGGTCACCTAGGGAGCATCGTGACTGAACAGGGATTTGAACCCTGACCTCCTAGGCCCTAGTTCAACACACTAACCCCTACACCACGGTGCTATAGTGAAGTAATAAAGCATTTTCCGGCATTGCTAAATCATGCAGCATCTTGAAGAAGCAGAAAATAAAGTAGGTTTTACTCAAAAGAAATTCGGGGAAGGGTAAATGCAAAACAGGCTATTGAAAAATAGCCAGGACTGGATTAAAATTCAAAAATACTTAATGGATTATGAAGAAAAGTACACCTGGTAATAATCAACAGGCTGCTGTGAGAAGTTCACAGTGCAATAAATAAAATGTACGGTCGTGCAGCACAACTTTTTATGTTAACATCTGTAAAGCAGCTGCAGATTATTTGTTCTTAAATTCCTCTTATCTTTGCTGTGGTTCTAGAACAGGTATGCATGTTCTTGAAAATAAATTGTGGCACTGGATGCTTGCTGTGGCGATAAGCAGACACTTTATTATTTTATTTATAGTGTATCTTATACTTGCTCAGAAGTAAGTTCGATTGAGTTTGATGGGTCTTACTCACAGGGAAGTGAGTATAAAAGGCTGTAATACTACGTACAGTGGTACCTAGGGTTACAGATGCTTCAGGTTACAGACGCTTCAGGTTACAGACTCTGCTAACCCAGAAATAGTACCTCGGGTTAAGAACTTTGCTTCAGGATGAGAACAGAAATCACACGGCAGTGGTGCGGCGGCAGCGGGAAGCCCCATTAACTAAAGTGGTACCTCAGGTTAAGAACAGTTTCAGGTTAAGAACTGACCGCCAGAACGAATTAAGTTCTTAACCCGGTACCACTGTAAAGGTAAAGGTAAAACTAAAGGACCCCGGATGGTTAAGTCCAATCAAAGGCAACTATGGGGTTGCAGCCAGTGACGGATTTATGTATAGGCTAAGTAGGCTGAAGTCTAGGGCCTCTACATCTAGGGGCCCTCGCCAGCCAGCCCGCTCCCCAGAGGGCAGTCTCCCCTCTCCCAAAATTGCAACCCAAGACTTCATGGAAAGGCAACTCAGGCCCAGCAACTATGAGACTCAGGGCTAGCCAGTGGGGCCCAATTTGAAGCAGTGGGGCACAACTTGATTTTTTATTTTTTTTAGGGCCCCAGTTCACAGCCAAAATCTTCAAAATCTTATAGATATAAATAAAATCCATCTAGATTGCCCTGCTGCAGGGGTCCCTTTAGGAGCAGCACGCGGGGCCCAATTTGGCCAAATTGCTCCAATTGCCTTAAGGTCAGCCCTGATGAGACTTTGCAGGGGTTGGACTGACAAGCCCTGCACCTTCTAGGTCCCTGGTGTCACTATTCAGAGTACAGACTCAAGGACTTGTTATGGAAATGGGGGGGGCACTTATTGGAAATCAGTTTTGTCACCTCTCCCCTCCAAACCTCGAGACAATGAGCCCAGCCACCTTTTATTCACAGTCGCATAAGCACTACACTACAGCATGGCCATAAACCTGTACGTTCAACCGCTGAAATATACATCCAATACGTAGCAATGGAGATTTGTGTTACTGCTTTATAAATGAACACTATGTTTCTGTATTTTGTGAATTACCTAAGAGCCACCAATAGAGAGCTCTAGAATCTGACAGCTAACCAATTGGGTACTACCAAACAGTGACCCCATTGCTGAAAGCAGGTAACCAGCAGGGAATGCTTCAGCTCAGCCTTTGCACTGTTGACTGAACACCCCTTGCTGTGCAGATAATGGAGAAAGCTCGTAAAGTGTATCCCTTCTGACATCCTGGCCAACTCTATTATGCTGGCGTAAACCCTGGTGCACCAGAAGCCCAGAATAGCAGCAAATAAAATCTGTTCATACGTCAGCGACTGATAAGACTTGTCAAACAGTTCTTCCAAAGTCTTCCTAACTTATAAAGCTCCAAAATACAGGCCAAAAGAGTGCAGGTCTGGGAAGAGCAAGGCATACAGTGGGCACCACTAGTGAAAAGGCCCTGCTCCGTGTAGCTCCTGCCCTGTCATTTGATAGGGTGCCCACTTGCCCTCCTTCTTGACATGGAATGCTCTCTATTGGAGTCTCCAGGTCCAGTACAGAGACAATAAGAAGGGAGAGCAGGGACCTTGAAGTTCCCAACAGCTGTTAAACAAGCAAGCAAGCACATAGGTCACCTTTGTCACAGTCAGGATGCCTATGTCCTGGCCAGGCCTGCACCCAATCTTGTTTTTGTACGATCTTGTTTGTCCTCAGTAACCAAAATTATATTATCAACATATACAAGCAGAAACGTTGTTTTCCTTCATTTGCAAGGAATCGTACAAAACAAAGTGGCACTGGGTGGCAACAGAAAGCAAACTAAATATAGGAAAGCTGGTGCTATTAACAGTTATCCTTGTAGTTGGTTAATTGGTTCAGCAACTTCCATGCACATGACATGTGATGCTAATTATTTTCCCCAAGAGTTAAATGATAACTAATCAGAAGCAGCTACAGTTGCAAATGGCAACAAAATATCTGTGAAAGGAAGAGGAGCAGGTTTGCTCGTGTGTTGCAGGTAGAAATACTGTTTGTAATGAAGTGAGAGCAGTAGTTTACTTGCTCGAATTAACAAATAAGAAATTTCGAGAATTTAAATTCCAGATTAAAATTGATTAATTGAGAAGGGGATTGTAACAAAAACACTGGAGCCTAATTTGAATAGTAGAGTGCCTGGTACCTGGTGGGCAATCTCATCCTTTATTTCCACACCGTAGCTGCAGACCAAAGCACTCGTCAGGAGAGCTATGAGAGTCAGGTGAGGGTCAGATGCCTTGTCAATCCCAACAGGTATATAACAGGAAGACCCGGCCTGGCCAGGCCTGTGGCCTGGTCTTCCTGTTATATACCTGCTGGGATTGACAACCTTACTGTTGGTTGGGGAGTATATTGGCATGCTCCTCACCAGCAGGGCTTCCCTGATGACGTACTGCTAATGAGTACCTCATTAGCAGAGGCTAGCAGAACCAAGCAGGGCTGCACTGAGGAACACCTCCTCCCCGTCCAAACCCACTCATTGCAGATTGTGAGTTTGGATTGCTCTCCCTATTATTTTTACACCCTGTTTTTTCACCACCGTAACCATAAAGTAGTTGTAAAATCTTAAGTGATTTTAAACATATAATTCTGTGCACAAGAGCACTTTCCAAAACTTCTAGTAAAGATGCAGGGGCTGGGTATGAGTAATCCTAGAATCCGAGAATCTGTGATGCAATCGCAGCCGTAAATTGAAAGGTGCTTTTTGTTGACATTAAAACAGAATATAGAGAACTGCTGGTAAATGTGTGCCATTATTTAATTCAAAATATGGACATCAGACCAACTCTCTAGAGGTCCCTTTTCAAAATCTACAATAATCAAGTTTACAGACTTTGTGGATGTTTACAGACTTTGTGGATGGTGTCAGTATACAGTTTAGTCTCTAGGTGGCACTGGACTTAGTTACATCTGAGTGCTGTTGTGTCTGGTTTAAAAGAGACAATAAAGTTTTTGTCCAGCTCCCAGGCTGGTGTGTTCTCCAAGCCTTTGTTCTTGTTGAAATGGAGAACCTCTTTACACACATACTTCAAGGCATGTCACTGTGTTGTCTCTTCCCTCCCACAGTTGACCAAGGTTTCATTTTTACAGGTCAACCAGATGACTGCTGTCTTATCAGCCCAACAGCTGCATTGCTATTACAATTAACTCATCATGCTATTAAGCTGCCACTCCAAATACGCTCTGTGGACAAAGCATTATAATGGCACCCTGCTATTTCATCTTTTCATCCCTAATTTCTGTAAGCATTCAACCCAAGACAGGCATTAATAACTTTTGAGATGGGGAGGATTATTTCAAAATTGCACAATGATAGGTTCCTTTCACGAGATTTCTTAAGGCTAAAAGGAGCATGAGTGGGAATAAACAAAAGACCTTGAAAGGTGAAGCAAAAGAAACTTGGAATGCATTGTTCTTCTTATATCCCCTCTCGAAATGCCATGGTAACACGAACAAATATGAGGTCATTCTATTACATGCAAGTCTTCTGGAATGAAAGACAATGATTGCGTGTGCATGTTTGTGTCCTTGCATGCACGTGAATTTTCATGCTACAGCATGGTTTAGGGGTTTGAATGTCTGACCAGGACCTGGGAGACCAGGGTTTGAATCTCCACCCAGCCATGAAGCTCACTTGGGTGACCTTGGGCCAATCATTGCCTCTCAAACTAACATACCTCACAGTGTATTGAGCCATGTGCATCACCTTGAGATCCTTGGAGGAAAAGGTGAGACACAAATGCAATAAATAAATCATAAGCTACCCTTGGAAAGGGAAGACACGGTTTAAGAATCTTCTGCTAGAGCATCTGTTACTCTCCAAATATGGTTGGACTCCAGCTCTCATCAGCCCCAGCCAGGATGGCTTCTGGTCAGAGGTGGAGGGGTGGTGCATGTGGCTCCCTTTCCCCCCGCCTTACCAACACCGCATGTCATTGCCTCTTACCGAAAAGGGGAGGGGAAAGGCACACAGAGCTTGGTGCATGTTAGCAAGAGCAATGGATTGGCTCTGTTGCCACACTGGGCTTTTCAATAAGTGGTAGTAGTAACCTGCAGTTTTTGGAAGTCAGAGGAGCAACAGAGCCCCATTCCCAGAGCTCTTCCTGCACCACACTTTCATCCACTGCTGCTTCTCATGTTCTCATGATCTGGTTGATTTTTATCGGGGGGTGGTGTGTGTTCAGGGCTGGATTTAGGTTTGATGAGGCCCTAAGCTACTAGAGGTAATGGGGCCCTTTATATGTCCAGCTGTTCTTTGTCAACAACAAATTGTCACTGTTTTTTGTGTTGAATATATGCTATATGAAAGGGTCACGGGTGGCGCTGTGGTCTAAACCACAGAGCCTTGGGCTTTCCAATCAGAAGGTTGGTGGTTCGAATCCCCGCAACGGGGTGAGCTCCCATTGTTCGGTCCCTGATCCTGTCAACCTAGCAGTTCGAAAGCACATCCAAGTGCAAGTAGAGAAATAGGTACCACTCCGGCAGGAAGGTAAACGGCGTTTCCATGCGCTGCTCTGGTTCACCAGAAGCGGCTTAGTCATGCCGGCCACATGACCTGGAAGCTGTCTGCAGACAAACACCAGCTCCCTCGGCCTATAGAGCAAGGTGAGCACTGCAACCCCAGAGTCATCCGCAACTGGACCTAGCAGTCAGGGGTACCTTTACCTTTTTATATGCTATATGGTAATTTTTGGACCTAATAGGTATCTAAAGCCATTTGCACAAAACAAAATATGTATTCTATCACCGAAATACAATTAAGAAGAAGTATATTAATAGTGAAATAATTATTAAGCTCTAACTGTATGTAGGTTTTATTTTATTTGTTTTTTATCTCATATTTTGGAAATGTACATCCAGGTGTTTTTTCCTTTAATTTTTTGGGGGGACCCCAAGAGAGTGGGGCCCTAAGCTATAGCTTGTTTAGCTTATATGTAAATCCGGCACTGGGGATGTTCCTAGTTAAACGGGAATCCAGTGAGAAAGAAATGTGGGTCAGAACAAACCCTAATGGAACAAAATTGGAGGAAATTCCTATCTAGCAGCTAATCAGAAGCTGCTCACCCTGTGGAGCAGAGATGCAGCAATAAGATCCAGGAACGGATAGATTTTACAACATTATATTTAGACACCAAGTGAACTGGGTGAAATAGGAATGTTGTTCCTTTTTGACACACTATCCAATCTTCTAACAGTCATCTATTTTCTATGGATCAAATCGAAAAGAAAATATTTACACCCTGCCATCAGCACACCACCAATTTGGGGAGTAGAATAGTTCACAAATCCTGTGAATGTTATGGGGCTTGAAGAGGAACTCATTTCAGAATTTGCTCTGATTTTAAAGGAAAAGTCAATCTCAACGCTAGTGCACTGAACCTTGAGCTGATTTTTTTTTTAATCTGCCAACGATAGCTGGTTGAAAAAAGTACGTCCTAAATTTAGACTGGGAGTAGATTGCTGGAAGAATAATTAGGTATTGTTACACAGTTTTTAAAGAAAGAAAAGCTGTCAGAGACTTGTCCTACTCGTAGTAGCAATATGGTTAATTATATGCTCTTTTCAAAGTAATTGAGTCTGATCAGTCCATCATTCTTCCTCTATGGCATGCTAGAATAAAGTGATCACATTTTAAGGAGGGTTATAGCACAAATAAAGAGCTCGGCATTTGAACTAAACTCTTGTACCCTTTGCAGAAGGGCTTGGAGTAAATTGGCTCCATGCAGCAATTTACTGCAGGCGGCAACAAAGCTTCAGCACACAGGTAAACTCAGTCTCACCACACCTTAGTGTTTCCCCCTTTCACCTCAGGAAAGGATACAGCTCTCTACAGACATCATGCAAAAATTGTGGAGCCATCTTTTCCACTGAAGTTAATGGGGCAGCTCACCATCCAGGCACATAAGGGGCATGGAAAGAAGCAATTGATTGGCATCTGTCTGTGTTGGGAGACATTGGAGGAGTGTGCCTTTTTAGGTGAAGCCAAACGGTTGGGAGGTTACAGCACCTGCTGTGGCTGTGGAGACCAATATGGGAGAGACGCGTTTGGTTGCAGCTGGGGCAGATGAAGGCGTCCAGTTGTGCTGATGCAAATGTGCCATGTCATTTCTTGTTTCTGCACCCTTCCCAGCAGTCGTTCTTCCTCTGGTCACTGCTTTGGATACACAAATTGACTGTCTCCAGGCGCTGCAGTTGTCTGCAAGGGATTCACTCACTGCGGGGTTTATGTTGCCAGCCTTCATGTCACATTTGAAGACATCTTTATAACACAGAGTTCACCTGCCAACAAGACTGGTGCCTTAAGACAGCTTCCCATAGAGCCACTTCCTTGGGGGTCCTGCCACCTTCCATTCCGTGGACATAACTAAGCCAATGTAGATGTTGCTGAGACAGTTTCTCCCCCACCTGCTGTGATAATGATAATAATAATAATAATAATAATAATAATAATAATAATAATAATTTATTATTTATACCCCGCCCATCTGGCTGGGCTTCCCCAGCCACTCTGGGCGGCTTGCAAAAAAAATATTAAAATACTGTGCTACATCAAACATTAAAAGCCTCCCTAAACAGGGCCACCTTCAGATGTCTTCTAAAAGTCTGGTAGTTGTTGTTCTCTTTGACATCTGGTGGGAAGGCATTCCACAGGGAGGGCGCCACTACCGAGAAGGCCCTCTGCCTGGTTCCCCTCCCCTGGATCTCCCAGAACCAAGAGGGTGGAGTCTCAGATTACTTGGGGGAAACTCTGGAGAGGAAGGGACTTAGGCAACTGTGGGGAGGAGGGACCTTCAGTCTCAGCAACTGCTTCATGGGGGGAAACCTACTGAAAATGAGTTGATGTGCTTATTAGGCCTGACACTCCTGTGCAGATCCTATTCTTGCTAATAAAGAGTTAACGCCAACTAAGTTGGTGTGATTTACTGCTAGCTTGATCCTGTCAAAGGCTATCTCATTGCTACTGTTGAGCTGCCAGCCTAGTTTTTTTTTTTTTTTAATTATTTTTATTAACCGACCAATCAAATCAAATCACATCACCTAAATTTCGAATTACAAAGCTGAATTTTAAATTTTTGTTGAGGAGACCCATATTTCAAGTTCCAAAGGGGGATTCCGATCATCTTCTTGCTACTGCGTTAATGTCCAAATCAGTCCAAATAATGTTCATAATTCTATCCAGTCTTATCTTGCTGTTTCCACATCTCATCTTGTTCGTATATATTTTTTCTTTTTTTCTTTATGATGTCTTCTGATAATCTCCTTAAGCTGATAAACACCAATTATAATCCTGTGTGAATTTTTCCGTTCGTCCAATCCTCATATCAAGATGGTTTCCATATATCATCGCTTTCATAAATAACATTGCTCTTTCCATCTCGCAGATCTGAGCTGCCAGCCTAGTTGGCTCTCGTGTGTGGCATGCAAGGGTACATCATTTCCTTTGCCTCAGGCTTCAAAATGTATTTGGCCAACCATGGTTTCCTGTTTCATTTGAACCAGGAAACTGAATATAGCACCATCTGAACAATCCAGGATATTGGACTATCTTCAAGCTATGGTTTGATGTTGCAGCTTGTACTGAAGCTGGGAACCACAGTTTCCCAGTTTAGGTGAAACGTTAAATTAGAGTTGATTGGAAGACTACTGGCTAGTTCACTTGCTCATGCAAAAGGAGTATTGAAGGGGCCATGGGCACATTTATTCATATATTAGCCTATTAAACAAAGTTATGATTACCCATGCCAGTAGCTCTCTTTAAGTACTTGCCTATATTCCACTTTAATAAAAGCATTGAGAAAGACTTGCTTTTATAAACCCTGGAAGGTCAATAAAAGGGAAACTGATTTCACCATCTATTTATGACCTAAATAGGGGCCTGTTGAGTTGCAATTTGGTTAGCTGGGCATGCTGGGTCAGATGCTATTACCCTTTTTATACTAGTGTACATGCTCTTAGGTAACTTTTAATTACAGAGTCCTGAATGCTTGTAAAATAGATGACTACTGGCTCCACCTAAAGCCATTGTTAAATGGACATATTTAGATGGCTCAGTTGCACCAAGGTTTTATTTTGCTGTCTTTCCCTCTCCTCTTTCTCCTACCATTAAAATGTGTTTTTCCCCCTTTGAAAGTACAATCAAAGGAAGCACACACATGTGTTGCCAGTAATACCACAGGATTCCAGCATTGTAATAGAATCTAGGGGCAGAATGACCTGGTTCACACATAATGGTAAGTCATGACATAATGGTAAGTCATGGCTTAGCATGGTGTGTGAAACCAGCCAAATGGTTTATGTATTTACATAAGGGGCATGGAAAGATGCAATTGGTTGCAGAAGATATAGAAGCATGATTAGTCGCACCAACAGGGTAAAGAAAAGCTTCTATCCGTGGGCTGTTAGGTTGCTAAATGAAAATGAAAACAGGGCAACTGACTTTCAGGTTTGGTGGGTGTGCGTCAGTAAACGAGGGGAATTAAGACTTAGAGAGCTGAGTGGGGGGTGCTCATGTAATCTCACTGTATACAAGTTGTACAAGTGACAATAAAGTATTTCATTATGTACTACCATCATCACTTTTTTCATCTGGAACTCACCAACACTGAGTTCTGGCACCGCTTTGTTGCATTCCAGCACCTCTGTAGGTGTTCTGGTGTTGTTCCCCTGCATGGCGCTCAGGGCTGCGTGGTGGAGACGGCAAGCAGGAAAGTGATTTGGGTTGTGCAGCGGCGGCAGAGGTTAGTGGTTTATAAAAAGGTCAACAAATTCTGGCACCTCTTTTCCTAGGAAAAAAGCCCTAACTACCATGATACCTCAATTTGAACCTTGGTTTGTTTTAACTATGGTTCAGCATCACATGCAACTCCAGCTCCCTTCCTTTACCATAGTTTGTTTTGGCCACCCCACTGCAGACATCACCAAACTACAAAGGCACAAGGCAAGAAATCCTTGCTCATCCTTGTAGAAACAAACCATGGCTTGTTTGATCATCTGTTTCAAGGTTTTCTTGCAGACATATAAATCCCTAAAGAACCTGGGAACAGGATACCTAGCAGACCTCCTTACCGAATATATCTCAGATTGATATCTGGGATCAGGAGCAGGGAAGCATCTTGAGCCCAAGGGCCAGGTTTCCTTTTGGGCAACCTCCCAATGGTCACATTCCAGTGGTGAATGGAACTAGAGATAAAAGTGGGCAAGGAAACAAATATAATTATTACCTTTCTACAGAAGGCTAGTTTCCAGGGAGGTCTTGCTGATGGAATGCTGATGATTGGTGGAATGCTATTTTATGAAATCTTATGAGAGTAGACCTTCTCAGTAATAGCACCCACGTTCTGGAACACCATCGCACATGCAGTCAGAAATGCTGACAGCTTCTAAATGCCTTCTGAAGACTCGTCTATTTATGCAGGCTTTTCCTGGCTTCCCATCGCACTGTTATTTTACTGATGGGTTGCATGCCAAGTTCTCTCCGTAATTTCTCAAATTAGTAAATGTGGGGTTTGACCAATGGATTTAGCAAAGCCTAAAAAAATAACTCAAGCCAGCTTCCTCAGGAGCTTGGTTTACAGAGATTCCATCAAAGAACAAAGGCAGGTGATGATGGCGTCGTTACCCTGACAAAAGGTGAGACATTCAGTGTCAGACATGAAGGGGGGTGGAGTCCCCCAACTGTGTGTTGGTTAGAAAAGGACAATGGCAGAGTTGGGAGGGGAAGGTTGCCAGCTAACAGGGGGCATGATGTCACCACAGGAAGAAAGGTGTCCTTTTAAACTGAGGTTTTTGAGCAAGGGTTTTAGGGAAGGAGAAAGGAGGGGCCAGAACTCCATGTGTGTTGGCTAGAGTTTGGATCTGATATCCCGCTTTACCACAACCCTAAGGAGTCTCAAAGCAGTTAACAATCTCCTTTCCCTTCCTCCCCCACAACAAACACTCTGTGAGGTGAGTGAGGCTGAGAGACTTCAGAGAAGTGTGACTAGCCCAAGGTCACTCAGCAGCTGCATGTGGAGGAGCGGGGACGCGAACCCGGTTCACCAGATTACGAGTCAACCGCTCTTAACCACTACACCACACTGGCTCTCAGAGAGGCTGCACCAAGCGGGGGACAGACTAGCTGCTGCTTTGGGCTCAAGCTTCTTGAAGCTATGAGAGGAGCAATGAGAGACATCAAAACCCCAGGTTTTAAATACGTGTAAAATAAAGCATATTTCGTAAAGACATTGGTCTCCACTGGGCCTCATTCCAAAGGAACACAAACCTTTGTTAAGTGCCAAGACCTCTAGAATTTTGCTAATGCTTGGCAGAGATTGAAGTGGTCCATAATAGTATTTTTGGGGGCCACCAACCAGCATGCCACTCATTCCTTTATGTATGCAAAACAATTGCTCTGTTTGAACGAAACAGCCCCCCTCCCAATTAAAGGAAGATCCATCTGGGCAAGCATGAATCTCTGGCCTGGAGCTGCTTTTTTGAAAAATAATAATGATTGTTTAGAAGTGTCCAATTATTATATTACCTAGGGACAAAGAAACACTTTCTTTAAAAGATAATGACAATGTGAAACTTTGATTACCCATTTCACTCCTTGCTCTCACTGGCATCCAGGGAATGTCTGTGACCCATGCAATAAAATTTCTAAACATGCTTTGTGGTGGCAGCAATTTGTTTCCTAATTGGGGCATCACTTGCAAAGTTCTCATTAAAGAGATTAAAAGACTCTGTACCAATGGCATCCCCAGCTTTAAGAAATCTTTCACTTCTCATTTATTGCAACGCTTTATTGCCTCTCTAATGAGCCCCCAATGATAACAGATATGCAATGTGCTACATTCAGTCAGACACCTAAATGGCTTTTTAGGTAATCAGAGCAATGGCTAGGAACCTGATTTCTTATATTGGCTTTTGCAAGCGGAGCTCCTCTGAAAACAATACTTTGTTCAGATGGCTCAAGTGAATTCCCACAATCCGAGAACACAAGCACAGCACCCTGCTTCACTTCGCACGGGAAAATATATTTGGTCAAACTATTTGGCTAGCTGGCACAAAATACACGGGTTTCCTAACAACTCTCTGTACCCTTAACAAACTACAGCTCCCAGAATTCTTTGGGGGAAGCCATGATTGTTTGAAGTGACATCATAAGGCTTTAAATGGATGGTGTAAATGTGGCCTTAGCCTGCTATGCAGTACTAGGGTTGCCATATGTCCAGAATTTTCCTGAGATATGCAGCAGTGCCCGGGTGGAAATTGGCAAAAAATATGTCCCGGTCAATCTGTACATATGGCAGCCCATGTCGGCAAGCTCAACAACTTTTCTGTCCAGATTTTCACTGCTTGAAATATGACAACCCTCTGCGGTACAATCCTATACATACTCGAAAATAAAGCTAGCTGGCTATGTCCAATGCGGTTCAGTTTCTTGTAAAATGTGCTCATGGTTGTAGCTTTTGAGTCTTCCACCACATTTCCACACGCAGCTCATTTTGGCTGGTCCAAAAATCAACTGTACTAACTTGCTGCATCCAAATGTCTCAGCTGGTTCATAAATGTCACTAAATTTTGGCGCAGACTTCCACTTCATTTGCTCATATTTGTATTGGTCTATTGGTTTCTCCCACCCCCCTCCTCTACTTTATGTGCCAGAGTTGCAGCTTAGATTTTATTCCTGCCAGATCTATTTGGGACTCAATATATTTCTTTGCAGAGAGTGCTTGTCAGGAGAAGCAGTAAATAACATGATGGATGCTGTTCTTTATATAAAGGAAAATGTGGCTTTTTCCATTATAAAGCATGAAACACAAGTGTGGAAAGCATGCAACAGTGTCTTCTCAACCTCTATTCTTATACAGAGTGGCCCAATGAATTCTTACTTGTTTAAACTGGTTGTGGTTTGCTATTTAGAACAAGTTAAATTTAACACATTGTGCCTACTGCACAGGCGAATGGAAAATATTTTTTCTTCGTTTAACGTATGTTTTATTGGCTGTACCGTGAACCCTGTAAACAAGCTGGAGTTTTGAAATGCACCATGCATGCTTGTTTGGAATGCCCTTAAGCAATCATTTTTGCTTCTGTGATTTACTTGAAGAAAATAATGATTATCCTGTAGTACTTTACTGTGGAATGAAGCTTGTTAAATGGGAAGATGATTTTCCACTGCCAGACAGAGGCAGCTCAAATACTACTCTCCCCCCCCCTACCTCTAATAGTCCGGATTATTAAAGCATGCTGTCGTTATAATGATGTTAACAGCATTTGTAAGAAGTGATATGTTGGCTGTAGATTTAGTAGATTGCTAATCTGTATTCTGGATGGCTTGTAGCACAAGTGCCAGACAAAGTGTTTCAGAGTTACAGTTAACATCTGTTGCGGGCAGTGTGGGTTGTGCAAGGAAAAATACTTCTGGGTTTGCCGCGTTTGCATACCAAAGTTTACGTATCCAGAGTGATACGTAAGCAGAGGTACGACTGTATGTATTTCAGACATAATTTGCTGCATTCCCAGTTTGGCATTAAAGCACTGAACTGGGAATGCAGAAGCTTCCCATGCTTACTACTGAAAGTGCAGCTAGTGGGACATGAATTTTCACTTTTGTGTTTTTCAAATGTTCACCAAAACCTTTCATCTTGCGTTTTAGTAACAGTCACCTGAATGCAAAGGCATAATCCACTGTGGAAATAGCCATCCCACCAAAATCTGCAACAGTTTAAGTTTCAGGAGGAGGCAATAAATAAGGGCTCGGTTAATTTACTGAGAGTGTAATTGAAAAGGCTTCCAATGTGTTAAAATGAAAGCACTCAAAATCTTAACAAGGCAGATTTAAGTATTTGCACCTAGAATAATCTCTTCACACTACACAGGAGGTTAATGTAAGAAACAAATGGTGAGAATTAAAATAGTAATTTGAAGGGAAAACGAGAAGGAGAATGATAGTGAGGTTTTTTTTTAATCCACACAATTAGAGAACTTGCACATCACAGATAGATGCAAGGTAAATAAAATAAAGGAATCCCCTCAGGGTGCCATATAGTACACCAGGGGGCTATAATAGGATTTAGCTTCTTCTGATCTTGATCACTTGTTTGTTTTGCTGCAGAGTGTTTGGCAACGCTCTTAAGTCAATGTTGCATCATTAAAAACCAAGAGAAATACAATAAGAAATAATCAAATGCAATATAACACGGTCCTGAGCATAAAGGATGCACTGCAGGGCAGACCAACCATAGTAATTATTTGAAAAGGCAACCTAACGTTTGCCTTATACCTGAGGAATAACAACGTCTCTGATGACCACTAAAAGTAACCGAACACTTCTCCCAAGATCACACTACACTTTGACCTCTGCCCTTTAGGAAGTGGGGGTGAACAATTAATCTGCCTTCACTCACCTGTGGTCCTCCAAATGTCATAATTCAGAGACATAAAAGCAAAAGAAGAGCCCTGTCAAGCACATGAGAAGATTCTGCTGGATCAGGCCCATGTTCTCACAGTGGCCTGTTCTCATAGAGAAGCCTGTGAGCAGGACCTGAGTGCAAGAGCACTTTAGTGGTTTCCAGCAGCTGGTATTCAGAACCTTTAATTGCTGTCTCCAACCGTGGAGGCACAGCATAGCCACCATCACTATTATTATTTTTTATTACGTATTTTTCGCTCTATAAGACGCACCAGACCACAAGACGCACCTAGTTTTTGGAGGAGGAAAACAAGAAAAAAAATATTCTGAATTTCAGAAGCCAGAACAGCAAGAGGGATCGCTGTGCAGTGGAAGCAGCAATCCCTCTTGCTGTTCTGGCTTCTGGGATAGCTGCACAGCCTGCATTCGCTCCATAAGACGCACACACATTTCCCCTTATTTTTTAGGAGTGAAAAAGTGAGTCTTATAGAGCAAAAAATACGGTAATTAAATTTCTATACCGCCTTTCATCCAAGGGTCTCAGGGCGGTTTGCAATATGAAAACGCAAAAATACATAACATAATAACAAACAAAAACAACACACACACACACACAAGTTTAAAAGGCCATAGATTGATTAATTAGCCAAAAGCCTGAGAGAAGAGGAATGTTTTTGCCTGGTGCCTAAAGACACGTAATGAAGGTGCTAGAAGAAGAAGAAGAGTTTGGATTTGATATCCCGCTTTATCACTACCCGAAGGAGTCTCAAAGTGGCTAACATTCTCCTTTCCCTTCCTCCCCCACAACAAACACTCTGTGAAGTGAGTGGGGCTGAGAGACTTAAGAGAAGTGTGACTAGCCCAAGGTCACCCAGCAGCTGCATGTGGAGGATGTGAACCTGGTTCCCCAGATTACGAATCTATCGCTCTTAACCACTACGCCACACTGCTAGGTGAGCCTCCCTGGGGAGAGCATTCCTCTGCTCATGGAGGAGGCACACGAAGAAGGGCCTCGGATGATGATCTCAGGGTCCAGGTCAGAGAGAGGCAATCCTTGAGGTATTGCGGTCTAGTGTCAGGCTTCGGGGAATCCGGTCCCTCCCACAATGGAAGCCAAGAAGCAGATAAACAATAAAAGTTCTTACTGAAGAAGTTATTCAATAATTCACAGAGAGCGACGAAGGAATGCAGTCTCCCTAAGATGATGGCGTTGCTCCGAGTAAAGTTCCACCCCCTCTGTCTCTCCTATTCTACGTCACCCCTGCATCAGCTAATCTGAGCTTTCTGCCTCTGAGCTTTCTGTTCTATATGCTCAATGCTTGCCTGGTCCTGGGAGAGGGGGAGGGGAGGGATCAGGAATGCTTTCCAAGGACACTGAGTCTGTCAGCTGTCTCTCCCCTGGTGCTTCTTCTTCCTGCTGTTCCTCTCCCAATATTTTCCAGCTTCTCCCCCTGTAGCCTCTGAACTATGCCCTTCTGCAAACCACTGATCTACATCTATACTGTCCTCCTGTTCTCGGGAAGGTGCAGAAGAAGAGGGGGGCAGTTCCCATCATTCCGCCTCTGTCCAGCCCCTGACATCTAGTAGCCATTGATAGTCTTATCCCCCATTAATTTGTCCAATCCTCTTTTAAACCATCCAAGCTAGTGGCCAACAACATCTAGAAGGCACCAAGTTGACTGCCACTGCCTTTAAAGTATTTAAGTATAGAGATGCAGTCAGTGCTATTTTTCTAAAAACTGAGGTGCCGGAACTCACCATGAAAACCTCCCTTGTTCTCTTATAATGGCAATGGCACCCACTTGAGAGGTGCCGGAATTGAGTTCCAGTGAGTTCTGGCTGGGGTGGGGAAGTCCTGGGTGCATTACTATTAAACACATTAGATAGTTCTGATTTCTGTTAGAGGCAATGCCGTATAACTGCAGAAACAAGATTGTGTGGGCAGACAATCCAGAAAATCTAGAAGTAAAAATAGGTCATTTCTGGCATAATTCTCATACTTTCCATGCTGCAAACCAGCACACACACACACATATCCTTGGCATTTTGTGGGGAAATCCAGACCGCAGATCTGCAGCAATGGCCATAATTAGCATGCATGCCACACATCACTTCAAATGAGTGGCATGTGGTTTTGACCAAAATAGATTGCATTTCTTACTTGCCATAGATGAGTGATGAAAGGTATTCCTAAGAAAGATAGTTTTGATTACACTTGGTGTCCCTTTATCATTTACATAAATAAAATATGTGCATTTTTCCACCTCCAGCCACTCAAACTGGCTGATGGAGGGCCTATCTTGAATAATGAACTTTGTCTAATCATACTGCTCTTCTCTCTGAGCTGTATATGTATTTTACAGAAGCTAATAGAATGTGCAACTGGACTCATTATTGCTTTTATATTATCATTACATTCTATTAAAATGACAATAAACATTTATTGGGAGGGGAATAACTAACCCAAAATTAGGGGTGGGCCACAACGTGCAAAACATTACCCTCTTAATGCATACACACATTTGGGCAATGGGGGAAGGGGGTGCAATATGAAGCTAAAATGTTCATCATTTGCAGGAAACATTTCCCTCGCTCTGATTTGGCTTCATGATGCTGTCACGTAGCCCAATATAATTGGCTACATTTGAGTTGTCGGGCAGATTAAAAGCAATGCTTCTTGACCTTTCTCCAATTTGACCTAATGATGTCACAGCACTTGTGTGGTTCCAATTGGCTGAGATTGCCTAAAGAATCAGCTCTTGATGGGGTGGCTTTTGGGGGTGGTGGGGGTGGTCTGCATTGTCTTCAGATCATAGAAAGAAGCCACTACAGGACAGAGAGGTCACAAACACATCGTGTCAAAAATGAAAGGAAGGAAGTTTCTGGAAACTTTCCCTCCGAAACCTTTTGCTCCAAAATAATTTGTGTGTAAATATTTGATGTAATACAAAAAAAGAGAAGTGGGTGGGAAACCAGTATTCCAGAGTGCTGAGTTTCTTGTTCTGATGTCTGTATCCAGCCTATTTGTCCTTCTGGAAGTTTTTAGATGTTTAGACTGGTTTATTAATCTTTTCCTAATGAAAGGCAGCTAGTCCAACTTGCATTAAAATTTCACCACAACTGACTATTGTATGATGGATGGCCCCCATTTCCACACAAATGGAGTAGATCCCTTAGCTAATGAAAGCAAACAGAAACTGCTCCTCATTACGCTACCTCCCAGCCTTTTCTAACTGCCTTTATCTCAATGTCCTTGACGCATTACATTAGTGCTGTGTGCCTGTCCTCCAAACTCTCAAAAAGTTTTCTCTCCCTGTTCTCCCAAGAGACTAGTGTTTTTCTGACACATTCCACAGGACCCCTTAGAATTTATTTTAAATGCCTCTATACTTTTGGTGGAGGTGGAGTTGGGTAGCCAAGGGTAAAGGTAAAGGTAAAGGTAAAGGGACCCCTGACCATTAGGTCTAGTTGTGGCCGACTCTGGGGTTGTGGCGCTCATCTTGCTTTATTGGCCGAGGGAGCCAGTGTACAGCTTCCAAGTCATGTGGCCAGCATGACTAAGCCGCTTCTGGCGAACCAGAGCAGCGCACAGAAACACCATTTATCTTCCCGCCGGAGCGGTACCTTTTTATCTACTTGCATTTTGACGTGCTTTCGAACTGCTAAGTTGGCAGGAGCAGGGACTGAGCAATGGGAGCTCACCCCGTCACAGGGATTTGAACCGCTGACCTTTTGATCGGCAAGCCCTAGGCTCTGTGGTTTAGCCCACAGCACCACCCGCGTCCCTAACCAGCCAAGGGTAGTGTATGTAATTTTCATTCCAGTAAACGTTTTTCCAGCGTCCTCTGTAGCCTCCCTGGATGCCCCCACTTCCTGACCTGAAAAAGCCACAAGGGAGGAGTTACCTCATGATATCTTCCCTTGAAGTTTGAGAAGGCTGGAGATTCTGCCCATGAAGCTCCTGTGAGCAGTGCACTCACTTATTTTGTTTTTCGGGAAGTGCTCCCTTCCCGTATTGATTCCATACTGATTTCTCTAAAAAAGACTTAATCTTTTAAAAAACACTATTTAACAGCTTTCGGGCATAGGTGGGTGCTCAGTATAAAAAGGTAAAGGACCCTTGGACGGTTAAGTCCAGTCAAAGGCGATTAGGGGTTTGCAGCACTTATTTTGCTTTCAGGCCGAGGGAGCCGGCGTTTGTCCACAGATAGCTTTCCGGGTCATGTGGCCAGCATGACTAAACCGCTTCTGGCACAACATAACACCGTAGGGAAACCAGAGCATGTGGAAATGCTGTTTACCTTCCCTCCACAGTGGTACCTATTTATCTACTTGCACTGGTGCGCTTTCGAACTGCTAGGTTGGCAGGAGCTGGGACAGAGCAAAGGGAGCTCACTCCGTTGCGGGGATTTGAACCACCAACCTTCTGATTGGCAAGCCCAAGAGGCTCGGTGGTTTAGACCACAGCACCACCCACTTCCCACATAAGAGCTGATCTGGAGTGGGCAAAGCTCAAACAATCAGATCCATCAAATTCCACATATGTTGTTGTTTAGTCGTTTAGTCGTGTCTGACTCTTCGTGACCCCATGGACCAGAGCACGCCAGGCACTTCTGTCTTCCACTGTCTCCCGCAGTTTGGTCAGACTCATGTTTGTAGCCTCTAGAACACTGTCCAACCATCTCATCCTCTGTCGTCCCCTTCTCCTTATGCCCTCAATCTTTCCCAACATCAGGGTCTTTTCCAGGGAGTCTTCTCTTCTCATGAGGTGGCCAAAGTATTGGAGCCTCAGCTTCACAATCTGTCCTTCCAGTGAGCACTCAGGGCTGATTTCCTTCAGAATGGAGAGGTTGGATCTTCTTGCAGTCCATGGGACTCTCAAGAGTCTCCTCCAGCACCATAATTCAAAAGCATCAATTCTTCGGCGATCAGCCTTCTTTATGGTCCAGCTCTCACTTCCATACATCACTACTGGGAAAACCATGGCTTTAACTATGCGGACCTTTGTTGGCAAGGTGATGTCTCTGCTTTTTAAGACGCCGTCTAGGTTTGCCATCGCCTTTCTCCCAAGGAGCAGGCGTCTTTTAATTTCGTGACTGCTGTCACCACCTGCAGTGATCATGGAGCCCAAGAAAATAAAATCTCTCACTGCCTCCATTTCTTCCCCCTCTATTTGCCAGGAGGTGATGGGACCAGTGGCCATGATCTTCATTTTTTTGACCATATTTTGCGCTCTCCTCTTTCACCCTCATTAAAAGGTTCTTTAATTCCTCCTCACTTTCTGCCATCAAGGTTGTGTCATCTGCATATCTGAGGTTGTTGATATTTCTTCTGGCAATCTTAATTCCGGCTTGGGATTCATCCAGCCCAGCCTTTCGCATAATGAATTCTGCATATAAGTTAAATAAGCAGGGAGACAATATACAGCCTTGCTGTACTTTTTTCCCAATTTTGAACCAATCAGTTTTTCCATATCCAGTTCTAACTGTAGCTTCTTGTCCCACATAGAGATTTCTCAGGAGACAGATGAGGTGATCAGGCACTCCCATTTCTTTAAGAACTTGCCATAGTTTGCTGTGGTCGACACAGTCAAAGGCTTTTGCATAGTCAATGAAGCAGAAGTAGATGTCTTTCTGGAACTCTCTAGCTTTCTCCATAATCCAGCACATGTTTGCAATTTGGTCTCTGGTTCCTCTGCCTCTTCTAAATCCAGCTTGCACTTCTGGGAGTTCTCGGTCCATATACTGCTTAAGCCTTCCTTGTTGAATTTTAAGCATAACCTTGCTAGCGTGTGAAATGAGTACAATTGTGCGGTAGTTGGAGCATTCTTTGGCACTGCCCTTCTTTGGGATTGGGACGTAGACTGATCTTCTCCAATCCTCTGGCCACTGCTGAGTTTTCCAAACTTGCTGGCATATTGAGTGTAGCACCTTAACAGCATCATCTTTTAAAATTTTAAGTAGTTTGGCTGGAATACCATCACTTCCACTGGCCTTGTTATTTGCAGTGCTTTCTAAGGCCCATTTGACTTCACTCTCCAGGATGTCTGGCTCAAGGTCAGCAACCACACTACCTGGGGTGTATGAGCCATCCATATCTTTCTGGTATAATTCCTCTGTGTATTCTTGCCACCTCTTCTTGATGTCTTCTGCTTCTGTTAGGTCCTTACCACTTTTGTCCTTTATTATGGTAATCTTTGCACGAAATGTCCCTTTCATATCTCCAATTTTCTTGAACAGATCTCTGGTTCTTCCCATTCTGTTGTTTTCCTCTATTTCTTTGCATTACTCGTTTAAGAAGGCCTTCTTGTCTCTCCTTGCTATTTTTTGGAAATCTGCATTCAATTTCCTGTATCTTTCACTATCTCCCTCGCATTTTGCTTGCCTTCTCTCCTCCGCTATTTGTAAGGCCTCGTTGGACAGCCACTTTGCTTTCTTGCATTTCCTTTTAATTGGGATGGTTTTCGTTGCTGCCTCCTGTATAATGTTGCGAGCCTCCATCCATAGTTCTTCAGGCACTCTGTCCACCAAATCTAAATCCTTAAACCTGTTCCTCACTTCCACTGTGTATTCATAAGGGATTTGACTTAGATTGTATCTTACCGGCCCAGTGGTTTTTCCTACTTTCTTCAGTTTAAGCTTGAATTTTGCTATAAGAAGCTGATGATCTGAGCCACAGTCCGCTCCAGGTCTTGTTTTTGCTGACTGTATAGAGCTTCTCCATCTTTGGCTGCAGAGAATATAATCAATCTGATTTCGATGCTGCCCATCTGGTGATGTCCATGTGTAGAGTCGTCTCTTGTGTTGTTGGAAAAGAGTGTTTGTGATGACCAGCTTGTTCTCTTGGCAGAACTCTATTAGCCTTTGCCCTGCTTCGTTTTGAACTCCAAGGCCAAACTTGCCAGTTGTTCCTTTTATCTCTTGACTCCCTACTTTAGCATTCCAATCCCCTATAATGAGAAGAACATCCTTCTTTGGTGTCAATTCTATAAGGTGTTGTAAGTCTTCATAGAATTGGTCAATTTCAGTTTCTTCAGCACCAGTGGTTGGTGCATAAACTTGGATTACTGTGATGTTAAAAGGTCTGCCTTGGATTCGTATCGAGATCATTCTATCATTTTTGAGATTGCATCCCAATACAGCTTTTGCCACTCTTTTGTTGACTATGAGGGCCACTCCATTTCTTTTACGGGATTCTTGCCCACAGTAGTAGATATGATGGTCATCCGAACTGAATTCGCCCATTCCCGTCCATTTTAGTTCACTGATGCCCAGGATCTCAATATTTATTCTTGCCATCTCATTTTTTACCATATCCAACTTACCCAGGTTCATGGTTCTTACATTCCAGGTTCCTATGCAATATTTTTCTTTACAGCATTGGACTTTCCTTTCGCTTCCAGGCATATCCGCAACTGAGTGTCCTTTCGGCTTTGGCCCTGCCGCTTCATCAGCTCTGATTCTACTTGTACTTGTCCTCCGCTCTTCCTCAGTAGCATGTTGGACGCCTTCCGACCTGAGGGGCTCATCTTCCAGCGTCATAACTTTTATATGCCTTTTGTCTTTGTCCATGGAGTTTTCTTGGCAGGGATACTGGAGTGGCTTGCCGGTTCCTGCTCCAGGTGGATCACGTTTGGTCAAAACTCTCCACTATGACCTGTCCATCTTGGGTGGCCCTGCACGGCATAGCTCATAGCTTCTCCAAGTTATTCAAGCCCTTCGCCACGGCAAGGCAGTGATCCATGAAGGGGCAAATGCCACATATAAATCCATATAAAACAGATGCCTCTTCCATTCCTAGTCTTACTTAAGTCCTGTTAACATCAAGCCTACATTAGTGGTTATTAACTTGTCCCCTGGATTTCAACGAGGCTTAAGCATCACTACTTTTAACTAGCTTGGTGCCAACAGTAATATTAACTAGCAAAGTGAGCATAATATTTGTTTATTTATCATATTTTAGCCCACCTTTTCTCCTGGGAGCATGAGGTGGAATGCTGGTTTCTTTCCCTCCCTGTTTTGTCCTCATAACAAAGCTGTGAGGTACTAAAGGAGAGCTAGCCTGAATTTGATGGATTAGTTGGGCTATAATAGAACATTCTGATAGGAACAAGTAAGTAATAAGTTGAGGGGAACAAAAGCAGGCATTTACTACAATATGTAAATAAGTTTCTAGCAACATATTTTTAAGCATTAAAATAAATATTCTTTTGGTGATTCATGAACGTTCGAATGACAGAAGTCAAAGGGTCCAACTGCAATGTGCTCCAATTATTTTAATTCTGCCTGCTTTAATCACAAGGTGATAACAAACGCAGCTGCATAGGCTTCCTTTTCAAAAAATCTTGTGCCACATTCCATGATCTCAGAAATTTGGATGCCTATCAAAAATGGCAGGCCATCTGCCTCTCAGACAATTTATCTTCTCCTTCAAAGCTGTGCATGTTCACCAGGAAAGATTTGTGGAGACAAAGCTATTTCGCTCCGGAGACAGACCCTTCCTTTCCTCAGCAAAACACTGCCCCTTTCTCGCAGCCTTGACAGTAATTGCTTGAGAGCCTCCGAGCCACACAAAGACGAGGACATTAACCACCTGATTATTTTTATAAGGTCACAACCGCACCACTGAGTTAACCACCAAGTTAAGAAGTGTCGTCCCTGACAGATAAAATGAGCAGCCTTGATTTCCCCCAAGTTTAGCCATAATAATCTTCATTTCTGACTCTGCAAGGCTGCCAATTACTTCAGCCTGTCCTTCATCACAGTGACCACCTAAAAAAGAGAGAGGAATTCTTTCTTCTTCTCCTTCTTCTTCAGGCTTCTCGTTCCCTGTTTCAATTAAGAGCTAAGAACCTTTAAATAAAGGTTAGTGAAGGAATAATAGTCGAAAGGTTCAGAGCTCAAAGGAAAAAAATGCAATTACATTTAATTAGTTTGATGACTAATGCTCACCCAGATTAATGGGGCAGTCGAAAGTTCAGCTCACTCCATCTGTCCCAATTTGTGTGGCAATTACTTGTTCTGTGGTCTGACTCCACGAGGTCTTGACCTGCCTTATTTGGGTCTTCAGCACAAAGAATCCCTAGATCATCATCATCTGGATGGCGTGCAATTTCAAGCTAAGGATGTACACTTGTAATGAAAACATTATTAAGCATTTGTTTGGCTTCGTGAAAAGGCTTTTGACTAAAAACAGAAAGGCAGTGAGTGAGGACTTTGGTATAGTGGTTCAGTTCACTGAAATTCATAGTTAACAGGAAGCTTAGCTGTGGTTTGGAACATTGACTGAATTGGCAATCCATGGTTTGTAATCAACCAGCAAACCAGAATGGGAAACCATGATTTCAAATGGTTTTGTTTTATTTATAAAGCACTTTATAACAAAATGTGGACTGTGCAGGGTGGGACCAGAATTTCCCCCTGAAATAAGCCAAAATATCAACCCAATTGGATTCTGCAAAGCTGTATCAAATATGGAAATTAATCAGATCTTGTCTTATATTCACTATGTGTGTGTGTCCTTTCAATACAAAGCAGATTGTGTCTATTGAATATTGAATATTGAACAATATTGAAAAATAATTGAATAATAATTGAATAATAATAAAACTATTGAATAATAATAAAACAGATGGAATAAGATGGATGATATGGCTGAAGGATCTGTGCTTTGAGGAACCTTGGCATTGTGTTTTTCTCCCATTCATCCTCCGGACTAATGAAGATTCACAACTAAATTCTGGATTCTAAGTTACACAACATCAAGACCAGTTCCAGCTTTGTGAAAAATACAGCAAGACGCAACTTCATGTTAGGATACATCTGTCACAACAATTTTGACCATCATGGCTGAGAGTCCTGGACGACCTGTTCCTTGCCTTGCAGGCCTTTTCCCACTTGACCTGGGAAGGTGGGACCCTGACTGACTCCAGCTACAAAATCTGAAGCTGCTGAAAAGACTATTGGGTTGGAGCTTGGGGGCGGGGGGTTGCTGCTGCTATTGATATTATCTTATTCTATATTTATTTTTAGATCTTCTTATGATTTATGTGGAAATTGTTTAATTTCGTTGTATACTTTTCAATGTGTTTTATTTATTGTTCATGACTACTTTTGTTACATTTGTGCTTATGTGATTTTATTTCATGTTGTAAGCCGCCTTGAGCATGGTTTAACTATGGAAGGGTGGCATCCAAAGAAAATGATGTATGCATGTAATTTTGACCTGCGGGATTTATATGACAAAGACCACAAGTTCCTGTCATACATAGTGGAGGAACTGCTGTTTTTCTTTGTCATGGTGGAACTTGGTATTGAGGAGGGGCAGTTGTTGCACGGTAATGGAAAATTCAATGCAGCAGAAATCCATTAGAATGTATTTGCTCCCAGCCAGCAGGTGTCACAAGTTATTACATTTTTATTGTTTCACAACTCACTATCAAAATACTATACCCCAGCCACTGGAATTATTAGCTCTGCTTCCCAAGGAAGACAGATGATATTCAGTCAGCTTAACAATCAAGAATTTATATCCCTGGGAGGAATTCTGCATTTGTACTTTCAAAAAATATATTGAAGTTAATTAGAACAGTGTTAATGAATTTGATGTTCCATTTCTGACCATCATGTCCCTCTTGATTCAAGACGGTCACCACTGAAACTTCATGTTACCCAACCTGCTGAGCCTGCTCTCACCATCTACGGTTTCAAACATTACTGAAAACAAAACCAAAATGAATGCCCACTTGACACTTAAAAAACTATATGCAATAGCATTAAACATCCCCTCAATGCCTTTAGTTCATTGTCTTTGGGGTCAGGATGCTAAAATGAGTACCTGAAACATAACCCCCAACTGTCCCAGTTTGAACGGGACATCCTAGAATTACAGAAGCCATCCCAGCTTCTGATTGGATCCCAGAATATCCTGTTTTGGCTCCCGTGACAGTGCAGCCTCGAAAGAGGCACACTTTTGGGGGGGCCATGCATCCCCAATTTTCCTCTGTGGCATGTTGGAGGGTATGCTGAAATTGCAAACAGGCAGCTGTTGATTTAATGTTAGTGTGCATTATTTCTTATTGAATGTACACCTAGCCTTTCTTCTATTATATCAAGGGGTCAAATGCAGCCCACCAGTCCTCACCTGGCTTCTGGACCCCTCTCCAGGCCACACCCCCTCCTGCTAGGCCACACTTCTTACCGGCCCTGCTTCACACCCCAAGCATTTTTGACTGGCTGGAATGTGTCCCTGCACTCTGATTGTGTCTCTTGCTTGCCTGGATAGAAGATAGGGAGATGGATGTGTGAGTACAGAAACTAGCCTACTGTACAAAGGTAACATTTTCATTTTCATTTTCATTTTCATTTGTTGCCCTGCCTACCACCGGCATGTGGAACCCAGAAGATTACCCAGAAGGTAACATGGCCCATATTCACCACTCCCATGTTATGTAATTCAAAGGGATTTTCAAAGAGGCCCCAGGCAGTTTCTCATCAAGGTGATGGCCAGAATCAGATCTCCTCAGCCTCAGCAATGTTGTTGCATCCTGGACCTTAATATAGATGTTCTTGCATATTGCCTTTCATCTGCCTACAACCTCTTGAAACACTCTGCAATTATCAATTTTAAGTGGCATTAGGGTTTCAGCTAGTGCCTCACAGATTATTATTTTTTAAACATATTACAAGTGAGTCAATGATTTTTATGGGAACTAGTCATTTTATTTAAAAAGTCCATGCAAGCTTTCAAACTGAAGTTCAACCTCAGGCATAGGTGTTCAGAGCCAAAATACGATAAAATTATAAGTTATTACAGATACATAATGAGTTCTGCACCTCTTTAGAACAAATATAAGTAATGATAATTGCAGAAGTAATGATTTGTAAAGGCAAAAGCGAGAGAGAGAACATTTTTATCAGGTTTGGCGACATTGTATTTTTGTATTGTTTTTCTTTCTTCTTTGGAATATCATGTATTTTTCACACAGAGAGGAACATGGCCAAAGAGCTAAATAGCAGTGTGTGAATTGAATGGGAAGAGTCAGTTTATTTTGAAGGGTCATAGCTGAGCATATGTTTTGCATGCAAAAAGGTCCACATTCTGTTTCCAACATCTCCAAGTAAGACAGGGGCTAGGACCAGACTGAAACCCCGGAGAGCTGCTGCCAGCCAGTGGAGACCAAATGGAGACCAAATGGAGCGATGGTCTGTCTCAGTGTAAGGCAACTTCCTATGTGTCTGGGGTGAACCCACGCTGTTCCATAATGCAAGGCCGAGCAATCGTTTTTCTTTCCAGTCAATGTGGTCCTAGATAAGTGGTGATTAATGAATAATCAGTTGCATCAGAATCTTTGCCTTTTGGGGAGGTTAGCCACTAGAGTGCATGGAACTTCCTTGGAAGATGCAAGACCCAGTTGTCTAGGCTTAGTGTATCGATGAGGGAGCAGAGGAGCTGGGGCACTACTGCTGAATTAGCACATCTTGTGTATATACATCATGCTGTCAGGCCACTGTGATGTTTTGCTAATGAAATGGATTACTAGAAAGATGACACAAGTTCCCATTCCTCTGCCTTCCTAAGGACTCTGATCAGTATAGGCTGTCCATGAGAAGATGGAAAAAATCAAAACTTTGCGACTGATTGGATAATTTGTTCTCTGGCCCTCTCACAACCAAGATAAATCCACAGGCCTTCTCAGAGCTTGGTGACAATCATTCTTCCATCAGACTTTCATCTTCCTTGGGTTCATAACTAATGTAGGACTGACCCCTACAATGTGTTTTCTTTGGTTTGCTTTAGTGTGCAGGAATGATGGATAAGCAGCCATTTTACAGCAGAAATGTGGGCTAGCCCTTCACAGGAAACCCGTCCTTGATATATTTCCTCCTGCCACTTCATGGCCTTCTCTGAGAACTGGAAAGACCCAGAATCCATTTGTTATCCCATATATGCTCCCTTCATACTTGACTATGACAATTGTAAGTAATATAATAACATGTGGAGTAGGCATAAGTCAATAAAGCAAGGAGAGGGAAATCCAGTAGGAGGATCATGATCTTTCGGCCCTCTTACAAGCAGACACCAATATTAGTCTTAGAGGACAGAAAAGTAAATGTTTTGGATTGAAATGGTGTGGTTTCGTTAGAGGGCAGAAGAAAGTCTCAGCCAACCTAACTCTATGGAAAGGAAAAGGAAACGCTCATCAGATGCACTAAGCCAAGCATTCCTTAAAACATAATGAAGTAATATTTCTTCATTAGTGTCATCACTATATAATATACAACTACAGGGCAAAAATAAAAACAAAATAAAATAATGGATCCTTGTTTTAAAAAAGGTCTCCAATAAGAAGTGGGTTTCCACACGCTAAGATAAAGGAAATCACGGTGTTTTCCTAAAAAGAGAGAGGGGGGAAGGGAGGAAGGGAAGGGAAGCAAATGATTGATTGCTAAAGCTGTAATTCAATCACAGGATAATCTGATGGTATCTCAACCTGCACAAGATTTCCTCTGGAAGTTTATGATATTATCGGTATCCTTCAGCTGAATAATAGCTTGGTCATTAATCTCTTCTACCCATTATTCTCCACCGATATAATGACAAATGCATTCATATGCATAGCCCCCTTGACAAGTTACTTGTGTGAAGGGGCACTGTGTGATTAAAGGGGCTGTGGGGCTGTGCCTCTGCACCCACCTCTGACATGTGGCTTTCCCACACAGACACCGTCCCATCACCCATGCATCAGCACGATTGTCTGGGGCAGGAAATCCAATGAGCGAAGAATACTCCAGATCATGGAATTGTTGCTGTGTAAGTTTCAAGGATGCAGGGAAGCCAATGAAGTTAGGTTTCCCCATCTCAAATGCCCAAATGTCTGGGCACAGGAAACAATGACAGAAGCTCATCACCACATCCCCTTTTGTTCTGCAGTGCCCCTTCACATCAATACTGCAGCTCCCAGTCTCTGGTGAGATTCCACAGTCTTTCTCTTGTCTTTCGGAGAGAAATTGAAATCATTTTTTTTTTTAATCTCAGCACGCTTTTAGCATGTAATTATGCTGCTGTTTTTAGATGAATTCAATCAACTGCTGTTTTTGATTGCATTGCGTTTATTGGCATTGTTTTATAAATTTCTTGCTGCCATTATTGCCATGTATATTTCTACTGATACAACAACTTCTGGGGAGAGAGAAAAAGGTGATGCTTTATGTCAGCCATCCCCATCTTGTGTCCTCCAAATACTATGGACTACAACTCCCATAAGCCCCTGGTAACATGGCCGGTGCCAAGGGACCATGGGAATTGGTGTGCAACAACATTCACAGAGAGCCAACTTGGGGGAAGGCTCTTGTAGGTTGTTACTTTAAGACTCAGCTAGCTTCAAGGAGTTCAGAAATGGATGAATGAAATATGTGTGTACCTAGGTGAACCTTAGGTAAAGATCTCATTCACATTTAAAGCAAATGTCAAAGCGGGATAAGCAATTAATGAGTGACTGCTTTCTCTTTCTTAACTAATAAAACAGCAAACGTCAATGAACTATTCCTATTGTGATGCGTTTGTGGGTGCCAGACCTCTAATCCCTATAATCCTAGCAAGGGGCCATTAAGAGACCAGAAGAAAGAGGGCTCTGTGCCAGAGGTCAGATGGTTGGGGGCCCTCCTCCAGCTCTCTAATGGTTAGAAGAACAAAACCTATATTTTTTAGGGCAGAATTGGCTGTGATGTGAGCTAAAGGAAGAAGCTAAAGGCTAGAAAGGAAGAGAAAAAAGCCATGGCTAATTTCTGCTTGAGTCCAAGGCTGTGGCTATGGGAGAAACAATACCCTTTTGAGGAGTTAATGCTGTGAACCCCTCCATCATAAAGGCACCACGGTCTCCGATGTGCCTCATTCCCAAAAGGAAACACAAACCCTGGGACCCCTGGAGTCTTGCAGCATTTGAAGATTAGGGTGGCATGTAGCACTATATAACATTTATCACCCAAGCAGAACTTCTTTAATTTTCGTTTTTGGAAAATACACTTCTTGTGGTGCCTTCCAAGTATTGTTGGAATACAAATCCCATCATCTTAGATTTTTGGCCATGTTGGCTGGGGCTGATAGGAAGAAGAATCTGTAGGGTACCACACTGGCTTACCTCTGCTGTGTAAGGGAAATTGCTCTGTAAAAATGTGCATTTAGCAAAATTGCATACAAATGTGTATCATGAGATAATTTGCACTAAAATGCTGGTGAATTCACACAAGAACTTAAAAAAAAAAATAAAGAATCACAAACCTATGCAGAAATGTAGAGAACTCTAACTTAAAATTGGAAAACTGGAAAACCAAAATGGACAGATTTGCCCATCCCTAGCTTAGAGTGTATATAAATTTGAATTAAGCAGGCACCAAATGACCCTGGCACTAGTTTTCAGAGCCTGATTCTAGAGATCTGCACACACAGATGGCAATATGATTAATGCTGTGATGATGTTCTAAAGTGCAATCTGGCAATGTGGTGCCACAACCACCCTTTCCCATGTTTTGAACTGTGCTTAAAGCCACTCTGGTTTCAACCTGCCAGTATAGCAGGGTGCCTTATCACTTAGCCAAGACATGCATCTGTGGCTAGGCGAGAGAAACCGTATATAAAAACGAGCCCATCACAACAAATCTATATTCAGTAAAGTCAGAATTAATGAGGTTGCTAGGATGGCAGCACATGGGATAAGGGGGAAGAAAAGAGTCCAGCTAATGAACCCTTTCTGATATGTATATGTTTTTTAAAAATCACAATTAAATATAACTCCACTGGGCAGACTCCCATTAATGTTTCACCTTCAAGACTTTCAATCCCTTCTAATTACTATTAACATTAAAAATTAATTAGATAAAGTCAGGAATATTAATGAAAGATTAAGTAGCTTTTCTTTTAACATAGATCTCCAAAAAGAAGAAGAAAAAAGAGATGGGGAACAATAACAAATGACTTCTCCCTCCAGCACTGTCAAATAGCTTCTTATAGCTGAGATAGCTCAGTCAGTAGAGCATGAGGCTCAGGGTTGTGGGTTTGAGCTCCAAGTTGGCCAAAAGATTCTCACATTGCAAGGGGTTGGACTAGATGACCCTCATAGTCCCTTCCATCTCTGCAATGATTCCATGAAAGTACCCACCTCAGATCTTTCAAGAAAATTCATCTCACAGATGTCAGCTTTTCTCACACTTTTTGATTAACAACCTTAACTTTCAGTCATCTATACTTCACAAAGCTGGAGAAAAGAATGAGTGAAAAATTAGCATTGATCAGAATTTGCATAATCAATTGGAAGGGCTCACTGGTAGAGCAACTGCTTTGCATGCAGAAGGTCTCAGGATCAGGCCTAGCAGTAGAAGCCCAAGAGATGTCACCTACATCACCTGCGCTGCCTGCCCCCTGCCATCTCCAGCAGCACCAGTGAGATTTCAGTGAAATCTGACAAAATCTTGTGAGTTACCACCAGAACCGTTGCCACTGCTAGCACTTCATGGATGCCAATGCCAGTGCTTCACAGGTGCCGCCACTGCCGCACAACACAGGTAAGAGAGGCACCAGGGGTGAGATAGCAGCAAGGGAGCAGGACAGCAGTGGGGTGGAGCAAAACAGGCCACAACTCCCCTACTCAGGATCAATCCCTGCTCAGGGAAGGAGGAAGGGGTGTGTGGTGGGGGCAGTCCGCCCTGGGTGTCACCACTGAGGGGGTGACAAAATGCCAGGCAGCATTCACCACAGGGTCTCCAGCGCGCCTGAGCCATGCGTCTCTCCTGAGAATGACATGGTGGCTTGGGCGCCCGCAGGCTTCACGGTACCCCAAACGGTCTGCCCGCCATCTCCCCTTAGCTGTAGGGTGACTGAGTGGGAGGAGGCTCCTCGGAGGCCCCGCAGAATGTCCTGCCCTGGCTTGCCCTGCCCCACCCCGCAGGTGGCTGGCCCCGTCCCTGGGCACAGGGCACACGCGCCACCCCAGGCGCCCGATCCCTTGTATCTCTCGGTAGGGATGGAAATGTCCCTCATCTGGAAACCCTTAAAAGTTGCTGCGACTCAGTGTAGACAATGCTAAGTTGATGGAGCAGTGATCTGCCATGCCAAAGACTGACAGGAGACAGCAACAGAGGCAGGAAGCGCTCAGTTAGCACCATAGAAGCCACAATGAGAAAGTTAAAACAACAGAATTCAAACCTGGAGAAACAGTGACGTTAATTTAGATCTCCTGCAACAACTATGTAATGTCTGCACATTTTAGGACTAAAAATAATTCATCATCAGCCCACTTACACCCCCAAGTCTCTGCAAGACAATCGTGCATGTTTTGAGACTTTCTTATTTTAAAGACATAACCATCTTCCTCCACTTAAAAAAAATAATGTTTTGCCTTCAGAAACATTATCTGTCTTGTGATTCATGCCTTGCATTATATGACATTTAAAATCTGGTAGACATTTTTGGCGTTTTAGAGGTGGCTACAATTTTGCAGTTGCTCTATACTAAAGAGTGCAAGCAGTGTCGTGCAATAACCAAACAAACAGTGCCAAGGATGTGAACTCCAACTTCCCAGTTCTTACCCTTTTGCCTTCCCACCACCCAAGAAGTACCTCCTAATGCCAGATTATTTTTGAAACATGCTAAACCTGAACGCAGGAAAGACAGCAATTTCAAAACATACCACCCAATGCTTAGACGCAAAGATTCTAATTGGCTTGGGTTGCTCACCTTTTCATTACCCAAATCCTTCAAATGCTCTTGGCAAACATTTTTCTCCTTTGTCTTTAGCAAGTTCAGAAAATTGTCACAGCAGCAAAAGAGGGAACGAGAGGGCAGGGAGAGGCAGGAATGAAGTGTATGATCTCCCCCATGGAAGGGAGGTATGTTTCCCTACTGCTGATCATATTTTCTTCAAATTCAGTTTAATCTCACAGGGTTGAAATTATAGGAGCGACTCAAGTTAATTGCACATGCTCATAAAACCACATAATCACAGAAATGCAGGAAGGTCATCCAGGTCACACTCTTTCTCTAGAGCAGGATCCGTCCCGCATCCCCATGCATCCCTAAGGGATAATTAATATTATGGTGCAATGTGACCTGTAATCAACCACAACACTGCCACAACCAGACAATTGCCTGGGTGTGAGGTCATACGAATGAGAAGCTGGGAGACTGAAGGAAATCTTTCCTAATCCCAGTAAGCCACTGCCAAGCCACATAGTACAACTGAGAATCGCATATGTACATGAGGGGAGGTGAACTTTTCACCTGGTTGGTACATTTCTTTGCCTAATACAGGGCTGGTGAAGTTGTGGCGCTCCTGTTGTTGTTGAACTACAATTCCCATCATCCGCGACCATTGCCCATGCTGGCTGGGGGCTGATGGGAGTTGGAGTCCAGCAACATCTGGAGGAACACACCTTCCTCACCCCTGGCCTAAACAGAGTTCCTGTCAAAGCTGGCCTATCCATGAGGCAAGGTGAGCTGCCTTGGGTGACAGGATGCACAGGGGCAGCAAAATCCAGCCTCCAGGGAATACAGCACCCCCCTGCCACTGCTACTGTGGCAGTGACAGCGGCGGCACTCTCTTTGGAGGCCAGATCTGCTGCCTCATTGGTGGTTCCTCTCCCTGCAATGCCACCTGTACTGTGGGCTCTAGGCAAATGGAAAGCCCTTCTGATTTTCTCCCACCCTTGTTCCTGATATAGATATTTATTTTCCCCTTCTTCCTGATGTATATCTTCACTCACTCCTTCTTCCCTGGTGAGAGGGGGACAGGCAGCACCATTCTGTGGTTCACCTCAGGTGCCAAAATGTACTGGGACAGCACCAGTCCCTGCCCATTAAGCTGCACATGTGGGAGCTATGTCCAGGCATTCAGTGAATGTACTATATCGACTGAGGCCTGCTGCCTCACTGCTGTGTTCATTGCATGTACTTCTGGACATCTGAAAAGTCTTCGGCATTTTAAGCAAAATATATTCCCCTGGTAAAGCCACACCAATGTCATCACACACACAACAAAATCACTAAAGGCAGCCCATCGCCTCCAAGTGTTCGTACATCCTCATAAAATCAAATGATGGAACCACACTAAATAGTCTACCCCTGCCCCTTTCTAGACTTCTGTCGTCTATGCTCTGGTAACCTCTAGGTTAGATTACTGCAATGTGTTATATATAGGGCTGCCTCTGAAGATGGTTTAGAAACTTCAGCTGCTGCAGAATTCAATGGCCAGGTTGCTCACCCAGACAAGATGATTTAAGCATATATAACACCAATCCTGGCCTGACTGCAGTGGCTGCCTATGAGTTTCCGGCCCCAATTCAAAGTGCTGGTTTTGACCTAGAAAGCTTATTGTGCCCCAGAACCACAATGCCTCAAGGACCACCTCTCCCCACATGAACCAACCTTATGATCATCACCTGAGGCCCTTCTTCGTGTGCTCCCTCCATGAAACATCCGGAGGGCGGCAACACAAGAATGGGCCTTTTCTGCAGTGGCTCCCCAGTTGTGGAATGGTCTCCCCAGGGAGGTTCTCCTGGTGCCTTCATTACATATCTTTAGGTGCCAGATGAAAACATTCCTCTTCAACCAGGCCTTCAGCTATTAATCAGTCTATGGTATTTTAAACCGGGGGTGGAGGGGATTATCTTTTTCCAGTTTTACTGTTATTGTATTATGTATTTTGTGTCTTACATTGTAAAGAACCCTGTGGTTTCTTGATGAAGGACAGTATATACATTTGATAAATAATAATCGTCATCTGTTCAGTGTACATGCGTTCAGTGTATTTACTCATGCGATCAGTCCATTTAATTATGCCTGCTGGTGTAAGTTAGCTTTTGGATGGGATCCCACTTGGCAGCACAAAGAGGATGATGTAGGTAACAGACCTGGAGAAACTCATCTTGAACTGCTAAAGATCAGCAGCATGTGCTGGGTAGAGAAATTGCACTACTCCACACTGACACCTTTACAAAAGTTTGGAGGACCACTTTGTACATGTAGTCACCAAGGGATCAACTACTCACACAGTGATATGTTAGGTTTGCCATAAATCTGGAATTTCCTGGACACAGCCAGAATACAGCCGTCGGAAGCAGGGTCTGGGTGGAAAATGCTGAAATGTCCGGAAAAATCCAGACATATGGCAACCCATGTTGGAAGTCTAGATTTTGCCGACAAAGAGCTCAACAACTTTGTGCAAAACTAAAAGAAGCTCAACAGCTTCGGGGGGCGGGGAACCCCACAACTTTCACTTTTTGAAATACGGGGACTCTATGAAATGTGCTTACAATGAACATTTGCACAGGTAAAATGCATGATTGTCAGGCCACCTTTATTGGGGTTCTTCTGTGCGCATGCACTCACTCTGATGCGCACTTGCACACAAATAGCATGAACATCTATGAATAGCTGGAACAGGCAGGGTGGAAGGCAGAAAGGAGGTGGACCCAGAGCCTAAGGCAGGAAACTCCAATGAATTCTGGCTTTGCCCCTATCCTCCCACCTCTTGAGTTCCACAACAGCAATCCTGAGACTGAGGGGGAGGAAAATGACAGGCTGTTCCACCTCCTAGGACAGATGTCAGTAAGGAGGTTAGCAGGTGGAGGCTGACTGAGGACAGACTTTGGCTGATGGGGCAAAGTCCCCTTTGCCTTAATGGACCAGCCTCCATCTACCCAGGATAGAATTTACCATCAGTGGTATATGCATGAACCTCATGAAGCTTGAGCTTTGGGACCCTGAAAACGTAAGTCCGCCACTGGATATATATATTAGGCTGTGGTTCTTGTGGGAGCACAAAAGAGGCAAGGAATGTTGTGTTGGTCATGGAATTCAGCTTCCTGAAAATGTCAGGTTTTATTAGAAAAGGCAGATCTCTACCAATCTTGGTTAAAATTCCAAGATAGATTCCAATGTGTACAATGGTGTGGTTGAAAGCACATGGGAAATGACTTCTGGAACCTAAGGGAGAAATGGATTGTAAGCCAAGGCACCCAAGGTGATTTACAATTTTAAAACAGTACAACCAATGAATGCTACAGAATGTAGAACAACAGAGGCTATTGAGGGCCAGTGGAGGAGATGATGTTATCTGTTCCCTGACCTGGGCTTCTCCTGTTCTTGATATAAGAACTTTGAGTCTTTCCCCTTTCCTAGGATTAGCAAAATGAAAATAAATTAGACAAATGAATTGCAAAATCACAGAAGGCTTTATACTACTTTAGGATGAAGGCATACAGACAATAGGAAGTGCAATATACATTGTTTCAACCAATTAATTTTGGTGAATGGCTTTCCATCACATTTACACTGCATGCCTATATGCATGTTTTTTTGTCTAAGCACAAATCAGCCAGCATAGTGTAGTGGTTAGAGTGTTGGATCAGGACCTAGGAGACCAGGGTTCTAATCCTTGGGAAACTCACTGGGTGACCTTGGGTCGCTGCCTCTCAGCCTATCTCACAGGGTTGTGGTGGGGATTAAATGTGCCACCTTGAGCTCCTTGGAGAAAAAGGCAGGGTATAAAAGCAATTTTAAAATATATACACAGTCTCAGGTGCATGCAGGGAATGTGCATAGAACAAAACAGGACTGTGGCAGCAAACTTCCATTTAACCATCAATATGTTCTCTTTGTTGGTGCAAAATGTTCTGTGTATAAGGTCTCTTTGTGCAGTCCCAAGCCTGGTGAAAGCACTGCACACAACTGTAGGTACAGCAGCCATGTGGGGCTAAACAGCATCTACAAGGCCACAGCTTTGGGTGGAATTTGTTACCTAGGTGCAGAATCCTATTTGGTTTGTTTGTTAACTCAGTGTACACACAAGGTTGATTCCTGTTTGTTGTTTTCTCTTATTCTCAAGACTATGACAAACCTTAATCTTTGGAAGGCAATTTGGAAATTTTTGCAAAGGGCAGAAGGAGACAAGAGAATTCTCTAACATTTGGGGCTATTGCACCCTCTGTTCTAATGCCTACACACCCAGTACTTTTTGTTTGCTGAGAGCAGGAACTAAATCCATCTGTGCATGCCCACGGGGAGTTAGTTGCTGGCTCTTTTTCATGGAGCACAAAAGAGCAGAAAGCTCACAGCTCCTCCGCTAGATAAAAGAGATGGGCTGAATTGCAAAAAAAAAAGAAGAAAAAAAGTGGGGGAAATGACCAGTTTCAGATCTTGTGTGCCACTGTGACGCGTTCATCTTCTCCTCCAGAACAAGTGGTAGACAAAGGACCTTTAAATATGTAACTGGTTAACAAGACTGTTAATGTAGAACAACAACCTGTTAATGAAAAATATTCCCCCTTCCCTTTCTCCAGAGCGGTCTCAGGCGCCATCTTTATTAACAAAGTACTGTACTTCTTCCAGGAGCTCAAGACATGCTCCTTCCGAATATCTCTGGTTCAGCTGCAGTAAAATGCATATAGATATTGATCAAAAGAAATCAATAGGCCTGCACAACCAAGTTTTACACATTCTGTAAAAATATGTATCTTCCTCTGATTTCAGTGGAGCAATGACTTTGGGCTGTTATTGTGAGGATTAACTGGGATAACCCCATTTGCACCACACTGATCTAACACTGCTGTTTGAGGTGGGATTTCGCTTCCTCTCCAGATTTTCCCAGTCCTGCTGTTCATGACAGGATTTCTGTAGCTAAAACATCGTGTCTTGTTCCTCCCCTTCTTCCAGATTCCACCCCCCTTTGTATCATGTCACTTAAACAGTGGACCTGAAGGCAGGGACTGTATTTTACCTGAAATAAGCATCTTTGGGAGCCCTTATCAGCTGAAGAGCAGGATAAAAATGCCAACATTTACTCACATTTATCTCCTCTTACTCTCAATTAGGGATGGCCAATTCTGTCAATTTCAGGTTCTCTCAGTTTCTCACATATCCAGGGACATGCTATTTTACTAGAAAAAGAGGTGCCAGAACTCACCTGGGAGACGCCCACCTGAGAGGTGCTGGAACTGAGTTCCGGCGAGTTCCGGATGAAAGAAACACCCTGTGTCCAGCCTTAAGCTTAATTTGCTATTCCTCTCCCAGAGCTACAATTTCCCAGAGTGGTTTAACAATCAGATGTTGGCATTTCACAGAGAACTCAAGGAATTGTACCTCTGGGGGGAAGAATTGGAGTCTCCTAACAACTCGTAACACTTTTATCAAACTACAGCTCCCAGAATTCTGTGGGGGAAGCCATGACAGTTTAAAATGGTATTGCAGCATTTTAAATATATGGTGTGAATGAGTCCAGCAACGTCAGAAGGGTCAACCAAGGGTACACCATCCCTGACACAGGGCTTTTGCTGCTTATTATCCTTGCCTCCTCTTTCCTCCCCTTCTGCTTCTCAAATACATTTCTGCATCTTTTCCCAACGTCATTTTATGAAGCTGCACAATTATGGTCCTACATAACTTTTTTCCTTTCATGAAATTATCAAATTGTATTGCTTGGTTCTTTTGTCTCTGGTTTAATAGAATTAAAAGTGTTGGATAGCTACAACTAAAATTAAATGAAAAACAAGAGGGGAAGCTAAGAGCTGCCCCAAGAGAACTGGCTGTACAGTGCAGCCTTTTCCTGTCTGGAAAATCAAAAGATTTTCAGTAAACTGTTTGTGTGCTCAACGTTTTGGCAAGTTTGCCAATAAAAGCAGGGAGTCAACATGTATCATCAGCAGGTCTTTCCCCCCTCCTGCGTGGCTTTTAGCAAATGTAATTGCCTTCAGACAGCTCAGGGGTCAGATAACTCCATACCCTCCAAAATTTCTCCAATGAAAATAGAGACATCCTAATGAAAAGTGGGACATTCTGGGTTCAAACAAGAAACTGGGATGGCTTCTCTAAATCAGGGACATCCCTGGAAAATAGGGAAACTTGCACGGTCTGGAATAAGGGTGTCTTTTCCTAAATAGGCTGTGTTGTTGTTTTTTAAGTTGACAAAATTGCCTGTAGTGACTGGTGCCCATTGGAACTTGGTAGGGCAGAAGACAGGAAGACCAACAGTAGGTGGCGCCAGAGACAGATGTCCCCATCCTCCTTACAAGGAGCAACTCTGAGATTAAAGGAGGAGGAATCTGATAGGCAGGCCATCCTCTGATCTGGTTGTAAGTAAAAAGGCAGGCAGGTGTGGTCACTGTCCCACAACACAACGCACTTGACCAAACAAAGCAAATATGTGTACAAATTCCAAGCAGCTTCTACAGAAGACACACAGACAGGGTATAATATCCTCCGTTTTGATGCAGCCAGCTACACAAATCCCTGGATGACAAACTACTATCTCTCTACCTAATATACAGTTTTAAAAATTGCTGAATGAATAACAAGGGATAACCTAGTCAGCCTTTCTCAACCTGTGGGTCCCCAGATGTTGTTGGACTACAACTCCCATCACCCCTAGCTAGCAAGGCCAGAGCTGAGGGATGATGGGAGTTGTAGTCCAACAACATCTGGGGACCCACAGGTTGAGAACCACATCCTAGCTGAAATGGGGAGCACCTGCATCTTACTGAGAGAACATCTGCTTTGTATGCCTGACATCTCCAGGAAATACTAGGAACATTCCCTGGGTGTCTGGTTGGGCAACCCAATGCGTTGCCCGATGAGGCTTGTCGCAGCTGCAGGAGAGTGCAGCAGGCCCCAACAGTTCCCGTTGCACCATGTGATGTGATGCACACACTGTGTTGGGTTGCATTGCGCCATGTGACATCATGCATGTGGTGCACGTGACGTCACACGTGTGCCAAGCACACCCAATGTGAGGCAGAAACTAGTACACCTGATCCAGTCAGTGTAGACAATATTAAGCAGGAGTGACCAGTGTTCTGTCCCAGAATAAGGCCCGCTTCCTGTGTTCCCATAACGTGATAGACGTTGCCGTGAGTTATCTGAGGAACAAGGTGTGCAATTAAAAACAAACTGGCTCTTCTTCCCTGCTAGTTGCAATTCCTGCCAGCTCCTTTTGTCCACATGCAGCCTCCAAGGAGGTAGGGGAATTACAGATAGTCCAATGGAGCCAAGCATTCAAAGAGATGGTATACTTTCCAGGGGCAGAATAAGGGGCATTATATCACCCAGGAATTGGCGGGGAAAACCACTTGAACAGTTTTAGCACAGAGAGCTCTTTTCCATGACTCACAGGTGAAAGGACAATGTGAGATCGGCTCAAATTACATGAGGAAGCAGATCCATTCAGCAGGACTTCATTATGTGGTGATGTTCCTGATTCACATGTGGAAGAGCACTTCTGCAGAGCACTGGTGAGAAGCACAATGCAGATATTGCTTTGAGCTTTGGTATTCTATTTTCCCCTCCATCTCTTAGCTTCTATTGGCGTGCTTTGTTTTGCTTTGAAAAAGAAGGAAGTCATATTTGCCACAGTGCCGCTTCTTTCAAGGCAGAGCTAGCCTGGAATCTTTGTGTGGTTCCCAAAGTCACATTTGCTTGCCATCATCTTACTGCACCTGAGAAGGCTTTTGGAAGAGAGGGGCTGAGACATGAAAAGCATATGGGACACAGTGGTTCACAGAGAGAATGCTAGACCAGAACTACAAATCTTTAGGGAGCAAGATTCGCAAACAGATTTTTTTTTAAAAGTCAGTATACATATCCCACTACTTGTGGAGAGAGAGAGACAGAAGATACTCAGTTTGTGCCCCATTCCTGGAAGACACTAATTCTGCTCTATCCAGGTTGAACAAATAGTGTAAGGCCATTCTCTCAACCCACATGTGTTCCGTTAATTATATTAATATATCTTCCGCATGTACAAACTGGCCATGTGACTGAGAACCCTGAAAAAAGCAGGTTTCATCCCCTCAGAAGCAGAGCTTTCTCTGCAATTTGCATCCAATTTTAACAGAAAATAAAAAAGGTAAGGGACTTCTTTCTCTTTTAAGGAAAGGAAATACATTTTTAAAGGTTCCCTACCTGAAAACCCCTGGATGGTGTGCCTGAAACTTGGTCGACTTAATCCACCCTGGAAGAGCTCCTTTGCCTACAAATTCCATCTACTTATGTAAACAGTACAGAACATCATCACAGCTGGTTTTAGATTCCCTATTATAGTCAACTGAGTGAGGGCAGAACTTTGGTTTTAGCAAATCCGATTGGGATCCAAATAACTAACTGAAACTGAATGAAGCTGAGCAGAACTGAAAAAGATTGGGATTCTTCCCCATCAAGCTGAATCTTGGGGTTAGCTGAATACCCCTCATATACAACCATCATTGCTATAGCTTTATCCTCCATGATTTATCTAATTCCCCTTTAAAATCACCTAACCTGATAATTGTCACAACTTGTGAGCTCATTGTTTACCTATGTTGATGCATGAATAACTACTTCCCTTTGTCTTTCCTGAATCACCCACATTCTGCTTCACTGGATGGGCCCTGGGTTCTGGCATTAATGTTGCACAATTGTTTCATCACAACTTGTGGGCTGAATTGCCCTAATGGGTTGTTTTTTTCAGCAAGGATTATCAAGGCACTGGGACAGTTTGGGACAGGAGCCCAGACAAAAGTCTAAAACTCATAGAATTATAGAATTGTAGAGTTGGAAGGGACCACGAGGGTTAACTAGTCAAACCCCCTGCAATACAGGAATCTTTTGTCCAACGTGGGGCTCGAATCCACAACCCTGAGATTAAGAGTCTTATCCTCTACCAACTGAGCTATCCCAGATGCTTGAAATAAAAGGGGCACATACAAAACTGAACAGAGCATTTCGAAGTTTGCGTTTTTCGAATTTGAAATCCTGGCATTGGATAAGAAACACAAAGGACACAGAATGAGGGCAGTGCTTCACTGAACTGCTCCAATGACTAGGCCCAGTCCCTGACTGATGCCCTAACTACCTGGTCCTAAGATCATACTAATGCTATATCAGCACAGGCAATGGACTGCACTGCTAACATAGGACTGGGGTGTCCAAATGCATCTCCACTGTCTAAAGCTGCCTTTTCCAAACTGGTTCCCTCCAGCTGGTTTTGACTACAGCCGCCTTCCGTCATCCATGACCATTGGCCATGCTAGCTGGAACTAATAGGAATTGGAGTGCAAAACCTCTACAGGGCACTAGGCTAAGGAAAACTGACTTTTAGACAAACTGATTTAGAGCTGTGGATGAAAGGTGGAGAACTTGCGGTCCTCCAGGTGTTGCTAGACTGCAGCTCCCACCATCCCTGACTTTTGGCCATGCTGGCAAGGGCTGGTGGGCATTGGAGGCCACCAGTTCCCCATCTCTGCTGTAGCTGCCATGGCTTCTTTCCCCCTTCCCTTGTATTCATAGATGGACACATTCATGCTGATGCTCCTGAAGCATATCGATGAAAGCGCAGAGCTAATAATTATAATCTAATTATCTGAGAAAACGTTCTCCTCGCCGCAGGCTCCCTCCCCTTCTGTTAAACGACTTTCTTTCCCCTAAAGTGGCAATCATGAACAGAACAAGCGCAGCATGGGATGTCACAGGTACAAAAAAAGACGGCAGCGTGAAACGGCAGAATCTCCCAGCATCTTCGATAATTGCATTCAGCGCCCCATTGATTATTCTGCAATTAGCAACTGTGTCTCTCCTGCCTCCCAGATGTCAGCCATACCCCTTAAGGATGCTGGATGTGGCACAATCACTACGAGTCACCTGAAGCAGGACAAAAAAAACCTATAGTGACCTTTAAAAATAACAAAGTTTTGATGTGCAGAAAAATTACAGTGCCACAGCCTACTCCAGCCAGTAAAATCAGCACACACAGCGCTTGTGGTTCTAGAAAAACTGTGATAATATTTTTGTTCTGGCTATCTTGCAGTCAGAATATTTGTGTTCTTAGTAGCAGGAGGAAGCTCTAGGATGGGTAACTAGTATCACTCCAATATGTTCCCACACATATTCTGACATCTCGGCTTCAGTTTTGATGGTAAACATGGACCATGTCTTCAAGGACACAGAGCCCAATGCTTTTTTAAAAAGAAGAAGAAGAAAGATCCAAGATATAATCTGCTTAGAAAGGCACTCAGATATAGCCTTGACTGTTCACAAACTGGCAAGATAACTGTCCTGATTTCACCAGAATTAAAGAATCCATCCTGGTATCTGGATGTCCTGTTTTCGGTGCCAACCTCCTGACAATGTCAGCAGGATCCCACAAAAACTCAACACCAAAATACATGTGTCTTTCATACAAAAGAAGGGAGAGCTGTTAGTGGTGCAAGCCAGGCTGCCCCCGCCAGGCCCAGAGACTGCGCCTCCTCCACCCCACGCTGCCCCCACCAGAAGAGGAGGAGATGAAGAAGAAGAGGATGGTGACAATGGAGAAGAGGGGGAGGAGCTGGTTCAGCACTCTCTGAGAGAGCTGCTGCCGATAATGGAGATGGCGTTGGGGCTGGCTCACACAGGAGGCAGTGAAAGACACATGTCCCGGTTTTAACCAGCAGAATGCTTGAGGGTATGGCTAGAAACTAGAATTGTTCGCCTTAAAGGTTTGAAGATAAAGAGTGCAAGATAGAGGATGCACAGGGATAGTGTGTAGAACTTGGCGCCAAAGTTTCCAAGTGTATAGGCTATGCTAACATTAGTTTTTCTCAGGCATTTTCTCCTCAAGCACCTGAGAGAGGAAGTAGAGTCACGGCCCCCACCCCCACTCACCCCATTGGTGAGAAAGGCCTGAGGCAGGGAGCCTGCTGTGCTCACATAGCATAGCTGTCAACCGTCCCTTATTTGGCGGGAAAGTCCCTTATCCCAGCGCTGTGTCCCGCTGCTGTCCCTTATTGATGATGTCCTTTAAATTTCCCGGGTTTCAAAGGAAGCAGCTCCTCTCCCTCCCTGCCTGCCAGCCGGCCAGGGAGGAGGGAAGCTCCAACTGTGTTGCTTGGCTGCGTTGCTCACCCAATAAGGAGTCTAAGAACACTGGGGGGTGGAGCTTGCATGCCTTGTGCTGATCAAATCGGCCACGTTGCCTGGGAACTCGCCTTTGCTCAGTGCTTCCCAGCGGAGAGGTGACGGTGGTTTTCCTTGCTGCATCCCCTTTGCCGGGTTGCTGCACTGTGGGAACCACCACTTGAGGCTTCGTTTGGCTGCTGGCTGGGCTTTCTGCCTTTGGCTCGGAGGGGCTCAGAAGTTGAACATACCTGTGTTCAGAAAATCCCTTATTTTGGCTGCTGATCCCTTATTTTTGAGGCTGCTGGTCCCTTATTTTCAAATCTGTAAGTTGACAGCTATGTCACATAGGCTCTCCATTCTGATTCACACAGGGAGCATGCTGGACCAGATGATCATTGGCCTGATCCCACAGGCTCTTCTTATGTTCTAATTCAGTCCCATTGGTCCGTCTAGCTCGGTATTATCTAGTTGGTATCAACTATCTGGCAGCCTTTCTTTCCCAGGCCTATTTGGAGATGCTGGAGATTGAGCCTGAGACATTCTGCATGCAAGGCCGATGTTTTCCTCCTGAGTTATGGGCCCTTACACTCTGGACTGTAGAACTGAGCTATAAGTCTTCCTAGCGTGGGTTTGGAAATGTAGACAGGTGCCCACACACTCCCATAGGATTTAATTTCCTCTGATTCAAAGCAAGCATCACCCTGGGCTAGCATCTGCTATAGTCCAGCTTAAAGGAAAGCATATGTGGGTCACTTGAGTTATTATCTAACCTTCTCCTGGCGCTGCAATTTATTATGGTTGTTATTTTTTAAAAAAATCAGTTTACATTAGATTGCCCCAAGGCACTCATCATCACTTGTGGAACAGATAGGGAGCAAGTGGCAAATGGGATTAATGACCAGGATTAAGGTCTGAGTCACTGTGGGGGTTGTTTGCTGACGTTGGCAGGCAGGCAGTAGTCGCCACTCGTGTGGGGAATCAAATGCAAACATTTCAAGGTAAATGTCCAAATGTGCAATCCAGCGAGCTTCTGTTTTGTTTCATCTTGCTTTAGATCTTGGAACGCCAGGCTGTTTATTCAGGTTTCTGCGTTTACCTGTTGCTGCCATGACTACACTTCCCTCAGCACACCTTAGCTTAGTGCTGGTTGAAGGCACCGGGAAAATGATGGCCGCCTTCCAAATTCACCTGCCTACGTCAATATCACATTGTTTAATGGTGCATTGCACCGTGTGAACTCTTTGGCAGTATATCCTAATGTTTAGAGGAGCTGGAGAACAATTGTGGCCTGTCTCTTCTGTCAGGCTTGCTGACACGAAAAACCTGACAGAGAAGCTCCAAACAGAACATTCCTAGCAGCTCAACTTACCCGCCTGTTTAATGCCGAGGCTCTGAGTTTTCTCAGACTTGATTTCTGAGGCTCAAGTATGTAAATAGTACTTCAAGGGAACCACAAGTCAAGCTCAGCAGCCCATTTTTTCCTGATCATCTAGGGAAGGAAATGTACTCATATATTGCTTTCATGTGAAAGGGCATAAACTCAAGGCTGACTTGTTTTAAACGTTCACCTGGTAAGATGGTCTTATGACACCATCCCATATGATAACAGCCTCTTGAAAATCACCAGCTTTGTTTTTGGATAGCTTTCTGGTTTGGGTTTGTTTTTAGCCATGGTAACTTACTTCTTGCACTTCCATCATGGCTTTTCCTCTAAGGTGGTGTTTATGGTAGGGCTACGCACCAGATTCTATTGAGGCCCAAATCCCAAGCCAACTCTGGTGGCATCTGGGCCTCATTTGAGTTGGTTGGAGAAAGTGCGAGATCACTACAGGTTGGGTTGAGTAGATCAGAGCCATCCAGGGCTGTCAGAAGGCAGGAAGGAAAGAGAGGCATGATTGAGAAGAAGGCTAAGAAACTGCAAAAAGAAGAAACCTATGAGGCAGCTACATCTTTGTAGAGTAGAAGATTAGGCAGGCCTCTCCTCCTTGCCCCCAGAAGCAACATAGGTGTTAAAGGTAAAGGGACCCCTGACCATTAGGTCCAGTCGTGACCGACTCTGGGGTTGCGGCGCTCATCTCACTTTATTGGCCAAGGGAGCTGGCGTACAGCTTCCAGGTCATGGGGCCAGCATGACTAAGCCACTTCTGGTGAACCAGAGCATGCACACGGAAACACCATTTACCTTCCTGCTGGAGCGGTACCTATTTATCTACTTGCACTTTGATGTGCTTTTGAACTGCTAGGTTGGCAGGAGCAGGGACCGAGCAATGGGAGCTCACCCCGTCACGGGGATTCGAACCTCCGACCTTCTGGTCGGCAAGTCCTAGGCTCTGTGGTTTAACCCACAGCGCCACCCGCGTCCCTAGCACAGGTGTTAAGTAGGAGCATAAGAGCCAATTCCTAGAGGTCAAGGGTTCTTTGCCTCCCCCCCCCAATAAAATATTTGGGGGGACCAGGGACCAAAACTCGTTTAAACCCCTTAGCCCCACCACCCTCAAATTGCTTCAGGGTTTGGTGGGTGGCCTCCAGGGCAACACTGGGTGAATCGGGCCAATCCAGGGTCTACAGATCAGGGCTATATAAGGCAGTTCAGGGGTCTCCACGCAGTCCTAGTTCATGGAAGTTCCTTCTACAAACACACCTGTTTTATAATTACAACAATCCTGCAAGGTGGATGAGATTACGTACCGTGGTGGCCAACATGGTGATGACCTCCAGGTGTTGTTGGGCAACACCCATCAACCCCAGCCAGCAGGGTCAGTGGTCAGGGATGATGTGAGTGGTAGTCCAACAACATCCAGAGGCCAACATTATACCCTGCCCATCTGGCTGGGTTTCCCCAGCCATTCTGTGCGGTTCCCAATAGAATATTAAAAGCATGATAAAACATCAAACATTAAAAACTTCCCTAAACAGGGTTGCCTTCAGATGTCTTCCAAAAGTCAAATAGTTGTTTATTTCTTTGACATCTCATGGGAGGGCTTTCCACAGGCTGGGTGCCACTACCAAGAAGGGCCTCTGCCTGGTTCCCTATAACCTCACTTCTTGCAGTGAGGGAACTGCCAGAAGGCCCTCAGAGCCGGACCTCAGTGTCCAGGCTGAACAATGGGGGTGGAGATGCTCCTTCAGGTCTCCACTGGACTGAGGCCATTTAGGCCTTTAAAGGTCAGCACCAACACTTTGAATTGTGCTCAGAAACATACTGGGAGCCTTTCAGGTCTTTCAGGACCAGTGTTGTGGTCTTGGTTGCCACTCCCAGTCACCAGTCTAGCTGCCGCATTCTGGATTAGTTGTAGTTTCCGGGTCACCTTCAAAGGTAGCCCCATGTAGAGCACATTGCAGTAATCCAAGCCCAAGATGAACCAAGTAGGGATTTGAAGCTAGGTTCCCTCAGTGCCCACTCTGTTCACCTTTTTGCATCATTCTGTTCTGTTTACATATCAGTTGATGCCTGGGCCGATTCACAAAACTACGTTTTGCAGGAGGGATTTTCCCCATGTGCGAAAGTGCCTGTGACTGAGAAATGATTGCCTGTATGGAATGCGAAGCATATGGTGGACATGCATTCTTGCTGTGATCCTGATTTAATGTGCCCATCGCAAATACCTCCTTGGAATTTGGGTGAGGTGGAGCACAAAGACGTCAAAGTTTCTACAATCTATCCAGGTTACCACGCACACACTTTCTGGAAGTGGGCAAATAAAAACACCCTAGAGTAGCAAAAGGAAGAGATGGGAAGCTGGTTGTGTGCACTGTCTTGGTCAACCATGCTTAGTGTTTTAAACTTAAATGCTCACACAGAAAAACCTTTTAAAAAGCAAGAAATGAAACACAATAGACTGAGATAGAACAGTACCAGATTGCATTGTTCTATTCCTTTTGCAAAACGCATCCAGAAGTCTGGTCCTTGAGTACAGTATGTATCGTCTTATTTAGAACAGGGACGGGCTAGTCTAAAAACAGCATGCGTCTGCACACACACACAGAGAGACAAATGTCTTAAAGGCTGGGCACAGCTTACCCTTCCTGAGCCCCTCTTCAGGGCTCTTCTGGCTAAAAATTCTTCAGATGTTCTTGGCTGACTGAAGCTATTTTCCTTGCCTGCCGCTTCCCTGTCTTAACGCACAGATCTACGGAAGCTAATGAATGCCCTGTATCCTAGTGAGCTGCTCTGACCTAGCTATAAAATGCTTTTAGTCAGCTAACTGGATAAAAGAGCTTAAAATAGTGTGGCCTTTACTTTTTTATCAGCTTAAAATTTTCCAGCCAACCGATCCTCTTTATTTATAGTTTGCTCGACTGTTGCAGATGGGCGGTTTTAATTCTAGGCTGATCCTCAGGAGGAGGAGGAGGGGAAACCCACAAGATTTAACTCTGTACAATTCTTATTCCAAGGGCTGCCCCCAAACACCATGGCAGTGTCCAAAGGATGAGCTGTTAACTAGCTTGTTGGCACAGATCCTTTGGAGGGTGGGCCATAGCAAAGGGATAGAGCCTCTCCTTCGTATACAGAAGGTCTCAAGTTCAGTCCTTGACATCTCCAGAAGATTGCTGCTGCCTGAAACCCTGGAGAGCTGCTGCCAGCCAGTGCACACAATATTTAGCTCTTATATTTATTGGTGTTCATATCCCACCTTTCGTCCAAGGAGCTCAAGGTGCTGTCCCTTAACCCCATCTCCTATCCTAATAACAACCTGTGAGGCAGGTCAGCCTAAGAGACAACAACTGGCTGAAAGCCATGGCTGAGTGGGGATTTGAACCCTAGTCTTCTGGGGCCTAGTCCAGCACTCTAGCCACTATACCACACTGCCGTAAGTCAGGTTCCTATGTTCCGAGGAGGACGTTTTTGTGGCTGTGGGTCTTTGAGCAATGCCAATTGCTGTTTTCTATTCCCATTATGAGCATAAGAAATGCCTTATTGTTTGTTTTTGTTTACACCGTAAAAGCTCTTTAATAAACATGATAATGAGGATCCCATGTCTAGAATTTGCCACAGTCTCGCACAGCCATCTCCTCCTCAGCAGCATGCTTCCCAGATGGTGCAGAGGAATGCTTTCCCATGGGAGTTATCGGTTCGGCCCCAAGAAGGCACACCACTCTCATGCGCTTGCCCTCAGGGACATCACATGTCAGCTTCTGCCTGGTACTCTGCAGCGTGGCAATGGATGCCAAGGTGTCTCTGTGTCTGTGTGTGTGTGTGTGTTTGTTTTGTGTGTGTGTGCACGCGCGCGCACGTGTGTGTGTGTTGCATTTCTCACATCTGTAATTCAAATGTAAAACTCAAACCAGCTAAAATGTACCTGTGATTGCCAAATGCCATTGTTCAGCTTCCCAACTCTCAGGGACAGCATTCACATGTGCACATGCAGAGAGTGCTACAGAGGCTCAGAGATGTATTTAGTGTGATGTGTGAAAATCATGATGGTTGTTTGGTTTTTTTGCAGCTATCCCTCTCTTTGCCCTTCGAAGCCTTGTAAGAAGCGGCTGCAGGAGAGAGACTATGAACAATATCATGAAAGGGGGGTTTCCAGGACTAAAGTGAAACTGTGAAGCTCCCTTGTTATTGGATGCTGCATGTTGTTTTAATAAACTTGTTACATTCATAGTATTGGTATTTGGGTTTGGAGTTTTTTGGTATGTTCCTGGATTTGATATTTGTTGCTATGTTGTTGTGAAATTGTTCCTGCATTATTGTTTTGCTATGTTATTACAATGTCTTTGGTAGTGTTTGTCTGAAATGTATTCTTGATTTCTTTGTTGTAAGCAGCTTTGAGGTGATTTTTTCGTAGGAAAACAGCATACAAATGAAAATACCCCCGGTAGACTGTTGCTTCCATGCTAACCATTAAGCCTGGAATTTCCATCCTTTTGTTACTTACTTTCTATACTCCATTCAAGCATTTTCTCCAATTTACATCTGCTTTCCAACCCCAGACCTGATCTGAGGCAGTTGCCCCATACATACAAAACTTGCAGTGTCATCCTGTCCAATGTAGGCCACTAGCCCACGATTCAGGTTTTACAGGGTCACTGTGCCTTTGAGTAGAAGCTTCCTTCTCAGTGGATTCTAACTGTTCTAATTGCCTCCTGTTCAGCCATCCCTGCATATTATTGACGAATTGCCTCTTAATTCCTTATAAATTAGTCTGTGCCTCTTCCCCATGGGAAGCAGCCTTAAACTCCTGGTATCTTTTATTTATTTTTTCCTTCTCCATTTTCATTCCATGCTTTTTAATTCCTCTTCCACTTGACTGCAGAAAAGCAATCCGTAGCAACACTCAAGGGCCTTCATGTGGAAACAACCTGCCTTTGCAACTGCCCACTCAGACCTACATTTGTCTTTATAAACCAGGGACAATTTCCATAGAATATGGGAGTCATTTCCAGAAGACATATACCAGTTGGGGGTGGGAGAAGGGGAGCTTATTATTGTAATAGTGTGAATTTTCCTTTGCTCCTGTTTCTCTTTTGTCCTTTATTTCTACCATTGCTCCTTCTACCCTTACTACCTTAGATTCCTGCGCTGCAGAGGGTTGGACTAGATGCCTCTTGGGGTCCCTTCCAACTCTACAATTCTATGATCTGTAAAGGAAGAAAGAGGCTAGGAAATTCTGCTTATGTCCTTCCTTGCACAACGGCCTTGCAAAGTAGGGCAGTTGTATCCCAAACTATATGGCAATCACCCTCCGCCCTTTAACACTTACAGCCCCCAGATGGGAGGGAATTCGGGGGGGGGGTGTCAAAGTGGAGCATGCCCGGCACTTCTCAGCCAAATTCTCCACAGAATTTATCAGAAACAACATACCCTCCAACATTTCTCCAATGAAAATAGGGATGTTCTGTAGCATGCAACTGGCTTTCCCACCCTGGAGGTTCAACACAACCTGCCCTTTCCCCTGTGAAATCATATTTCTTTTTACATTTCTTGCTCTGCTCACTCTTGCCCCTGGCTCCACCCACTCCCAGCAGGCACTCCTTGGAAGGTTGCCCAGAAAGGAACCTTGGTCCGCAGCTGGAAAAGGTTGTTCAGATACCATACCCTGGGCATCACATTTTCCTCTGCGCAACCAGCTAAGAAGTAAAAGTGATAACTGCAAATTAAAGCATGGCACTTGGTTAATTTAATGTGGTTGTTAACCAATGTCTACCTAATAAGTGCATTCAGTGCTCTTTAAATCATAACTAACTTTTGGTACAGTGGTATCTCGGTTTTCGAACAGCTTAGTTCCCGAACAACTTGGAACACTGCAAACCCAGAAGTGGGTGTTCCGGTTTTCAAACTTTGCCTCGGAAGCCGAACGTGCTCCTGAGCTTCCATTTTCACTGTTGTTCCCCTCATTTGAGTCCCCCGCATAGTAATTCAGCCTTTTTTCCTCCTGTTTCTGCCCCTGCGCCGCTCATTTGAGTCCCCGCCCCCATCGTAATTAAAGCCATCCATTTCTGATTGCAGTGTTCTGAGGTGATACTTGGTGCTTTTGTTTATGCTAATTTTCTTGCGTTTTTTGTTTGTGTGGCTTTTTTATTTTTGTGTCTGTGGCTTGTTTTTCGTTTTATGATTGAGTGACTGTGGAAATGGATTAAAAAAACCCATCCAAACAATGACTATCATCAATGCAGGTAAGAAAAAATAATAATTTTAATTTTTATCATCTGCAATACTGTCTTATTTATTTTATAGTACAGAACACTGATTATTGCTTTCATTTCATGGATCAATGGTCTTGTTAGATAGTAAAATTCATGTTAAATTGCTGTTTTAGAGGTTGTTTTTAAAAGTCTGGAAAGGACTAATCCATTTTGCATTACTTTCTGTGGGAACGCTTTGGTTTTGGAACAGACTTCCGGAATGGATTAAGTTTGAGAACCAAGGTACCATTGTATATGAATACATGATATTATCAAATTATAGTTTATAGGTTGTATATGTTAGTCACACTCAGATACATCAACTCTGAGTAGAACTCCCATGTATACATATGTGGATGTCCTATTTTATTTATTCAATGATTTTTTGCAATTAAAAAAAGCTAAAGAAAAGAAATATAGTTCTTGATTGTACACTGAAGAGAATGCTAAGGGATAGCTCAGTTGGCAGAGCATGAGACGCTTAATCTCAGGTAGGTGAAAGATTCCTGCATTGCAGCGGGTTGGACTAGATGATCCTTGTGGTGCCTTCCAACTCTACAGTTCCATACTGTACCTTTCCCTTATCTGTGATCACCTTCATTCAGAGATTGATTCGGGGTTTTTTTTTTAAAAAGAGCTTTTAAAAATGGGGACATTGAAAGTCTCTTTATAAATGGGAGAAATGTTCCATAGGTCTGAAAGCTTTGTCAATTCTAGCTGTTATTCTTGCCAAAAGGCGTGTGCTGCAAAACTATCATTAGTTTTCTGTTTTGTTTTGTTTTTAATGTCCCTGCGATGCCTTCGGATCCAGCACTGGATCCAGCAAAGTTCAATGACAAAAAAGAAGGAGGAAAGCTAGCTGTTGTCCCTGATGCCAGGTATTCTCAAGCCAAGAGCAGCAACCTTGGGAACTTCGCCATGCAGCCTTTTGATACTCAGAACTTCGACAATGTGTTGGCTGCCACATGTGATCTCTGGGAAAGAGGCTGCAACTACAGTTTGTTTCCAGCTGGCTTTGCCAGGAGCCAGAAAAGGCGTTGACAGCCGAGAGATGGCAGGCAGCAAGCGCTGAGCAAGCCTGCCTTGCCACACAGATGTTGTCTTAATATAAACCATTGTGAGGCGGGAGTTACAGATTTGGGGATAGGCTTGGGAGGCACAGTTTCAGGTCTCTACAATACGACGCTCATGCAGCAACCTTGACACAAGTCACGAACTGTCAGGCTGGCCTTCGCCACAGAGTCATGGTCAGGCTCATGTCGCCAATCCTGGTTTTCTTGACAAAAAGGTGGGGTTAGAATGTAGTGTGTGTGCATTTGCAGTGACCAGCCTTTCAGACCCTCCAAGTGTTCCTGTTTTCCACTGGAAATCCCAGATTTACAGAAGCCATCCCGGTTTTCTGATTTAATCCTCAAATGTCCCCTCTTTTCCTTAGGACGTCCCTCTTTTCATCGGATAAATGTTGGAGGGTATAGAATTATGTGACACCCAGTGGCGTAGTTAGCCATTCGGGTGCCTGGTGTGGGGGGCGTGTCCTGCAGCCGGGGTGGGGCGATCCGCCCATGGGGGCGGGGCAATCTACCCATGGGGGCAGGACGAGCCTCTCCACTGCTTGGAACCTCTCCGCCGCCTGTAGGGTGGCTGAGGGAGAGGCAGTAAGGAGATACAAGTCCCACACTGCCGTTTCAGGTGGCGTAGAACCTGCAGGCGCCTAAGCCACCACATCACTCCTAAAAAGTTTTGTGAGCCCAATTTATTTTTTATTTTAAAAACCCTCATTTTGTAAAACAACTGCAACCCAGTGATGACACCCGGGGCAGACCGCACCCCTCGCACCCTCCTTCCTCCGCCACTGGCGACACCCCAAGCAAAGAAAATAAGCAACTATGCAACCTTTAGAAGACATCTGAAGGCAGCCCTGTATAGGGAAGTCTTTGAATGCTGAATGTTTAATTATGTTTTTATATATGTTGGAAGCCGCCCAGAGTGGCTGGGATAACCCAGTCAGATGGAAGGGGTATAAATAATGAAAAGATTATGGTGACTATGATTATAATGATGATGGTGGAATGACCTACCAACCCAGATAACTGGTCCATCTAGCTCAGTATTGTCTGTGCTGACCAGAAGTAGCTCTCCAGGGTTTCAGGAAGGGACACACCCCATCCTGCTTGGAAATGCTAGGGATTATATCTGGGACTTTCTGCACGCAAAACAGGTCATTCCTATTGTGGAAGTGTCTGTGTGAAGCAGTGTACGCTTCTTGACTTGTGCAGCTCAATTGCTATGGACACAAGTGCACAGATTGTGCCTTCGTTGGATGCGATGTGTGGGCACCCTTAGATAATATCCTTGATGGGGTGGTGGTGGACAGGACAGAATAAAGTAAAGCACGAATCCTTGGAATATCTCGCTTATCCCTGTGTGGCCGCGTGATCAAAGCACTGACCGGAACCAGAGTGTCCCATACAATAAAGACCTCTGAAACTTGGCAGGCTTCTTTCAGGCGTCTGGGAAGCAACTGGCTGCTGCTGCTGCTGCTGCTGCTGCTGCTGAGATTTCCTTCCTGATCCAAGTGACACTTCTGTGAGTAAGAAAACATTTTGAAATGCAAAGCAAAGGCTATGAATCATCGGGAACGGGATTTCACCCACCTCCTGTTAGAGCAAAAACAAATATGATTGCCTCAGAATCAAATCAGAGCCAACTAAAAGAAGGCGGCGGCAAGGGTCACTTCTAAATATATATATATATATATATATATATTAAGTGTAGCTGTGTTTCTTCAGACTACAAGTTCATTACAGGTATAGAAGCAACTGTATTGATAAGTGATGGTGTATACCTTCACGGTCAGAGGCAGCAATGTTTCTGGATACCAGTTGCTGGAAACTGCAGGAAGGGCGAGTGCCCTTGTGCTCAGCTCCTGTCTGTGGGCTTTCCCACAAGCATCTGGTTGGCCGCTGAGGGAAGAAGATGCTGGACCAGATGGGCCACCAGCCTGATCCAGAAGGCTTTTCTCATGTGGGCCATAGATGTGGTGTTGCGTGGCCATGTGTCCTACACTACAAATGACAGCCCTCTGTTTGAAAGAGTCTCCCATTTGAAGGGCTGGTCTGTTTAAACAGAAAGAAACTAAATCTGCAGTCCTGACCCCACAGATAAGCCTGTTGAATTCAATAGGACTTGCTTATTGAATGGTAAGGATTTTGTTGGAAGACTACACAGGAGGGTTCCTGAAGCTGCCCATTTGGTACCTGGACAGCACACAGATCACCTAGTTGCATTTCTATTTAAACAATGGTTATTTGTTTTAAAATTTGCCTCTATGCAACTTTGCCTATATAGATGTGTGTCCTTTTTTGGGGGGTTGGGAGATGGATAAGTTGCCACTGAAATTCAAGAAGTGAATCAACTTTGTGGTGTCTTCTTTTGTACATTCCAGCATCTCCTCTCCCTGGGTTGGATCCAGAGCAATGGCTTGTTCACACACACTACACTGAATACAGGTACAAGCTGTCCCTAGGCAGGTACAAATGCTTGTCTGAAACAGTGTGCACTTGTTGATTTGTGCAGCTCCATCATAGTGTACACAGGTACACAGACTATACACTTGTTGAACATTGTTTGTGAATACCCGTATGAGTGTCCAGTTCAGTTACTTGTGCAGAATGTAGTGCCCACTGTGTGAGCACTCCTCAGATCATCCACACTGAGGTCCCATGAAATCTATATGAAAGTATACACAGGCTTAAGTGCGACTGATTTGCTCTGGATCCAACCCCCTCTCAGTTAGCAAGCCTTCCAAGTAGCTGTATTTGAACCTGTTGAGTTATCAGCACCAAGTTGAGCCTATCAGGGTTCAGCAGGCACACTAAGGCATGAAGAGCACTAACCAGAATTCCCTCCCTCTCTTCCTCCCCTGCAAGGAACCCTTGGAATCGTGGTCCTGTGAAGACAACTGGTTATCTCTAATCAAATAATATTAACCTTTCCTTAGAACATATCTGATGATCATCAAGGATGATGCCTTCTTCTGGATTTTACTTCCAATTTGTGCTTTAAGGTCAGGCTTCTGTCCAACCCCACTTATTGGAACCAAAACTTCCTCTGATCATAAAAACGCAGAGTTTAAGAATAATCTTTCTGATCCAATCCTTTTAACACTGCCAGAATTGGCAACAGCTTTGTATGCTGTCTGAAAGGGCGCCAAGCCAGGAATTAGCTGTGTTTTGTCCGCACGCTGATCAGCAATGAACCTTGGAAGGTCCCAGTGGTGGAGCACTTTATATTCATTAAGTATACTTTTATCCAGCCCTTCATCTTACAATTTCAGAGCATGCTGCAATTCAGTTTAAGCAGAATGATTGACAGTAGATAATAACATCCCTGAAGTCAATCTTAAGAGCAGTCATAAAACACCCCATGGAGTTGCACTTCTCCTCAGAACAACCTGACTAGTCAATTAATCCTAACATCCCAAAACATAGGTGCATAAAAGTTTCCAGGTTTCACCTCAGTATCACATATCTGGTTAGGAAATATCCCTGTCCGAAACCCTGGAGAGATGTTGCCAAGTGACGGCAATATTAAACTAAATGAGCCAATGGTCTGATTCATTGTCAGACAATTCCCCGTGTTCCTGGGTGTCCTAAGCTGTCCACGCAGATCACAGTATCCTTCGCTGAAAGATGCCTATGACTGCATGTGCTGTATCAGTGCTGGAATTATGATCACAGCGCACTGTCAAAGGAGGAGTTTTGGTACAAGGTCTGCCAGAGTGCCACATCACTCATGGTTCAATGTACCATGCTGTCTGCCCCAACACCCCTCTTCCCACATCAGCCTTCTGGCTATTGATAGACCAGACAAGGCCTCTGAAAATTGCCCAGGAGAATGCAACTCAAATAGCTACTTATGTTATGAAAATCAACACATAGCGGTTTTATTCCTTAACAATGTTATCCTCTCAAAAAAAAGCTCACAGTTTGGAAGCAACCTCATCCAAAAGCACTTATTTCTGGCTTCCTAAGTAAACATGGCCAATCTGAGTCAAAATGATGAAGTGTCATTAAGCAACCACATTCTGGGAAAAACCTGGGGTTTGTGGACTTCAGCATATCCATAAGTATAGCACTGTCTACAAGTGCCATTTAAGTGAAGTCCAGTTCAGAATTATATCCCACACTCCATTCTCAAGCCAGAGATGCAAACCCAATTCAATTGTGTCTGTAAAGATGGCAATTATACCTGGGGGAGGGCATGTTTCAGAGGAACACAAAAGGGTGTAAAAAGTCTGTTTTGCTATTGCAGTGGTACCTCGGGTTACAGAGCTTCGGGTTACAGATGCTTCAGGTTACAGACTCCGCTAACCCAGAAATAGTACCTCGGGTTAGGATGAGAACAGAAATCGCGCGGTGGCGGCATGGCGGCATTTGGCTAAAGTGGTGCTTCAGGTTAAGAACAGTTTCAGGTTAAGAACGGACCTCCAGAATGAATTAAGTTCTTAACCCGAGGTACCGCTGTATTTAAATCAGGGGTGACCAACCTTAGTGCCCCCTGGTGTTGCTGGACTACAACTCCCATCATCACTGGGCTGGCTGAGGCTGTCGGGAGTTGGAGTCCGCCAGCTTCTGGAGGGCCACAGCTTAGCTATCCCTGTATCTCAGGCTTGTTCTGTATACAGAACTGCAGATACATTTGGCTAGAGAATGAAAAGATAAGAAATACGTCATGTTTCAATAGTAGATTTTATTAATTCCATAAGTGCCAGGTTTTTTAATCATTATTAAAGGAGATTACAAAGAGTACAAAAAAGCCACCCCAGTACACCTTATCTCTTGTGTGCCCCATTCTGAAGTTGTTATCAATGCATAGCTTTTAGCTTGATATATGTGGGAACAGGACTGGTACTAAAATGGCATCCGAGGCTGGACTTAACTCAAGCCATTGACAGGTTTAGAACCATCGTAAATATTGCAATAAGGGGAGGGGCAGCATCTACAAATTGCTACAGTGGTGATAGCGCGGCAAAGCAGCAACTGCATGCACATGAAGCCAATCGCTAAGATGTGTGCAGGGCGAGTTAATCACTGGTGGTCAGTGGAACATAACATTGGTTCCTCAACAGAGATAGCAATGGTGTAGGCAGGCTGATAAAATGTGCTATGGAGGCTGGTGTAAAACGCTGAGCGCAAGATCTCCACAGAGTTTAGGAACTCTGGGAAGAGGACATGAGCAATGGGCATAGCACTCTCCTTGGACATTCCTATCTCCAGTTCCATGCCTGTATAATTGACACCCTTGCAGAAGATATCCTCTTGCTTGTAGAAACGCACAGTTTCCAGAGGTTCTGAGTCAGGAAGGCTGGTGACGGAGGCGATTTTGTCGATCAGATGGACTGCCTTTTTGAACTCCTCCTTGGTGGGAGGGAGCATCTTGTCCCTCCTTTCTCGGCGGAAGAGGATCTTGCCTTCAAGATGAGAGGTGGGAAGTTTGCAAATCTCCACCAGGGAGGAATTGGTCTCAGAGTACTCCCATACACACTTACTTTGGGCCCTGCGTCCACAGTAATCCCAGAGGCCTTGGTCGTTATCCATGTGGCATCGGTACCCATCGGTTCCATATTTTGCACAACGGTAGTTGTTGTGGCAGGGCAAACCAGTGGGGGTCACATCGAGGAACGGAGAGCAACGTTGCTTACCATGGCCTGTATTGCAGTGAAAACCCTCTTTAGTCGCTCGGCATCCATCAAAACACATTTTGTTGTCCTGAGCATATTCAGCAAAGCCCTTCTCGCTGATCAATCCACAGTAGTTCCATTCTCCATTTTTTAAGTAGCAGTAGTGGTAGGAGCCCCCCCAGAGATCGCACATTGTGGCACATTTTTCACCTGTGTGTCCCAAGCCTTCTTCTAAGGAACAGTAGTCCCAAGATTTCCCGCTGCCACCACTTTGCTTGCACCAGGTATAATCATAGCCGTGAAAGTCACAAGCGTTTGTACATATCCCCTTGTAGCTTGTATGATGAACAACAACTTGGGAGAGAGTGGAAGGCAGAACAGAAAAGAAAAAGAGTAAAGTCACGGGAACACCCATCATGTTCTTCAGACTCTAAAATGAAAAGACAAAAAATTAAAGTAGCTGTATGCATATAATATCATGTTACATCTCTGTAGGGTTTTCCCCCACCCCTCTTTTATGCCTGTCTCTTTCATTACAAATCCATATCCTCCAACATTTCTGTAATAAAAATAGGGATGTCCTATTCAATAATGAAGAAGAAGAAGAAGAAGAAGAAGAAGAAGAAGAAGAAGAAGAAGAAGAAGGTGGTTGTATAGTAACTCATCTCCTTGGCTTGGGAGTCACATAACTCCATACCCTCCAACACTTATCCAATGAAAAGAGGGATGTTCTAAGGAAAAGAGGGACATTCCGGGATCAAATCAGAAACCAGGACAGCTTCTGTAAATCCAGGACTCTCCCTGGAAAATAGGGGCACTTGGAGGGTCTGCAAATCCCCTCTAATAAGTTTCTTTTGTAATGCTTTATACTGCTTACACCTTAAAGAAGCAGAGCATTACAACAGTTTTGTCATGAACCATCCTGAGAATGTTATGAAAGGGTGGTCTATATAAAGGTGTTATATAAATATTAATCAATCAATGACTTGAAATGCACTCCCAGCAGAAAAACTTAACAGGGAGCCCTCATTGGAGACTGCCTAATATCAGAGTCAAACGGCACCAGCTATTTCTGGGTTATATCCAGGGGGAAACAGCTGCTACTGTCATACGCTATCTTCCACTGCCCATATCTAAGGCTGTTCGGACAGCAGGGGCAATAACCCTTCTGGAGGCTCCACAGGAGCAATGGATTGCCCCATACCACAAACCTTTCTGCTTGCTGCAGATGGGAGCAGCAGCAGAGGAAGATGTAGAATAAGCCTAACACAGCCTTCTCCAATCTGATGCTCTCCAAAGATTTTGACTAAAACTCCGATCAGTCTCAGCCAGCATGAGACAATCAGTCTGGGACAATGGAAGTCATTGTTGAACAACACCCGGAGAACACCAGCTGACCCAAGGACCAAAACATATGCACATACTAAGAGTGCCTTGAAAGACCCTTCCAAAAAATGATCTCAGGGCCCAGGAAATTTGAACTTGGATTGGAATGCTTTCTCTCACAAGAGTCTACCCACCCATTACAGCTGGGGCAGCTGGGGCAGCCTTCAGGATGATCAGTCCAGCCATCATGGCTAGGAATGATGAGAGCTGGAATTCAACAAAATCTGGAGAACAAGCACCATGTTGGCTTTGCAATCTTCATCATCCAATTTCCAACAGAAGACCATTTGGCTGAGACATGGGACAGGGCCTTTTCAGTTGTGGCACCCAGACTATTGAGCTCTCTAGGAAGTCCCTTCGGCCCTCTCTTCATTGCCATCTCAGCACGCTGCCAAACCTGTTCTTCTTCCTCCAGGTCTTTGGTATAATTTTTGTCCTCCACCCTGTCCTGTGAGTTTATTACTGAACCCATGGTTTATAGCTGTTTTTTTATTATTATTATTATTTACTCATCTATTTTATTAACACCCTCTTCAGTACTCTAACCACTGCAGCATCCTTCTCTTCAGTTTTGTGAACCATGTGATGACATGATCACTGAGAGCTAATGCTGAGCAAATCCATGATGATTATAGACTGGAATCTAGGTCTCGTATGTCAAATGTGACCCTTTGGAGATCACTGGTTCCAACAATGAATTGCAATGAGATAAATTAGCTCTGTAACAGGCAGTGGATTCAGAAAAGCTAATTCAGCAAAGAATTCCTTGGGGAGGGGAGTAAAGTGCAAACAGCCAGCCAATAGGTTTCCAAATTAAACAGAAGACTATGGAATTCCTTACCACAGTCTAAGCATCTTCCAGGAAAAACAAATAATTTTTAAAAAGCATAAGCATGGAAGGCAAGGGAGTCCAGTCGGTCATTCCTGGAGGTCCTACAGGCACTATCAAGTTGGGCCCCATGATATCTATGTAACCACATGGGACATGAAACCTATGTAACCACATAGGGCATGAAATAGCAAGGCACAATAACTGGGGAAAGGACCATGTTTTCCTAGAAAGAAAGGGTTGTATACAATGTTAGTCCTACTCAGAGCAGACCCATTGAAATGAAGGTGCGTGACTAACGTAGGTCCATTCATTTCATTGTGTCTGCTCTGAGTGGAATTTAGTTGAATCCAACCCCAAAAAAATTGTAGTGCTGGAAGTATGCAATTTCTTTGCAATATAGGAATCTTCCTAAAAGGAAGACATCTGGATCACCCAGATCAACTTAATAACTGCACTTTTTATCATGGGGGCAGGACGGATGACTAAACCTCTCCCATCACAGTCTCATGTTTTGCATTTGTTCTGAATTTAAGCAAAACACCAAAAAACCCTGAAACCAACTAGCAACTCAGTGGTGATGCTGGTGGGAGCAGATTGTTTGCTGCTTTGAAACTTTCCCTTCCCTTATGCACAGAGGTTATATCTAATGTTAGTCAGACTCAGAGTAGACCCATTGAAAATAATGGACCTAAGTTGCCATGTCCATTAATTTCTACTCTGAGTAATACTGGATACAACCCGCATAATATAATGTCCCTTAAAGACTATTGTCCAGCATATCAAATTTTGACAGTGGAAAGACTTTATAAGTCTTAGCCAGCATCTCTTCACAATAAAGTTGTGGTGTAGATTGCTCCAATGCCTGTTTTATACCTGGGGAACAGATCCTGAGAAAGTTAAATTGTTCCAATGTGTTCAAGCAGGTTCAAGGTTGAGTAAGTTGTTTTCTACCCATGTTTTTTAAGTTTAAAGTCCAAGTGATCAAACTGACCCAGCCCTTTCCCAATTCTGCTGAAATCCTTTCCAATTCTGACCAGTGGTGCTCCCTGGTAGGCACTGAATTGATCAGTAGCAGACCAGTCATATGTAAGCATGGGGTAAATCTATCAAATTCACACTTCAAAAGCAGTATGAAATTGAAATGGAGCCATCTTTTGAAATTCACACATATCCAAATTTTGCAATGCAGTTCTCCGACTAAAGAAAGTTTACAAAAATTCATACATTTGGGGAACTCACTTGCAAAAAAGAAATGTGTACATTAGTCAAAGCTGCATACCAACATGTGATTATTAGGAGAAATTCATGCCAAAATACAGATTAATTTTCATGAGGATTTTTAAAAAATAAAAATCATATATTGCTGCAGAAATGAGGAGAACTGATTAGTAAAATGAGACATGGAAAGGACCAAGTTGACAGATTCTTCCATCCCTAGTCATATAGAGAGCTCACACCATCAGTATGTTAAATTCTTCCTGTCTAATGAAGAAGCTGCTAGAAGTATTTTTGATAAAACCATACAGGAATAGGAAAACACAGATATGCACCATGGCATTTTAATTCAACAGCCCCATTTCTGGGGATAATCGAATGGCTATTTCCGCAGTTACAATCCTGCTAACTATACTTGGAAGTGCAAAAAGAAACCCAACAAAGCAGAAATTAATAGGGGGGAAGTTGTTAGACACTTCCCACAGAAATAGGGAGCTGTGGTGATGGAGGAAATGCTCAGAATTAAATTGTCCCAAACGCCACCAGCAAAACAAGATACGTATATCAGATTAAAACTGTAACTGGATGAATAATATATACAGCCCAATCCTCTGTCAGCAATCCTTGTGCTTACTCAGAAGAAAGCGCAACTGATGTCAATAGGACTTGCAGCATGTTCCTAACCAGGTCTCCTCAGAGGTATGTTATGTTGAATTCAATGGGGCTCACTCCCTAGAAATGGAGGTTAGGCTTGCAGCCTTACTCTCAAGTATGCTTGTCCAGGACTTGCCCCCCGCATTGCTTTCCTTCATCCCCACTGCGTATTCCTTCGGTTCCTGAGAAGCGAAACACCCTGTGTCCTCCTCACTGTGTTTCTAACCAAACAAGCAATGAAGCTCAAAAATAAGACTTTATGAGTTTCATTTCTGAAGGAAAGAAACCTGACTAATTCAATAAATTGTCATCATTATCCTTGTCCCACTCTTATTTATCCTTATTGGCCAGAACTCTGCTAAACAAGTTGTCTCAGGTACTTACTTTTGTCCTCTCAAAACTCTCTCCTTGCTCGCTCTCTGCTGAACCCCCAGGAGCAATGATGAACAAGCAATACTTTTTGCTGTTTATATGCTGAGGAAATTCAAGCCTTTGACCTAATTCAAAGCCGGGGGGGGAAAATGGGGAGGGAGAAACGAAAGGAAAACCTTACATGAGACAGCTTGGACACAGATAGAAAACCAACTCTCCAACTCTTCATTTAACTTCAACAGATATCCAGGCAAGGGGTTGATGGACTGGAGTAAATGGTACTAAAAGTTTCAGCCTACCCGCTACCCCCACTAAACTTTACCCTAGCCCTCCCTAGCACCCTCAATTCTTCAAAGAAGTTGGCACTTACCTCAGTTCTCTTGCAGGTTGGTTGCCATTATTTGGGAGATTTTATTTATCTGCATCTATTCAACCATTATGTGCAAACCTTACTACACCTAAATGAAATTGGCTCAGTTTTCATCAAATATATAGTTTCCTAACTAAGCCTCAAGTTTGTGCCCACACTACCAGGTCTTTTACCCTCAATTGAAGTTGTATTTTTCATGGCTACTATTCACTTGTGGCATGCGCAAGTGAAGTGAGCACGTTGCACGAGGGGGCCCAGACCCCTCCTTGAAATTTTGGGGTGCCCTTAGCCCCCCACTTCCCCTAGATTGTCCCCCTCCAGTAGCATGTGCTTAGAAAATCAGCAAAGCAGGGGAACCCAAAAAAAATAGGTTTTTGATTTATTTATTTTTAAAAAAGCATTGAAGTAGTCATCTAGAAAGAAGCTATTTTGATTTCAGCGTGCATGTAACTTTTGTATCATTTTGAAAAAATAAAATGTTATTTTATGGTTTAGTATTGTATTTATTTTGAATCACATATGAGGGGGGTTTGTAATATGTTCAGTGCTTCAGGCCCCTGCAGGTCTTAATCTGACTCTGCTTACTCTCAGTTCTCCTGTAGATTTAAAATCATCTAGGATTCTGACATTTCTCATCTTACTGTCATAAACCACCTCCACATTTCCAGAGAAGTTCTTGCTCTTTTCAAAGCCTTATCATCTGTTTAGAAAAGCATGACTTATGGGGGGGGCTGAAAGTGAACTGGTTGCACCCTGTTCCTGAGAACTCTTTGGCTACAAGACTGCATTTTTAAATGGCATACCTTATTTTTCATTTTTGTTTTCATCCCTTTGAATGACCTGCGGACAAGAAACTTAATCTTACAGCAGTCTGCCCTTCTTATCCAAAAGAAAGACCAAGTGGGAATTTTACTGTTCTAGATATAAGCACCTTTATGTGGAGAAATGGTTACATTTGGGGATGAAGGGCAGGAGGAGAGAGACGGACAGACACACACAGAGAGAGAGAGAGAGAGAGAGAGAGAGAGAGAGAGAGAGAGAGGAGAGAAGAAAAGCACTGGGGTAAGCTACAGTTCCCAGGATTCTTGGGGAGAGGACATGTGCTTTAAATATGTATTAAATCTGCACATATTTACTAGAGGCATGCATTGGCTCTGTGTGGGGGTGATTGGGGGGTGCATTTCCCCCAACTTGATAACAGGGGGCCCACAAAGCCTTGTGTTTCATTGTCACCCTTTCAGTAGAACACAGCCCTAAGTTTTCCTATACAGTCATACCTTGGGATTCTGAACGCCTTGGTACTCGGACGTTTTGGCTCCCAAACGCCGCAAACCCAGAAATGTGCGTACCAGTTTGCGAACAATCTTTGGAACCCGAACGTCCGACTGGGCTTCCGCGGCTTCCAATTGGCCGCAGGAGCTTCCTGCAGCCAATGAGAAGCTGCGCTTTGGTTTCTGAACATTTTGGAAGTTGAATGGACATCCAGAACGGATTCTGTTCAATTTCCCAGGTACAACTGTATCTCTGTTTCTCTAGGCTCATAGGCTTTGCAGGAAGTGAGGAGCTCTAGATTAGTTTTGGCTAAAGTACAGCAGTGGAATTTATTTATTTATTTATTTATTTATTTATTTGTAAGTTAAATAAGTTGTTCTTGTTTAACAAATAGAAAAGGTTTTCCAGTGATTTTTTATTGTTTTAATCCGCATATTGTTTGTACACCACTGAGGGATACTAAAGATTAAACAGAATCTAAATTAGGGTTGCCAGGTCAGGAGCATCCTCAGACACAGATATTTCAGGGCTCAAACTCAAGCCAGGTCCCAGTGATGTCATGGCATGGGCCTCAAGAACATATCATTCAACTTCAAAAACAGAAAGTCTAACCAATGAGCAAATATGTCACCAGTTGGAAAATTAAAATAAAATCCTTAACTACAGTGGGTGTTCCCAGGTCCAGCTGAAGGGTGTGGATCATTCCTTGTCACATGCTTAGGTAAAAGTAAAGGTAAAGGACCCCTGGATAGTTAAGTGCAGTCAAAGGTGACTATGGGGTGCAGCGCTCATCTCTCTTTTCAGGCCAGGGGAGCTGGCGTTTGTCCACAGACAGCTTTCTAGGTCATGTGGCAAGCATGACTAAACCGTTTCTGGTGCAACGGGACACATGACGGAAACCAGAGTGCATGGAAATGCCATTTACCTTCCCACTGCAGTGGTACCCATTTATCTACTTGCACTGGTGTGCTTTCAAACTGCTAGGTTGATAGGAGCTGGGACAGAGCAATGGGAGCTCACTCCGTCGCAGGGATTCAAACTGCCGACCTTCTGATTGGCAAACCCAAGAGGCTCAGTGGTTTAAACCACAGTGCCACTCTTGTCACATGTTTTGGGAGCTTGGGTAAGTAGCCTATGTGCTTCTCACCTGAAGGGTTTAAGTGTGCTCAGGCCAGGCTGCTCATGAGAAGGCTGTTTTAAGAAGAGCAGAAGCTTGCCTGGTGATTTTAGATTGGGACACTCACACTCATGAGGACAGAGCACAGACAGGTGCCCCTGAAGGCTGCAATCTGAAACACACTTTCTAAGGACTAAGCCCCACAGAACTCTATAGGACCTTCTTCCACAAAGCTATCCCTAGCCTCCTGAAGTTCATTTGTCTTTCAAATAAATCCAACCATTCTTTTCAGAAGGTGCCATACATTACACCCAGCTACAACATGACTGCATTTGTAACACATACGTAGTAACCATAATAGAACGGCAGTAATTTTTTTCATATATTACATCATACAGCAGTGGGAATTTTACATTTTTTCCACCACCATCAAAACACACCAGGTGTGAGATCTACAGAGTGGTCCCTGGACCATGATGAAATGGGTCCATAGCAAGAAATTGCACTTTTCTGCACTGTTTGAAGACAGTTCACATTCTTAAAATGGACAGAAAGAAGGATGATCAGTCTCCTTCTTGCACTGAGCATAGTTGATGTTCCTGATCAGCAGTGAGGTTTTTGCTGCCCTGCCTTGCCAGGAATTTCTAGTGCATACTTTCTGTTGACTAGGCAATCACAATGTCAACATTACAACTAGCATTAAGGTAGAAAGGTGGAAAAAATGAAGAGAGAAAAGGAGAACCAACAGCAGCAGGTAAGGTTAGAAACCATTTCTTTTAATTAATGAACACTATGGTGGTGCTGCGGGTTAAACCACAGAGCCTAGGACTTGCCGATCAGAAGGTCGGTGGTTCGAATCCCCACGACAGGGTGAGCTCCCGTTGCTCGGTCCCTGCTCCTGCCAACCTAGCAGTTCAAAAGCACATCAAAGTGCAAGTAGATAGATAGGTACCACTCCAGCGGGAAGGTAAACGGCGTTTCCGTGCGCTGCTCTGGTTCACCAGAAGCGGCTTAGTCATGCTGGCCACATGACCCAGAAGCTGTACGCCGGCTCCCTCGGCCAATAAAGCGAGATGAGCACCGCAACCCCAGAGTCAGTCACGACTGGACCTAATGGTCAGGGGTCCCTTTACCTTTATGTCTGTTAAGGAACAAAAACAGGTTGCATCAGCAATCATCCAATTGCTCAAACAGAAACTGGTTAAATCACCCAAATGTCCCACTGCTAGAATAAAAGCAGATTTCATCACCATTCTAATTGTTAGTCCCAGCTAGAGTAGGCCTATTAAAGGAATGGAACTTACATAAGTGTTGACTTACTAAGCACCAATTAATGGGTCTACTCAACTTGAGAGTTTCAGGTGGATTTAGGCCAGTATCTCCCTTACAACAGGAGGTTATTCTGCTGATATTATGTGGCAAGAAACGCTGTAGATCTCAAATACTATAGGCAGAACAAGCAACACGTTTCTTTGTTTTAAAGCAGCAGGTTTTGACAGAAGAGAACAGAACTGTCAGAAGAACTGGATTTAAATAAAGAACAAAAAGACAGTGTTCAGAATACGTACTTTGTATTAGAAATACAAGCCATAAGCAACAGTGGTCTCTGTCTTGCACATTCAAAGAACTGTCTACAGCTCATCTGATAGTTAAATTTTGCACAAAGCTCTGCTTTCACAAGAGGAGTCAACACAGAATTCCTATTGTAAGTCCATGTGTTGCCCATATGTCAAAGCACCCTCTCGACATGAGCATTGCTTACCAGGATAGCGAGTGCAGCACTGACAACTTGCAGCTGAAATCTAGATGGAATGTGCTTCAGTAACTCTAACCATTTCTGATCTAGAGGAAGATCTGATTTTCTCACCACTGGCCAAAGCTTCTGAACCAAGTTGAGCTCAACAAATAGCTCATCTGCTTTGACTTCAACACCCTAGTTTGTAGCCACAAATATGGTCTAGGGCTAGGGCCGGCATAGCAGCAATGATGGGAGTTCTCAAGGTCCTACCATTTCTCAAGGTATGTTATTGCCTGATTAAAATCTGGCAGGTATCTTTTGTAATACATGCATGTTGAAAATCAGATCGCTGTTTCAGACTTAAGAACAATTTTCCTCCAAAAAATACTTGGTACCTGGAATTTATCAGTTTCTCTGGCACGTTGCACATTGAACTGTGGAGCTGTGGGCTTACTGAGCACTTTGCTTCCAAAACAATAAGAGCTTCGTGAAAAAATTGCATGGAATGATGCTCAAAATAGAGGTAGCACTCTGGGAGAGAAATCTGAGAAGTGATGTCGCTGGATGCCTTGTTGGTCTGGTCCCCAATAAACTGCCACATGGTATCACTTGTCTGCTCCTCCCCAAGCTCAAGGAAATTGGATTTTATGGCAGGCCACAACTGAAGTAGCCACTCAACAGCTGGGAAGAGAGAGAGAAAGAGCCATCATAGGATTCTTTCAGTTTCTTGTTTTGAATCTCTTGGAGAACTCAATGTATACTTTATGACCAAGGCCTGCACATCATTTTCACTTTTCAAACAGGCATGTCTGGCAGAATTGTGAAGGATGTGACAGTAGCCGTTTGCCATTACAAGATAACTTTTGTGTGCCTTTGGTATTTGACTAAACATGCAAGAGCCCTATCCTGCAAACGGGATTCAGATGACTTTCTAGAAACATGGTACCTTTTTAAAACACATTCTGTCGAGAAATTTACCATCCACCACAATCAAATACGGGATCGTGCACAATATATTTCTGTAATATGTTTGTCTGTACTTCCTGGGGAGTGTGGAGGGAGGGGTTCTACTGTAATGGTTCATCAACATCGTAATTTTTAAAAATCAGTAAAATACATTTAAAAGATTGCGGGCTGGGAAAAGCTGGATAAATTCACATCAGAACTGTGACCCAGTTTTTAACAGGAAGGGTAAAATAGTTTTTGGTCTGCCAAGGGTGTTAGGTTTTTCAACACATGCAGTCATCAAATCAGGACTAGACACCTTTTTTTAAAAAAAAAAGTTACTCCTTAGCCATACAATAATGAATAATTATTCCAATTTAGCAGTATAGGAGAAAATTCAGTGGCATATATATTTACAACTTTCTCTTTTCTCTTATGGACATGCATTATTAATTAGGCAAAGAAAAATGTAGGATCCAATTCTAATCAAATGGCAGCTTTTCTACAGGGTCTCGGAGGAGTTTTTCAGCTGGATGAGCAAAGAATTGCTCTCCCATTAACATTAACGAGAGCTGTGCTTCTGATCCCATCTCAGCATAAAGACAAAAGCCCACAGTTGGGCAATACTTTCATTGGAACCAATCAAAACGTCACAAAATAGAGGGGAAGCTTTGGGGTTTTCCAGAATTCTTCTTCCTCATAGTAGAATGTTACACAAATTTGGGGGAGAGGTACAAAAATTAAACTGGATATTGTAGCCTTGAGAACTCGGGGTCCCTCCATATGACCTATTTGTTGAGCATTCACCATCCTGATTTCCTGGCACAAAGTTCACGTGGAGGTCAGATTATATCTAGTCTTAATTTGTTTGTGGGGCAGTTATATGACAATAGGCATTCATCCTGCATCCATACTGATTTGCTTGACAAATGTTTATAAGTCTTCCTGTTAGTGATACAGCCACATCACTGCTGGTGTGGAAGTCAGTAATGCATATTTTTTTTTTAATGAGTGGTCTCTCACATGTGTGAATATGTGTTGGCGGGTGGTATCTATTGCCACACCCGTCCATCCATTTGCACCTCACCTGAGCACAACCTATTTTTTTTGTTTCCAGTGACCCAATCAATATGAGTGCACCTACTGGTATTTCCACTTATTGCCTCATTCTAAAGGCACAACAGTCCAGCTCAGAGGAGCTATTCTCAAAATCTCAACACATGTAGGATATTGCCTTGGGTAGTGCATCAGAACTTTAATTTTTCTTGTGCAATAGCTCTGTATCCGAATTCTACACCCCACAAGAATCCTGTTCCAAATGAAACCTCGCACACTTGCTGTTCCTGAATGAAAAATCCCGAACTTAAGGGGAAGATACAAATAGATTTGACACCCCGCCCCCGCGTGCTAATTATGCTATCCATGTATATCTTGATCATTTTGGCTGCAATCCTGAGCACCCTTACTATTCAGTAGGGCTTAATATCTGAGTAAGCCCACCTAAAATTGCATTAAACGTCTACAGCTATTTTATCATTGAGAAAGGTTACCCAGCAACTTCATACTTGAGTATAGATTAAAGCGACTTCAATGGCAGAAAAGCTGATATGTATCCTATAAGAAATTAGAAATGAACCAATAATTTGCTCTGAGATAGTTCACCTGGCCTTTGACACTGTGTGTATGTGTGTGTCCAGTACCAAGGGCCTTTTGGCGGTTCCCTCACTACGAGAGGGAACCAGGCAGACAGCCTTATCGATAGTGGCGCCCGCCCTGTGGAACGCCCTCCCATCAGACGTCAAAGAAATAAACAACTATATGACATTTAGAAGACATTTGAAGGCAGCCCAGTTTAAGGAAGTTTTTAATGTTTGATGCTTTTGTTGTTGTTTAGTCGTTTAGTGGTGTCCGACTCTTCGTGACCCCATGGACCAGAGCACGCCAGGCACTTCTGTCCTCCACTGCCTCCCGCAGTTTGATCAAACTCATGCTGGTAGCTTCAAGAACACCATCCAACCATCTCATCCTCTGTCGTCCCCTTCTCCTTGTGCCCTCCATCTTTCCCAACATCAGGGTCTTTTCCAGGGAGTCTTCTCTTCTCATGAGGTGGCCAAAGTATTGGAGCCTCAGCTTCACGATCTGTCCCTCCAGTGAGCACTCAGTTTGATGCTTTACTGTGTTTTTAATATTTTGTTGGAAGTCGCCTAGAGTGGCTGGGGAAACCCAGCCAGATGGGCAGGGTATAAATATTATTATTATTATTATTATTATTATTATTATTATGTGTGTGTGTGTCTGTGTGTACATATGTATAGATACATATAGATATTTATATCTGTCTCTATACACACAGAAAGAGAGAGAGATCCTTGTGGTGATGAGTGGGTAAAATTCACAACAACAACAACAACATATATAGGAGGCTGATGTAAAAAAAAGTAAAGAAATTAAGCTACATCATCATGGTCATTCTGAAATCCTTCTGTGGGCCCTGCATATGTCCTGGAAACAGGAGCACTATAGTGCTTGTCAACAGCAGCAGCCTGAACCTTGTTTGTCACTAGATTAACTAGAGAGCAGCCCACAAGGACAATGATTCAACCCTTCGTGCCCATTAGGCCCGTTGTGAAAGGTTTCATTCACTTACCAGCTGGCAGGGTGGAGCACAATCTAAAGATGGGAACAAGCGCAATGTTGAGAGCCAGACTGGCCTCCCTGCAATCTAAAACCAAAGTGGCAATTAATTATGGATGGAATGCGGCCAGGCACTCCGGCATTATAATCCAATGAGACCACACAGAGAAAAAAGCAGCACCGCATCATGTCCTGGGCACTCAAAGGGAGAGTGGGGTATCCAGAACTCCCAGAATAGTAAGAAAACTGACCAGCAGACCATTATCTGTCTTGGATTAAGGCAGCATGGTCATAATTTGGTGTGTTTTCTTCTATGTCTTGGATTTATGTAACGGTTTTTCATTCACCAGGTAATTTTCTTCCTTCGAGCAGCCCACGGAGAAAAGTCTCACAAATTTAGTATGGCATACGCTTCTGTAATAATACATTTGTTACTTTTTAAGGCTCTTGTTTTTTGCTGCAACTGACTAACGCGGCTGGAAATGGGCATAAAGAGTCCGAGACGACTGGAGAAGCAGAGATTAAGGAGTGACATGAGAGCAATTTTCAATATCTGAAGGGTTATCGTGCAGAAGATGGAGCAGGCTTGCTCTTTATTGCTCTGGGGCAGGACTTAGGGGTTCCTCCAGATGACTTGTTTATTGAGTATTCATCCCAATTGACTTGCACAAAGTTTACATGGGGATTAGATTATATCCGGTCTTTATTGAGCATCCGTTCTGATTTGTTTGCAGAAAGTTTATATGTATTGAGGAATGTGCAGACAAAAGTGAGGCAGTTTAGGGCCCCGATGTTAGACAAAGAGGCCAGTCTAGAGGGTGCATGTTTATCCTGTTCTCTTCATATCCTCCACTTAATTCAAGGAGCTCGAAGCAGTACGCTGGTTTTGCAATGTCACTTGCCAGCACCTGCTCCCGCAAACAGAGCTTTTTAAACAGAGCCTTTCCCACATCTGAACCCACCCCTGACTCACAGTAGAACTGGGGGAAGAAGAAAAGCCCTCATACCACTTTAACAGCCATGAGTTCCCCCAGTGAACCCTGGGAACTGTAGTTTGTTACAGGTGCTGGGAGTTGTAAGGGGAATTATGATGATGATGCTGGTGATGATGATGATGATGATGAATGTTAATCTTTATTAGTCGCTTGTTACCAAAGCAGGTGGACCAACTCTATGGGCTGAGGCCTCTAGAAACCCCCCCCCCCAATGCAGCTTAGCCCCCTCAAAAAAAAAATATTGAGGAGGCCTGGCAAGAAGTCGTCCCAGGCTGCATGGTGGTGGGAAACGCTGCACAGACCATCGCAGCTTCGTCGAAAATGTCACATCAAGAGGAGGCCCGATTGGCCTCTCCCAATATGACAATCGTCACACACGCAACGCACAACACGCATCACATGTGTGATGTCAGCTCCGCCCCACCCTGCCCCCCAATGTCGGGCACAACTCAGTGCCTGTGTACCAAGGTCTCTGACTGACTTACATTTAAAAGCATAAACGTAAATATATTGCACCCTCACAAAATTATATAAAACCTTTACATTCTCATAGACACGCCTACAATTCATTTATACACCCACAGATACACACAAAACATCCCACACTGGGAAACTTTGACAGCCAACTAACAGAAGATCCCTTCAAACCAAGGGCTTCTTCAAACAGAGCAGGGATGGGGAACATGTAGCCTCCCAGATACTGCTGACCAACAATTCCTATCATGCTTGACCCTTGGGCCACACTGGCTGAGGCTGATGGGACATCTGGAGGGCCACAGGATAGCCCACCCCTCCCCCACCTTAGCCAAGCTGACATTCTTTCTATCCCAACACAAAGTCTCCATCTTTAAGCTGCACAATAACAACGCCACCCCCTTTTTTCACCTTCCAAGATCCTTCATTGTTGCAAATCTTAGGACAGCGAGCTCTGCACAAGAAGTACATCTTCCCATCTGCATTCACTCGTCCTGTTGACTTTTGGCATTTGCCAAACGCTGAACTGCTAATGTGAACGCTAACCAATGGGTTTATAATAGCTGCCAGAGAAGAAAAGAAGTGCTAATGAGCATTTGCTCCTTTGTCATATCCCTGGGGTTTTTTTCCATGAATTCTGCTATTTGTCATTGGCTTCTATCTTTCGACGGAGGACAATTGTGCCAGCTGCTATCTGAATGGGGACTTTCCAGCTACATTTAAAGAAAGTGTTTGTCTTCATTAGGGTTTTGTACAAATTCATTCAGAGGATACGGTCACACTGTTCCTTAGGCGGACCCTATCTCTGAGCTCTCACACTGCTTAGACCAAACATTACAACTCACTTTATGATCTTTGTGTCACTTTCTGCCTGTGTTAAATTCTCCCCAGGATGCACTCAGACCATGTTATCCAAATAATAGATTCAAACTAATAATTTCTTGGAAACATTTTTTTTCTAGTTTTAATGTTTTTTTGGTCCTAGCGCAGAGCTGATTTAGCCATAAGATCAAAATACTACTGCTTAGCAACATAATAGACATGACATAAACAGGATGATAGTACATCCACACATAGTCCTTGGAGAAAGAGGAAGGAAATAGGATAAGTGAAAAATAAAGGAAGTTCCATTAACCACTGTAAAGGGGAAGCAATCTAACTATTTGAAACCTTTTGCATTTTCAGCATTTTTCAAGAAGCATCACTTCTTGGGTCAAAAAAATGCTCAAATCACATTGCAACTTCTTGTTCGCAACCATGTTCAAAGGGAGAAGGACAACACAGTCCTATGCGTGTGTTCTCAGAAATAAGCCTTACATTTACTTATTCCCTGTTTTTCTTCCACGATAGAACTCAAGGCTGTGTACTTGGAGTTCCAAAGTTGACTCCCACCCGGTCACTGCTTCTCTTCAACAAAGTTCAGTGGTTCAGCTAGGGCTGGACCTCATGGCCTCAGTACAGGTTCCCACAAGGCAAGGGGCCCCAAACGACCACCCAGGGAGTAGCAGATAATACAAGCATCAGCAAACAGGCCTGACATTTGCTAGTCAGTCACCACAGCATCTTTCCCCTTAGCAAACATTTTAGGTATTTTGTATTGTACATTGCTTTAATTATTTCCCTGGTTTTTCCTCATTTGTATTTTATCGTGTTGAGTTGCGTTGAGATTCCTTTATATAAAGCAGCGGAGAAGAAGAAGAAGAAGAAGAAGAAGAAGAAGAAGAAGAAGAAGAACTTATAGTCATGGTTACAGAGGTTGTTGTCTTTAAAATGTGTTTTCCGTTTCTGCAGCAAATGGGACTTATTCCCAAGTAAATGTGTTTAGCATCACAGCAACAGAAGCAAACTCCACTTTCTTCCTGAAGTCATTATTTAAGTAAGTGTAAAATGTAAAACTGCAAATTATCAGAGAATTCCTTTTATGACAGGGTTGGCAGAATTCTTCCCCCCACCCCTAGCCCCCAATGTATTGACAAGGTTGCTGGCTGCATCAATTGTATTTAGTCTATCTGTACATCTGGGAGCAGGCCCTAGAACATTCTTCTAGAAAATGGAAAATTCAGTAAAGAGGCAACTCATAACTGAGAACATGTCATGTAATCCCTGCTGAGCAAATTGGGAAACGGAGACTGAATGGAGAAATGGTACTTACCAAAGTTGCAGCTGTGATTTTCATGAATGAAGTACTTTTAGAAGTTACATTGATCATGGAAATACTAGCAGAAGGGTATCCTTAAAGATGCACTTCATAACATTACATTTCACCCAACTATCCCTGAATCCAGATATGATCAAGAAACCCTATGGTGAAATCTTGATGAGAAAGACCTAAGGCGATGTACCTTCCCTGCTCTATTCCATTTTTACTTTGAAATATTATTTTCCTTTATTTCCCTCCCCCATTCAAAGTAAAAGGGAACCAGCAATGAAACTCGATTAGAATATGCATATTGCAAATGAAATTAAATCCAAAATCATCTGTCACTGGATTTAAAGCTCTGCATAAAAATGTAAACACCACAAACCTCAAAACCGGATGAACTTGTTTCGCCAAAACCACATTGAGAGTGATGCAGCAGCCTGATCTTCATCTGCATTTATAATGCAGATCCCACTGAATTGATGGGACATAACATTGATATGGAGGGATGCAGGTGGCACTGTGGTCTAAACCACAGAGCCTAGGGTTTACCAATCAGAAGGTCGGCGGTTCGAATCCCTGTGACGGGGTGAGCTCCCGTTGTTCAGTCCGTGCTCCTGCCCACCTAGCAGTTCGAAAGCACGTCAAGTGCAAGTAGATAAATAGGTACCACTCCGGTGGGAAGGTAAACGGCGTTTCTGTGCGCTGCTCTGGTTTGCCAGAAGCGGCTTAGTCATGCTGGCCACATGACCCAGAAGCTCTCTGTGGACAAACACCGGCTCCCTCGGCCTATAGAGCGAGATGAGCGCTGCAACCCCAGAGTTGTCCGCGACTGGACCTAATGGTCAGGGGTCCCTTTACCTTTACCTTTAACATTGATATGGAGATGCTCCTCAGCATGATCTGGGGCCACTGGTAGTTGCATTAGTGGCTCACAACTAGAAATGGGCCCTGGCATTTGACAAAGAGTCATTGCCAAAGGCAATTTGCAACTCAACATTCGTTGAGTTACTATTAGAAGAGGCATGTCCAACAGGTAGATCACTTCCAGATCACTGGCTCTCCCCAAAGAAGCTCAACAATTGTGGCTCCCCTAAAAAAAGCTCAACATCTTTGTCCTGCACCCCAGAACACCAGGGCCCCCCTTCTCCCCCCAAAAAGCTCAACGACTTTGACCTGAACCCCTCCAAAAGGGGGTAGATCACTACCAATTTTTAACTCTGAGAGTAGATTGCAGTTTCTTGAGAGTTGGCCACCCCTGTATTAGAACTTTAACTGAGAGTGCCCAGTCCTAAATGCATTTGCCTTGAGGCAGAGTTTTGGGCTCCAACATGCACAAAGACCAGGTGGGAGAAACTGTGTCACATTTTGGGCCACATTCCCGCAAAGGCAACTTTTTAGGGGGGAGAGGGCACAGAGGTGGCTGGGGCAGTGGGCACCACTCTTCTCTTGGTACAGTAGGCTGCAGTCCAGCTACACACAAAGGTCAGGCAGAACTCTCCTTCAGACAAGCAAGAGGCATTATCACAATTTAAGGGCACAATCAAGCACAGGAGGTGAAGGGTGGAATAATAATAATAATAATAATTCCATGTGAATTAGCATATGCAGATCTGCATCCTCTTTCCCCTTCTTTCTTTGATGAGTTTGCTTTTTGGCAACGCACAAGTAGTCATCCTATCCAGCAGATCTCTGGTTCTTTTCTTATTCCTTCTTCAAAAATACCAGCCATAAGCTCTGATTGCTGAAATTTCCATTTACACACTGGAGTCCCTCGGAATGCACGACGGTAGACTGGAGCTATAATTTGAAATAAGTACAGTTAAAATCAATAGGATTAGCTCCAATATAAAGCGAAAACAACTAACAAAAAAAACTTAGTGGGAAAGTTTTATATGGTTGTTTAGAGTATATCTGCATTGTCTAGCAGATTGTTTCTTATGACTACTTCTATATAGGCATTTAAGTTTCTTAAACAGATGCCGCACATATGTATACTATATATTGTGATGGGTTTCCTATCAGATTTCTGCTAACAGGGTTCTCAATGTGGGTTGGCTTGAGACAGGGTTGGGTTGACATCCTTGAGATGTCATCACCTTGACTAAAGAGTGATAATAGCTGATAACATTCAGACAAGGTGCTACCATGGGAAGGAAGATGGCCCCCAAAGGCAAGACAATGGTCAAAGGAGATAACCCATCCAGATTCCACCACTATCTAGCTGGGGACTAGCTGCGGGTAGGGCAGGGAAAGGTGTCTGCATGTGAAAAAGAATAATAAACTCTGGTTTGAATACTGAATATTCCTTTGGGAACCTTTCTCAACCCAAAGGGTGCATTCTCTTCTGTGCAGCCTTACAAGATCTACATGTCAATGCTGGGTAGAGCCAGGAGCAAAAGTGAGCAGAAATACAGATTCAATTGTTACCCTTGGACAATAGGCTCGGTCCTTCACACCCTCATGTAGCCCTCCTTCCGGGCAGATTAGAGGCATGATCAGAGTTCAATAATGCTTTCCAGTCAGGTAAAAGAAAAATTAAAAAAAAAAAATATGACCACTTCATTTTATTGGTTTGGTTCTTCAGTTATCCCACTTATTTTTGAACTACTGCATAATGTATTCCGATTTGGGGTGTAAAAATATCCTCCTTGAGCAACCTCCTCTGGAACAAGCCTATTGATTTCCAAGTGTAAATGGTTTGAAAATGCCAATCAAAAACCATGCACTGCCACATATGGCATCTTTCAAGAGGTGGAAGTTTGTAATATTGAATATAACTCCTCATTAGCATTTTCTTTCAGTTCACTTTTCCTCATGTATTTAATCCCTTTATCTCCTTTATTTGCAATATGCCAAATATATTCTCATCTTTCAAAAGTGCAATTATAATTTCCTGTCGGGGGAGAGAGAAGTGGGGGTGGGGGGGAAGATTAGCAGTTTTCCACACCAGCTGAAGCTGATGCCTTTGGAAAAACAGCAGCTGTAATTTGAGGATACAAACTGTTTTTTCACATGTTAATGCCGTTCATAATACAAGCCAAATATGCCTGTTACAAAAAAAGGCTTGCAGGCTCTTTTCTTTCTGGTTATCTGGGCCGCTTTGTGCAGTTCCGGCCCTTCAACTAGAGAGAAGCAAACAGGGCTTGACTTACCAAACAGGAAAACATCAGGATATTTCACTTTGTTTCATTTCAAAAGGGATGCTATGGAAAAGGTTCCAAAAAAAGGCAACCAAAATGTTTGAGGGCCTGCCCTGTGAGAAAAGGTTGCAGCCTTTGGGACTGCATAGTTTATAGAAAAAAAGCAAGTAAGATGCTACATAACAGAAACTTATAAAAACACACATTGCATAGAGGAAGTGGATAGAGACAGGTCTTTCTTATTTAATAGCACTAGAACTTGCAGACATTCAGTGCACCTGAATATTGAAAATTCAGGAAAGATAAAAGCAAATATGACTTCACGTAGTGCAGAATTGAACTATGGAACTCACTCCCACAGGAGGCAGTGATGGCCACCGAAGACACAGTGATAACAGCAAGAACCTTTATTGAACTAACAGAACATGGGCAAAGCAACTGCATATATACATTTCTCAAGGCCTGGGCCACTCTCACTCCCAAAGTGATTGGCTGTCTAAACTTCCAAGCTGCGAATCATAACTCAGAGTTTAAGGGCCAATGGCAGAGGCCCAAATCCTGACATGTTCTGTGATTGGATATCATGTATTGAATCAGAACACAGGAGCTCAGGAGCCCCTTGAAGGAAAAGGTACAATAAATAAAAACCATAAATTAAGAATACAGGAGCTCAGAACCCTTAGTCCAGACTCAAGCTCAGGCAGACACAGACCACTGAATACATAACAGCCACCAACTTGGAGGCCTTAAAAGATGACGCATGGAGGATGAGGCTATCAGCAGCTATGAGCTACGATGGCTATATTCTACCTCCACTGTCAGAGGCAATATGGCAGCTGCTAGGAATTGCAGGTGGGCAGCGCTGTTGTGTTTGGGTCCTGCTTGTAGGCTTCCCACTGGTTGGCTGCTGTGAGAACAGGATGCTGAACTACTGTAATCATGAATGTGCAATATGGAGGAGCTCTGTGAAACTTCCTCTGAAGTCCTGAATCGAGTCACAACTTTTTTTTGGACAAACTCCGAAGTTGTTGAGCTTCCCTCTTCAAAAACAGCAACAAAACAAAAAACCCATAATTTTTTGATTGACTTGCCTAAGGACAAAGCGCCGCCTTTCAGAAATTCCCACCAGACATCGGTTGCTGTTGTTGGGGAGGGAACCACTGTCCTAGAAAAGCACAGAAGAATCCTTTCCCTTATGGCATTTTCTAGTTTTCTAGCAACTTGCCTTGCACGGCAAAATACAATCTTTACATTTTGCTGCCACACAGGGCAAAACAAGAGCAATTCTACCAATTTGGCCACACTAAATCCTCTCCCACCACAGTTCCTATTAACATTAAGGAGAGAGAGGGAGAGGGAGTGCCAACATCACATCCTATTTGGCCCAGAGATGCTTTTTTCTTTATTTGTTTTTTTTTATTATTTCCTTCTATTCTTCCTTTTGGGATAAGCCTTTCTTAAAGTGGCTTAAAAGGGGGGGGGGGGTTAAGAACAGACAACTGAGCCACACTCAAATAGTCCCATGTAGATCATGTGAATCCTTTCTATGCTGGAGCCACATCCAGTGCCATGAGGTCATAGGTAGGTAGCTGCCTTAAAGTGAATCAGACCATTACTCCATCTAGCTCAGTATTGTCTACACTGATTGGCAGTGCCTCTTCCAGGTGGGATCTCTCCCAGCTCTCCCTGGAGATGCCGGGAATTGAACCTCTGATCTATTGCATGCAAAGCAAATAATAATAATAATAATAATAATAATAATAATAATAATACATGTCCTGCAATTTCAGCATCTCATTCAGTAAGGTAAAGGTAAAGGGACCCCTGACCATTAGGTCCAGTCATGACCGACTCTGGGGTTGCGGCGCTCATCGCGCTTTATTGGCTGTGGGAGCCGGCATACAGCTTCCGGGTCATGTGGCCAGCATGACTAAGCCACTTCTGGCGAACCAGAGCAGTACACAGAAACACTGTTTACCTTCCCGCCAGAGCGGTCCCTATTTATCTACTTGCACTTTGACGTGCTTTCAAACTGCTAGGTTGGCAGGAGCAGGGACAGAGCAACAGGAGCTCACCCCATCGCGGGGATTCGAACCGCCGACCTTCCAATCGGCAAGTCCTAGGCTCTGTGGCTTTACCCACAGTGCCACCCGCGTCCCTCATTCAGAGTTGTTGTCAAAAACTCCATGGTTCTGGTGAGCTTCTGAGAAAAAGCTGTTGGATGTTCCCAAGCGAATCAGGCGACAGCATCAGATGTGTGTTTGCGCTGCGGTTGACAGAAGTGTGGCCTGCTTCCGTAGCCTATTGTCAGACATAGCCTTGGAGCATTGCTCTGGCACAAGAACTACTGGGATGGACAGGCCCTGCAGCGATGATGCAGCGGTTTATGGCTTCCCAGAAGATGAGAGGTTCATTTGCTTTGATCTCAATGGATTAACAAAAGCCTATGCAGGCAAAGCCATCACCATATTCATTCATAGTGCACCTCCTGTATTCTGTATAGACTTGTGCCCTGAGGAACCAAGCAGAGGCCAATAAATTACTTTGCCAGGACCAACAAGCATCTGTCAGTCAGCAAAAGCTATCAAAGTACTATCATCTCTTTTGTCATTTAGAGGAACGGCTGCTTTTCCTTCCAGGGATACTGCACATAAAGACAAATTGCTAATTGGCCTCATTAATGCCATGACGAGCAAATCGGAAAAGACTTGAAGAAATGGCCCCTTCCACTTTCTGGGTTTTATTTTATTTCTTTACAGGATGGAAGGCACCGTGGGTCAGTTTCCTATTCAAGTTTGAGTAGCAAGGTAAAAAAAATAATGAATAAAATTGGGCTTATTTCTTTGACGCCTTCATAAAAGAATAGAGACAGATAAAGGCGAATGGAGTGCATTTCTATTATTTTCTAGGTTAATGAATGGGAAATCATTCCAAAGAGGTTCTTATGTGTGGGGGGGGGGGGTGATATGTTACCTATTAAAAGAACAGTTTTCAGAAGGCTGGAATCCCAAGCACATTTTTAACCTCTTTGCACTTTGTCAAATCTTGAGCACTTACTAAGTGAACTAGGATTTGCGATGGGGAAGTGTCTTTTCTGGCTGCCAAAATGATTTTTTTCAAGAGATTGGAAGAATGGCCATTATATTCCAGGTGTATCCACCTTAACAACCAGCAACCCAACTTTTTGAAAAGCTGGTGGCAGATAGTTAGACGCACTCAGAGACCCTCTGCAATCCAGCCAATCTAAAGATTATGGGAGAAATAATCCCAATCACTGCACAATGTGGAGAACTGGAAATGTAATTATACGTAATCGTTGGCTATACTGAAAATCTTTTTAAAAACCTAATAGCCATCAGACGTCCATCTGACACAAGCCATGTCACCAAGGGAAATGCAAAATTTCAGTGGAAACGTTATAAAAATAGCTAGCAGAGGCAGGAAAGAGACACTATAGAAGGGGCATCCCATTTCACCCTCAAAAGAACTTAAATGAGCTACATGAGATGCCCAATAGAAGGTTGTTCCCTAAGGCTAATTGTGGTGTGTTTGTGTTTGTGTGTGTGTGTGTGTGTGAGAGAGAGAGAGAGAGAGAGAGGGAGAAAGCCACTTCCGGCTTGCCCAGGAGGTGGGGTTGCGGGCTTCACGCCCACCCCACGTGAGCGGGGGCTGGTTTCAGCCCCCGCGAGAACAGAGGAATCCCGGCCGGGTGTGCCCCCCCAGCCAGCCAATCGGCTGGCTGGGGGGGCGTGGCCTGGGCTATTTAGGGCCGGCACGGAGGGGGCTCGCCCTCTCTTTGCCGGCTAGCCCTCACGTTTTTTCTCCTACAGGTTGGTATTAGGTGGAATTTTATTGCGGTTGCTCGTGTGGCGGTAGGCATTGGTAAGAAGGGGTTAAGAGGATGTGGGGGGGGAGGAGCGCCATCACCTCCCCCCAGTGAACGAAGGGTGGTCCGTTAAAGGACTCCGGGGGGCGTGGCCCTGTCCGAAGCCTATGGAGGTGAGGGCCAAAGGCACGCCCCAGAGCGGTGACCCGTGGAGCTACTAGTCGACGTGCCTCGGCAGGAGACTCCCGATATAGTGTTAACCCTTCCCCGTGTCTCCAGCAAATGGGCTAGAGCCGGATAGTCGATAGGACCAATGCCTAAGCCAATGCCTCTCATTCCTGAACTCAATAAAGTTGTGGCCTAATTCGCCCAATTAACCTTAAATTATGGTGTCTGGTGTCTTTATTTATCCTGGTGGGGGGCGGGAACTCGCCACGCAAAGGGGGGTTATCTCCATCAGAATCCCAGAGAGAGAGAGAGAGAGAGGGAGGGAGGGAGAAAGGGGGGTTATCTCCATCAGAATCCCAGTCAGGGAGAGGAGGGTTAAACCTGCCCCATGCACTGTGGTCCCAATTGCATTACCCATGCCTATTATTAAATGTTACAAATCCTAAAGTGGTTTCTAATGGTATAGCTAGACTGTATATCTATTGATCTATCACGCCAATCTACCGTATATGCACACATACCTGGGAGGCAGTCCCATGGAATTCAGTGGGACTTAGTTCTGAGTATTCAAGTAAGGGATTGAACTTTTAGTGTCATGTCTCATTTGACCTGCAGTTCTTTCAAGATGGGAATCCAAACTTTAGAAAAGTGTGAACTCCAGGCAGTAGTTTAGCAACTAAGGGAGCAATTGGGAGGGGGGCAGGTAAGCCCCACCCCACATAATCGATCACATGGTGCGGTGCAGGCACACCATTTGAACGGCAATGCTCCTCAACCCCCTCAAATATTTTATTGGGGAGCAAAGACCCCTTGGCCTCTAGCAATTGGCTCCTATGTATCTGAAGGACCATCTTGCACTAAGGGGGTGGGGAGAGAGAAAGCAGCAGTCATTCTTTTCTATTAAAAAAAAAAAAGATGGTGTATTTCCCATTCTGGGGAGGCAATTAAATTGATGCTAACTGTTGTAATAATCTTGTCTAATCCACTTTGTGAGGTCGGCCTGAATCTAAGTATTGTAAATTAGTAAATATATAAATAAGTCTGCTTTCAAAAGGACAGGGAATTATTTGTTGTTTGGACACAGAACTGTATCTCAACTTGTATGGTAAACTAATGACTAATCCGGAAGATACATAAACCCAGCAAGCCATTCAGGATGAATGCAAGATGAGTGCTCATTGTCCTGTAACTGTCCCCACAAACAGATCAGTAAAGACTGGATGCAATCTAACCTCCACAAAAGCTTTGTGCAAGCAAATCAGGACAAATGCTCAATAAACAGATAATCTGGAGGGGCCTTAACCGCACAAATGATAAATAGGCAAGGCTGTTTGATGGAAGTGGTGTTTGGATTTGATATCCCATTGGATATCTTCAGGGTTCTTTAATGCAGAGGGGTAGATTCAAGAGCTTTTGTTTTCTGTGAGTCTGTTTTTTGAAGAACTTGCCTGGTTTGGTCCAAAGGTGACAGATATTTTAAGGTCCCTGGGAGACTTTTCACCACGGTGGGGACTTTTCCTCAGCAGAGCTCATCCATTTCATGCGAAATCTGTCACTTGAAATGTTTGGCCAGTATGCTGCCTCTGGCAGAAGCCTCACAGAGGCCTCCCATCTGCCCTTTCCCCTCCCTTCCCCGAGTCATTTATATGCAGGCAAGCAGAATTATTTAGCTGTTATGTATAATAAGATGATTGAGAGGCTTGGAGACCTGCATTTCAGCAGGTCAGACGCCGCCTCCTGAGGGGGCCCCAAGCGGATTCACATGCAAATAGCGAAAGGTTTGAGTGCAAGTCGCAAAGAGGCAGGAGTGGAATTGCTGTTGACGCGGCAGAGTCCCACACGTCTGCCTATCCAGGAGAATAAAGGAAGCGGGAACATTTACACAGGCGAGGCAGGCCTGAGCATTATTCATGCCCATCACCTGTCTCCACCGCAAGCCGGGCAAATCACAATCATTGATTGCTCAGGCACTCCTGCTGGAGGCAAACGCAACAAGCAGAGCAATAAATTTCAATTCCGCTTTGCATTTGTGAGTTTAAAGGACAGTGCTGGCTATTCCAATCACCGCCTGTTAAGCAAAAATTCTCCTGCCATCGCCTGTCAGTCTGGTCAGTTCCAGCTCTGTCTCCCTGGACTTAAAGCAATCCTGGGGAGCCTTGGGGGCAGAGGTCCAGGGCGCCACTCAACACACTTAGCACCCCACTTTTCGGGGTGAAGACGTACCCTTTCCCCCAGGCTTTCAAAGGACTGACATGATTTTGTTCTGCTGTTAGCCTGCTGACAAATCTTCCTGTGGCTGCTATGGGAAGGGGTTTTGTGTGTGCGTGTTTTGCATGTGTCTGTCTGACAAATGGCCATCCAACCCCTGCTTAAAAACCTCCATGGAAGGACAGTCCACCACCTTCTGAGATATTCCATTCCACGGTCAAACAGCTCTTGCTGACAGAAAGTTCTTCCTAATGGTGATAATTGTATATAATGTGTTTTGGTTTATGTACTGTATTTAAATGCAAGTTGCTTGGAGACCTTGGTAACGAGTGATCAGAGGCATAGCATGGGAGTGGTGGGGCACACATTTTTGAGGGGGGGGGACAATCAGGCGCCCCCACAACAGGCACAGATCTCTGGCAGCTGAGGCACAGCGGCAGGTGGGTTGGTCTAGTGGGCAGGTGGATGGAGGCAGCAGGTGAGGGGCTGGTTGGAGGCGGGCTCCATTCACCCTCTGTGCAGGCCCTAGTGCGCCCCACCCCAGCTGCCCATTCCATCAGGGGGCACAACACTTGCCCTGCCCTGGGTGCCCGCAACCCACGCTACACCACTGCAAGTGACTACACTACTGAATCTAACAACAGAATGAGCACCAGGGCCCCAAACACATCTGAGCTGCCTTACCAGTGGGAAGGCTCATGGCTCATTTATGGCTATTAGCCATGATGGCTATTCTCTGTCTCCATGGTCAGAGGCAGCAATGCTTCTGAATACCAGCTGCTGGAAACCACAGGAGAGGAGCGGGCTCTTACATTCAGGTCCTGCTTGGGCATCTTTGTGTCTAGGAAATAGCCTTATCATTCATTCTCTCTCACTTAATATTGTCTACAATGACAAGGATTTCAAGCAAGGGACATTCCCAGCTCAACCTGAAGATGCCTGGAATTGAAATGGGATCCTTTTGCATTTGACGCAGGTGTTCTACTGCATTAACTACAGCCCTTCCATGGGGTGGGGAACCTGCTGTCCTTCAGAGGTTGCTGGATCACAACACTCATCATCACTGACCACTGGCCAGGCTACAGACCAAAAGTTTCCCCATCCTCTGCTCTTGAAGTACAGAGGAGTTTTGTAGGCACTTGCATGAGAGAATGAAAAAGGACGTTGGGGGCTTCTGTCCTTTCTGAAGCTAGCCTAGCCTTTATCTTCTGTGTTCATGCTTCCCTTCCACCTACTAGAAGCCTGGGTTTGTCCATACATGCACATGAGGAATAATTTCCACAATGGTGACAGTCATAGGAAGAAGCTGCCTTATACTGGGTCAAACCATTGGTCCCTCTTTCAACAACTGTCTACACTGAGTGGAAGCAGCTCTTCAGGAACTCAGACAGGATTCTCATCCAGCCCTACCTGGAGATGCTAGGGATTGAACCTGAGACCTCCTGTATGAAAAGCAGATGCTCAAAACCACTGAGCTCCAGCCCCAACAGTCAAAGTTGCTGCTTGTAGACTACCAGTTGGCCACATCAGATGTGGAGGTGAGGGACAGAGGATGTGAGTTCGCTTTCCAGGAAGCTGGTGTTTACAGAATCTGTTCACCGGCCAGTTAATTTGAATTTGACCAGTTAATTAATTTATGTCATTTTGTGTGTGTGGAGGGGAAGAAATCTTTGGAATGATGCTTTGGTCCAGTTCCAAACTAAGCTGGTGTAATGACAACTGCTTTCTCTTCGGGGAAATGGGATGCTTTATCAAAGGAGAACACATTCGAAAGGCACACCCAGAGCAGTTACTGGAAGAGCCCTGGGAGCAAGAAGTTGGAATCAAGAATGAACGATAATCTACAGAAATACAACATTTGGAGTTTATTTCTTTGACAACACTCAGAACTACAACATAAGTTCTCCTTTTAAAAAAAGCAAAAAAAAAAGCAGGTATGGTCTTTTCCGTTTTGCATTACACTACCTGAAATCCTTGCATATCCTTTTGGGTTTTGTCCTTGATGTCAACTCAGAATGGATTGAATTGATTAAAATATTTTTTCTTTTCTTTTTCTATTTTTATTACAGTTTGGATTTTAAAAAAAAATGTACAGGAACACCATTGCAAAATTGGCTTGTAAAACTGAAAGGGGTGGTAGAATGACCTGAAAGATGTTCAGCTTCTAGACTTCCTTCAATATCTTTTGTCATAATTCCCTGAGAGCATGAGAGCTGAGAATGGCATAGCACAGGTCACCCCTTCAGTTCCACAGGAACCTTATTATGGAGTGTGGTCGAAAAGTTGTAGGAAGCTGCCTTAGACCCGGTGGTCCATTTGGCTCAGAATTGCCAACTCTACACTGGATGGTGGCAGCTCTTGAGGATTTAGGATCAGATACTTTTCAAGTACCATGAAGGTTTCTCATATGAGCACAAATTAACCCACTTAATGCAATGCAAACTTACTTTGAACAGTAACAAAAACAAGCAAGGAACGAATTGAGTTGTTCATAGATCACAATGGTCATTCATGGTACATTTTCTTCCTCTTTTCAATTGCTTCTATCCCACCTGCTTCATTCAAACAGGATTGGAAGTGTCAACTAGTAATGCAATGCATCCAGGTACAAGTGAACCCAAAAAAAGAAAAGAAAGGGGGAAAGATGCTGGCCAGACATGTCCTAAGGAGATTAGTTTCACTACAATGGATATTAACCAAGTGATATAAATTGCATTGGGTCTTGTACACAGGTTAAGCTGGTTTGGCTGTCGAGGGCAGTTAAGATCAACCAGATGCAGGAGATTAGGTTTGCCTAGTAAACCCTCCAGCCTCTGAGATGGCAGAGCCCTTGCCTTTGACCCCTGCAGCACTATTTAAACAGCGGAGACATCCCAATCTGTTCTCTCTGACAATAGGCTCCCAGCCAGGCTCCTCATGCGCCTAACTCCCCTTTGTCCTGGATAACGTAATGCAGAAAGGAAGCCAAGGCTGCCGCCTGACGGGGGTTTTCTTTTTGTTTTCTGCTAGAAACCTCTCTCGGGGAACAAGACTTAGGTCGCCTCCAGACTCTCAGTGTTAGGGAGGGAGAGGTGAGAAATGTGGTTCCGTTTGCATTTAAAGGCGAACCTTCCTAATTTGTATTTTACAAATCAATACGCCAGCCGGAATGCAGCCGTCCTTCGAAATTTGCATTTCTCCAGATTTTGCAGTGCAGTTCTCTCGCCATGTAATGTGTACAGTTATTCAGTTTTTCTTTTCATACAAAGGCCTGGGTGTGCTGAAAATATTTTTTACTGTCAGGCAAATAAACAGGAGTAACTTTTTTATTTATTTATTTATTTATTTTAAGTAAAAATGTGTAAAGAAGTCTTTACTCCTTTAGCAATGCCCTTTTGACCTTTCAAAAGTGCCCTGTGCCAATTACAGTCTCGGGATAATGAACCCACGGGCAATGCACCCCCAAACCTCCATAGGCATCTACTGTGTCCACTTCTAAACGTCTGCGAAAACTTTTCTATTCCACAAGGCCTATGGAGGCAGTTAAGAATACATCTTTCCACCATGGTTAATTAGTGTCTGTTTATAACTTTCTTTTATATGGTTTTTATTGTATGTATTATGTGTTCTCACTGTAAATCAGTTTGATATATTTCTTCTCATGATACAGTGGTATACAGACATTTTTATAAATAGTAGCAGGAACCCCCCACCCCAATCATTCAGTTTGTACAAACTTCACACACTCACACTCACACACTCCATATGCCACACTTCTGTTATAAATTCATAGAAAAATCAACCATACATCGGATTTGCACTGTTCCATTTTTATTTTACTCCATATGACAAGGACTATCAAAGGGGGGTGGCTTGGTTCTGGTCAGCCATAATCCCTTCACCATCCCAGCACATCCACAGGAGCCCTGCCCAGTTGCTATGCCAACCCTGATGGTCCTAGACAGAAGACAATCAAGATCACAAAGAACTTGCATATGGGAATGGATTCTGCATGGACTGGAACAAAGGACAATGATCAGATCTTCCCTCAGGGGGCAGGAAACTGCGACTACCTTTTGTCTTCAGAAAATGACTCATGGGGAGGGGTAGAGGGGAACCAGCCAGGTGACAGGACACTCAGGTTACCACCACAACTCCTCCCTCAACCCCTCCTTTCTGTAATGTATGCATGATGTTTCTGGGGGTGGGCTTGATCTACAGGGTGGGAATTTCAAAAGTTTTTATAAGGTCTTGCACACCATTTTCTGTGTCTTTCCTCTCTCCTGCAAGTGAGGGGAACACCCTGTTGCAACAGTTCAATAAAGGCCAAGCCTACAGGCTGCTGATTTGCTCCAATTTACTCTGGTTGGTGTCTTTACTTTTTGTCCAAGGGAGCCCTCGGATTTTTCCAGTAACAAAATAAAGAACTAGTTTGACAAATGGCTACTTAGGGATTGTTCTGTTTCCTGGTACAGAAGAACAGCATTTTGAATTGGATGTTTCACTGTGGCCACAACCACAACGTATATTTAAAGCACTCTTATCCCACTTTAAGAGCTTTCCTCTCAAAGAATCCTAGGAACTGCAGTTTGTGAAGGGTGTTCAGAGTTGTTAGGTAAGGTAAAGGGACCCCTGACCATTAGGTCCAGTCGAGACCGACTCTGGGGTTGTGGTGCTCATCTCGCTTTATTGGCCAAGGGAACTGGCATACAGCTTCCAGGTCATGTGGCCAGCAGGACTAGCCACTTCTGGCAAACCAGAGCAGCGCACGGAAATGCCGTTTACCTTCCTGCTGGAGCGGTACCTATTTATCTACTTGGCACTTTGACGTGCTTTCGAACTGCTAGGTTGGCAGGAGCTGGGACAGAGCAACAGGAGCTCACCCCGTCGCAGGGATTTGAACCGCCAACCTTCTGATCGGCAAGTCCTAGGCTCTATGGTTTAACCCACAGTGCCTAGGAGATCCTTAACAAACAACAGTTCCCAGGATCCTTTAGGAGAAAACGTGATCCCTAAAGTGGTGCAACAGGGCTTTAGATGTACAGTGCAGGTATGATTTAGGGATTCGCTTTTTCTGAATCGGATTGTGTCCCTCCTTTTACACAAGCAAAAGCTTTTTAAAAGAAATGCTTCAAGGAAGTGAAGACTCTTCTTTGCAGCTGTAGGTGCTGGTGCAGACAAGTCTGCAATCGGACTGGCTGGTGTTTTGACCCACAGAGTTTGCCGGCCGTGGTATTACCATAATTACAGATTGCTGTCCTAAAGCTCTAAGCGGCTTCTGCTGCTTCTGACACAGATGCATGTTGACTTGCAGCTCCCACTGTAGTTAAGTTTCAGTTTCCAGGCAAGGATCAGTCTTCCACGGCATATTTCAAATCTTGCCATAGCGCTGAAAACAGCCAGACGCATACAGTAAGCGATTAGGCGGCAGCGACTGAGGCCATGCGCAGACTTAGCCCTTCCCCGCGAAATCCAATTCCTCCAGCTCAGAGAAAGTGCCCCGGTTTCACTGCTTTGCTGCTCCGAGCTTCAAGCTAGGATTTAATATCTGCCTTGTGGCAAATCAGCTACTCAAATAGCTCGAGAGTTATCTAAAGGGAGCTAATCGGATGTGGTTCCCAGGCAATGTGTCTTGTCAGGCAGTGCTCATGCTTCAGTTCCTCGCTGTGGCTTGGTGTGCAGATTGAGCATGTAGCAGGGTTTATGGCTTCCTGGTACTTATTTGCACACCTACAACGAGATGTTATTATGGGCAATCTGAACGAAAGAGGACAAAAAGCCTTCGCATGCACTCTGTCTGACCTTTGGCACAGTGTTCGTCTCACCAGCCAAAAACTCCACCTTTACCCAGTCAAGAAAGGTTTGCCTTCAGAGGAGGGGCTGAACTTCACTCCTTGATACCAGGAGGAATTCTGACTTCTCACTGATGGCAGAAAATGAATATATAGGTACACAGGAAGCTGTCTTATCAGACCATTGATCCATCTAGCTCAGGACTGCCAACACCAGGTGTGGGAAATTTGTTCATCCTGAGGGCTGCATTCCCCTCTGAGCAATAACATTTGCGATATCAGGGTGTGTACATGCCAAACATTTAAAGCCCATGGGAAACAATCTTGGGAACTATAGTTTATCAAGGGTGCTGGGAATTGTAGCTCCATGAGTATACAGTAGTTCTGAAGATTCTTTGGGGAAAGACATGTGGTGCGTACGCAAACTCTGACCCTCACCTGGGAGCACCCTCTCTGACTCAGACTGCAGTTTACACAGAGGCACACACGCAGAGGCCTCAGATAAGGCCTCCCTCACCTTTAGCTGTGGTGAGGAGGATGAATGAGTCACCTTCAAAAGCTGGTGGCTTTCACAGAACAGGGATTATCTATGTCCATCGCTTATCATTAACTTCTTTCAATGCTGATCCAGCTCTCTCCCTTACAGTAAGAAAACACAGCAAGGAATGACTAAAGAGATGTTCAAATCTCAACTCTCCCATGTGAAGGAACCCTGGACGGTTAAGTCCAGCCAAAGGCGACTATGGGGTTGCAGCGTTCATCTCGCTTTCAGACCGAAAGAGCCGGCATTTGTCCACAGACAGCTTTCTGGGCCGTGTACCCAGCATGACTAAACCGCTTCTGGCGCAACGGGACACCGTGAGGGAAACCAGAGCACATGGAAACACCGTTTATCTTCCCACTGCAACAGTACCTATTTATCTACTTGCACAGGCATGCTTTCAAACTGCTAGGTTGGCAGGAGCTGGGAAAGAGCAACAGGAGCTCACCCCGTCATGAGGATTCGAACTGCTGACCTTCCAATCAGCAAGCCCAAGAGGCTCAGTGGTTTAGACCACAGCACCACCCGTGTCCCATTTTACCTTTTATCTCTCCCGTGTGCTCCCTGAATGGCCTTAGCAAAGCTGTTCTCTCCCTCAACCTCACTCCTCTCTGTTTGTGATGGAGGTGGGTATTAATACTGATTTAATTTTTAGGGCACTTGTAAGGATGGCAATTTGTGTGAAGCATTTTAAACACTTGAAAGTGCTCTACAGATGATGATGATTTCAGCAGCTCCAGTGTGGAAAATGGCAGGTTGCACACTACCTGGTACCCTTAAAGGAAACATGCATCTGTTCACAACTCTGGAGATTTAATTTCTGAAGATTTAAACCCTGAAGACACGAGAAAGTCTCGCATACGCATGTTTAGCAATGCATCCCTAGCAAGCAAAAAAACAAATAGGGCGAAAGTAGGGACAGTGATTTTCCAGGAAAAAATAGGAATTGTTCTGGCAAACAGGGAAGATTATTGGAGTGTATGAGTTTGTAGTCGCTGGGTGAGGATAATGGCAATTATTTCTAGAGCACCCTTAATCTAACAATCAGGAAAAACCCTACCTAATATAAAAAAATAAACACTATATAATCGTAGCCCAGTCATTTTTTCTTAGGATTACCTACCTCGCAAGGTTGTTGTGAGGATAAAATAGTGAGGGGTGGAACCATGTCCACCAACTTGAGATCCTTGGAATTATTATTATTAATAATAATAATAATAATAATAATAGAATAATATACTTGTAGAGTTGGAAGGGACCCTGGGGGTCATCTAGTCCAACCCGCTCAAATGCAGGAATTCTACCAACAGCCATCCATGGAGGGCTTGAACCAACCATCTGGCTAACAGCCAGACACACTAACCCATTGTGACACGGGGATAATAATATCATCTGCCCTACCAGTTCCAGTAGGTATGAGTCACCATTTCCAAGGTCATGTCCAACCCTAAAATTCTCTGATTCAAGACCTGGCTTTGCATATTTTTGGACCTGAAGCTGCATCCCTAAATGACATTTAGAGAGTAAACCTCACTGAAAACAGCAGGACTTACTTCTGAGTTAAAAGATATAGCAGTGTGTTTGAAGAACATTTGCCATGATTACCTTTTTATACTTGATAATAACCAAAAATATAAAGGCCCAATTAAACATTATGCATTCAGATTCCTGTGGGTTAAAATACCAGCTGCATGGCTGAAAATTCATTTTAGTTACACCTCCCACCGCTCCATTTAATGACACCAAGTTTTGAATTATTTAGTCCATTGATAACCAAAACTGGCAATGCACCCAGAACGTTGGAATGCAGTCGAAGCTGATTTTTAATCCAAGAAGGGAACATTTCCAATACAAATTATTATGTCACCTAGTGGTTGTCATGCAGGAAAGCCAACCTATTTAAGAAAATGAAAAGATTTCCTCCTGAAAGAAGCAAAAAGAAAACGGGGGGGGGGGGTGATTGTTCAATGTAACAGGATAAAAATAAAAGAACCTCCTCCCCACCACCACAGGTCATAAAAAAGCAAGAAATTATTTTGGCTTCTCCTGTGGTATTCAACACCCTCCCCCCAAATGACAGAGAGGTTTATATTGACTTGTCGTTTACAAAACTGTCTTCAAAACATTGAGACGTCTGCTTCTGGATCCGAAAGATCCCAAACAACGGCCACACAAGGGCTTGTTCACACATTACATTGAACACGCTGGTACACGCTGCCTCTACCTGTGTACAAGCATGTGTGTGAAAGAAGGCGTGCTTGCTGATTTGTACACTGAGAAGTAATCACAAAAGCTGGTGTGGCAGAAGAGAGATGGGTGGGGTCTCCTCCTTATTTCACCACAGGGACAATGAGGTCATCTGCTGGGCTTCTCTTTGCTGACCCACTGCTTGCCAAATAATTAAAAAAAGTTTTTCTCAGGGAGAAATGCACCAAAAAGCTGTGCAAGGAAAGTTGGCGGTGGCTACTAAGACGTCACAAGACTCCCTCCCCACAGAGGTGGGGCTGGCATCATAGCCTTTGTCAATGGCTGAATATGCAGCTCTGCACTCTGGCCTGTCTGGTCCTTGTAATGTGTGGAAGGATTACTGAGTTTGAGGTTATGAGTGGGGCGGTTGATGTTTTACTGTTTCAGTTGTGTTTTTATATGCTGTAACCTTCCCTGGGGCCTTCTGGTGAAAGGCCAGCAAAAAATAAAAAATAATGCTGTTGGTGATGTGACCGATCTTTGAGTCCACCTGACTGGATATTAAGGGAATGCGGGCATGGAAGACACCTGGCTTGGTGCTGAAGCCACAAGTATCTGCACTGGTCAAAAGTTCATTTTTATAATATAGTGTTATGTGTTGGGGAGGGTCAGTGTGAATAATGCCCTGAGTCCCTTCCAGCTCTTGGGATCCTGAATCTGTGGGCACAGAATGTGTGTGAGTTGCTGAACCTGTTCCTTTGTCTAGGTAATGGCTTTGGCTGGCTACTTAATCGCCACGATTAGCATAACCAAAGAAGGTGCTCTGTGCCATAGAACAAATGAGTGGGCCTCCCCCTACACCCTAGCTGCTAGGTAGCAGAACAATCATCGGAGGGATGTGTGACCTGGGCTAAAAGATGGAGACACAGCTTGCTCTGTGCTGCATCCAAAGCTGCAAAGAACGGCAAAACAAGATCTTTCAGGATGGCAATGCTGTGAGCCCCTCCATCCTATGCTGAGGTTACATATACAGTCATACCTTGGCTCCCAAACGCCAAGGGAGAATGAAACATTCCGGCTCCCGAACGATCAAAGACCAGAATTGAGTGTTCCAGTTTTTGGACTTTTTTGGAAGCTTAACGTCCAGCGCAGCTTCGGCTATTGTTTCCAGCGCACCTGCGCAATCGGGAACCAATCAGAAGCTTTGCCTTGGTTTCCGAACTTTTCGGAAGTCGAACGGACTTCCGGAACGGATTCCGTTTGACTTCCAAGGTATGTCTGTATGTGTCAATAAAACCATATATCCTAAAGACACTACAGTGTCCTCTGGACTTTATTCCATGGAAGCTGAACTTTGGGTGAGCACTGGAACCCCCTTTGGATGTCATCTAACTATGGGATGGAATTCAACTTCATGCTGTTATTGCTTTATCAGCGCAAGCACTTCTGTTTGCCAGACAGAATGACACCCCACTTCCTCCTCCTGCTTCTGCATGCTGTTCTGGGGGTTCTCATGACACTCCCTCCTTGAACCAGTTTGGAGGGGCATGGGCACAATGTGGGGAGGAAGTCCTGTTGAGCTAGCAGGAGTCTTTGTGTTGTTTCCTACCAGCACAATTTTGCTGAATCTTTCCCTGGTGTCAAAGGTGCCAACTCTATGGGGCTGAGGACAGCTCAGTCCTGTACAAAGTATGTAGGGATGGGGTTGAGGCCCCCCTCCCCCAATCTTGAGGGGCTGAGCCTTGCTGGGCCTCCCCGCTGCAGGAGGGCGCATAATAATAGGTGACTCAGCTGTAAGTAAGCATCTATGAAATTCCGTTTGAGTGCAAAGGATTCTGCTCAAGGATGGTATCTTCTAAAAATCTGTCCGTGGCAGAGTTTCATGCCCGACTCTCCCTATGGCTTACTCACCCCTTAACAGCAGTCCAGCTGTACTCCGCTTTCCGCAGCAAAAGGGAAAGAGGAGGCAGCCAGCATGGAGCAAAGGCTGGCGCAAGGGTCAGAGTACACAGAACTCCTAAGCAGATACAAAGTGTTCTGTTTATCTTGCGCCGAGGTGTGGCTTTCGCCAGTTGTAAAACGTCTACGCGCAGGGAGTTCACTTCCACCAGGAAAACCCTGCTACTATGCTCCCGGTGTGGAAAGCGGTGGGAAAGGAAATGTATTCTTAGACTTCGAGCCCCACCAAGCAAAGTTCAATGATGTCACAACTTAAAAGACTTTAGACAGAAAGGAACGATTGCAAGGGGATGATTATCCCACATTTGCTGATCGTGGTGTTGTTTCCTTACCATCGTTTGCTATGGAACTTCATTGTGATATATTGGCTGTTGGCTATGCTGGAAGGAAACAAGACAAAGCTTTAGAATGAGCTTTAGTCCAATGAGCGGAGGCCAGCTAGGATTTACGAGGAAAAGCTTGCATGCTGCTCCTCATGTGCTTTGTACTGTTCCACTGTTGATGCTTTTATTGTAGTGTTTTATTTTTCAATAGAACATCACCTTGGGAGCTTATGCTGAAGGGCAGCTCATAAATGGTGTGTGTCCACGTGCAGAGTTCAATCTCCAGAGGGATAGCTGTGTTAGCTCATTAAACTGGAAAAAGTCTTGAGTAGTTTACACGTTGCATGTATGGCTCAGCTCACAAATATGGTGAGAACCAGAGGGAAGAGTCAGATAACGGCTTCACAGAGAAATGGATACTTTTTAATATAAATTATTGGAGCAATAAGGTTCAGGGCAAGGACCACAGCTCAGGGTAGAGCATCTGCCTTGCCTGTAAAAGGTCCCAAATTCAAAAGTCCCTCTGGTCTTTTACTTGAAAGGAAGAAAGTCACATAGATCTCATTTGAGTTTTTTGTGCTTAGAATCACAAGGGAAGGACAGCAATTTTGGCTGCTGTTAAGCTGCTCACATTTTATCATTTTATCAAATTTTCTCATTTCACAACTATTAAACAATAATCAACAAGACTCTGCTCCAGGGGATGGGAAAGGTACTCCATATCATATTATTCTACACAGAGATGTGAATTATCATACCATTACAATATTTATTTTAAAAGAAATCAAAACCTATTTGAATATGCTTTCACTGGAGGTAATTATTTTCTTGGCAATACTGTATTGCATAATGGGCAACCTGTTTGCCCAGAATTTATTTCCATATTCACTTGCAATACTTGCTCTTGGATGGGTTTGGTTTTTTGTTTTGTTTTGTTTTGTTTGTTTTTTGCCATTACAGCAAAGTCCTAAACTTTATTAAGCCATTCGTTCCAAGGAGGGGTCAATGTGACTTTCTAGCCAAACAACTTCCTTGCAGCTGTTAACAAAGAGACTAAGTTCCTTATGAGTTGACTTTACAACCGGTGGCATTTTATAATTTTAACCACAAACTCGAGATGGGGAAAATGGCTCCAACTTGAAATGGCTGCTGAATTTCATGAAACATTCATTGCTCTCTCTGTGTATATAAAGGTAGCAGGTTGCTTTAGAGGGCAGTTACCGTGATTTATGTTTTATAGGCACAAGCTTTCTCTCACATCCCCAGTCTTGCAGCACATCATGCAGCAGATGTTCCTTCTGGCACTCTTTCCAGCAGGCTTAATCTCTGGATGTAGATCTGAATCTCCAAAGTTTAAGAATGGAACCTGCTGATCAGAGATCAGGTTAGCTGTAAGCCATGCATTCACCTTGAGCAATATCTGGCTGGCTCTCCCCATTTTTTATTAACACTGCCTCGCAATCGAGCAAAGGTGCTGTAGATTTTCTTCTGGATCCAGCTCTCTTCATCATGAGACAGGGTGCTGTGCAAGTCAACCCTCTTCTGAATTCCCATCTGAGGTTACAATTTTCTTTTCCTCGTTTACCTCTTTTTTTGAGTCAACTCAGCCCAGCAGCATATTTCTTTTCTTTCTCCCCTTTCCTTGACCCTTCTGCGAGTTACCATAGTCCTCTGTTCCATCCCGACTTGACAGGAGGAGAAAGGAGCTCTGGTCAACATTTCTTCCTATCAAAAGTGGCACAGCTTTGTCAATTCCATTTCTCTGCTTTTTGAAAGACGGCAAAATGGATCGTGCTTCAAAACTGTGTGATGTGTAGTTCCGGAAAGAGGCGAGAGGGAACTGCACAGCTTTTTAAGGTTCCAGGAATGATGGAGACGTTGCTGAGGTGTGAGGTTGGTAGGTGAGACAGAGGTCTGCTTGGTTCAGCATTCTGCCTCCAAAGGTCAACAGCCAGATCTATTATCTATCATTACATTTTTATCCCACCTCTCCTCCAAGGAGCTCAGGGTGACATACCTAGACCCCCACCCACCAATACACAATCCATTTTTTATCTCACAACAACCCTGAGTAGTATGTTTCGTTGAGTGACCATGGCTGGCCCAAGGTCACACAGTAAGCTTCATTGCTGAGTTAGGATTTGAACCTGAGTCTCCCAGCACGCTAACCAAACTGTCTCGTGGAAGCTCCCAAGTGTGTTGCACCTCCTTTAGTTTGCCTCCAGCTTGTAGGACTCAAATATATGCTGCATCTGAACACTGAGATTCTGCGGGGCTGCCATGCCTATCAATCATTAATAGCTCTGTCCTTCACAAATATTCTCCCTCATCAATGATTGACTACAAGCGGTTCTGCCCACCCAAGATTTCAAAGACAGGTTTTCACTAGGCTTGTCAGCCAAGATAATTAGTCAATTAATTAAATCTGCATAAATCTGCATCTAAGAAAAAAAATAGTTCTAAAGAAGAAATAATGTCTTGGGGCTGTTGTTTTTTGACATCGTCATAGAACGCTTGTCTCTCACACTTTAGGAATTTGGCTTTTAAGCCGGCGTTTTGCCATTTGCAGCTTTTACATATAGTTGCATTAAAAATATTCGAGTGATTGATCAAGGGCACTTTTTTAGTTCATCAGAATGTTTTAAAATCAATTAATCTAAGTAAACTAAGGCTCCAGTCCTATGCACACTTAGGTAGCTGCAATGGCTATGTTCTGCCTGCACCGAATACTAGTTTCTGAGAATCGCAGGTCCTGTTTGCAGGCTTTTCACAGACAATGGTTGGCCAGTATGAGAACAGGCTGATGGACTGAATTGGCCTCACCCAGCCATGCTGTTCTCATGTTTTTATCTTCTTAATTCCTCTGAACACAGTGTGGTTTAGTGCTGAACAAACACACATTAAACTGTGCTGCAATTAACTGAACATTGCAGCAGCTCAAGGTTTTGCATCAGAGAATATTTCCAGGCAATCGGAAGGATCATCACCTACTTTAAATAATGCGAAAACATGGTACCTGTTGCATCATCATCACCACACATAAATATTCCAGCCTCTTAAAAATAAACACACTTATAGAAGTTCAGGGAAAAGGCACGGAAACAAGGAAGAGCTGTTGGGGCCTTTTGTATTGTTTTAAGTGGGTGGCCTTCGCTCTCTTCTCTAGACCCCAAACTTCTCTTTAAACAAACAATGACTTTTCCAGGACTCTCTTGTATTACAATGGCAACTTTTTTTTAATTCTTTTGTCGAAACAGATGCATTGTCTCTTCCTTCAAGGCTCCCTGGGAGGAAAATCCCTGACCCACCTACAAAAACAAGGGCTGGGGTGGGGAAGAGAAGGGAAAGTCTGTGAACTCCCTTTATGTTAATAAAGACCCTTCAAAGCCACACAGAGATTTCTTTATGGGCAAAGCCACTCAATCAAACGGCTTACATTTCAGAGGGAAACCTATAGTTTTGGATTCCTCCCAGTCCCACCCCACCTCCTGTATTTATCTAGGGCGGTTCTCTTCTCCCCACCTGTTCTCTCCTGACTCCTTTCTTGCAAAATTGTTTAGGCTGCAAAAGAGCACTCTGGGTTTTCCCTGCCCTTCCCCCTCCCCTGCCTCTATTGTGTGGGCTGCTCATTTCTCAATCTCTTCTTCCCTGAAGCAAGACTCTCCTGAAAATTCGGCTATCTCCACACCACCCTTAAGTGTCCTGCAAAGGGAGGCTTCTCCTTGTTGTCACATTTACCACTGCTTCGAGCTGTCACTCAGATAGCCCCAGGGAAATATTGTGGAATGCTGAACAACAGCAGACACCCGGTGCCTTCTCTGGCTGGACTCAGCACAAAACATTTGCACAGGGCCTACGCAGAATAGCAGAAGCTTCACACTGATCTTCAGAAAGTTTTCCTGACCTACTTTTGCTGCTGTGGGAGTGCTGCTTAGGGGACCTTTGTAGTCTATCTGAAAAGTCCACACAGAGATAGCGGGAAGACATTATAGTATGAAGCACACCAGTTAGAAAGCCTGCTATGTGAGACTTCAGCAGTCTTTTAGTAACATGGATCAGCAATGTCTACAATGGCTTGGCCATCGTCCACAGAATAGAAGATGGGAGGATAGAATAATAGAATCGTAGAGTTGGAAGGGAACCCAAGGGTCATTATATCCAACCCCCTGCAATGCAGGAATCTCAGCTAAATCATCCATGACAGATAGCTGTCCAACCTCTGCTTAAACCCCTCCAAGGAAGGAGAGTCCACAACCTCCCGAGGGAGGTCGTTAGAAGGGCATGCCCTAGAACAGGCATAGGCAAACTCGGCCCTCCAGATGTTTTGGGACTACAACTCCCATGATCCCTAGCTAACAGGACCAGTGGTCAGGGATGATGGTCCCAAACCATCTGGAGTTTGCCTATGCCTGCCCTAGAAGGAGCTGACTCTGTGTCACAAAGATGTCTGCAAACATGACACGAAGGCTAGCAATATCAACCCCACTATGTGGGAATATCTTGCAGATGACCACAGTGCCAGGGGACAGACAATCAGTGCCAGATAGCTCAGCTCGTTAGAGCATGGTGCTGATAACACCAAGGTTGCAGGTTCAGTCCCCATAAGGGACAGCTGCCTATTCCTGATTTTCAGGGCCTTGGACTAGATGATCCTCAGGGTCCCT